GCTTCGTATTCCGCGGCGTTGTTTGTCTTTAGCTCTTGGAACCTGTGAGAAAATTCATGTATGACTCCCCGCGGCGACTCGAGGACAATTCCTGCGCCTGCCCCACCTTTTCCGGCGGCTCCGTCCACGAACAGGCGCCACGTCTGGTTTTGACTTTTCTCCGTTGGGGCCTCAAGACTGAAGCCTTCTGCTACGAAGTCAGCTAGCACCTGGCCCTTTATGGAGGGCCGTGGTGCGTATGAAATATCGTACTCACTCAGCTCGACCGCCCACTTGGTCATCCTCCCGGAGGCGTTCTGGCTCTTGAGTATCTTTCTCAAGGGAAGGTTGGAGAGCACGGTAATTGGGTGCCCCTGGAAGTAAAGGCGCAGCTTTCTTGCCGCAGAGACGAGCGCGAGGACCGCCTTCTCAATTGGCATGTAGCGCCGCTCTGCGGGGAGGAGGGCCTTGCTGACATAGTATACCGGGTGATCCGTGCCCTCGGCGCTTCTCCTTACCAAGGCCGAGCTGACCGCTTGGTCGGAGACCGCCAGGTACAGGTATAGGGGTTCCGCCTGAATGGGAGCGCTTAGGACAGGCGGGGAGGCTAGCTATTCTGTCAGCTGGAAGAAAGCTTTGTCACATTCCGGACCCCACTGTGACCGTGAGGCGGACTTCTTCAACATCTGGAAAAATGGAGAGCATTTGTCTGCCGATCTCGGAATGAATCGGCTTAAGGCGGCCATCTTCCCGTTGAAAGCTTGAATTTCCTTGACCGTGCGGGGCGGCTTTAGGCTAAGTATTGCCTCTATTTGCTTCGGGTTTGCCTCTATGCCCCTGTTAGTGATCATGAAACCCAAGAACTTTCCCGCCTTGGCCCCGAACACACACTTCAGCGGGTTTAATCGGAGGCGCTCCCTCCTTAGCGTTTCGAAAGTTTCTCTTAGGTCGACTATGTGGTCTGACCCCTTCTTGCTTTTAACTAGGACGTCGTCGACGTAGGCTTCCACGTTTCGACCCAGCTGCTTCTGGAAAACCGTGTCGATCATCCTTTGGTAGGTTGCTCCCGCGTTCTTCAGCCCAAAAGGCATGACCGTGTAGCAGAAATTCCCCATGTGCGTCATGAACGCTGTTTTCTCTTGGTCTTCCTCCGATAGGCGTATCTGATGATAGCCGGAGAACATATCCAGGAAACTCAGGGTTTCGTGATTCGCGGTGGCGTCAATTAGCTGATCGATCCGGGGCAGGGGGTATGCGTCCTTGGGGCAGGCCGCATTGAGGCTTGTGAAATCTATGCACATCCTCCAAAGCCCGGACGCTTTGCGCACGAAAACCGGATTGGCTAGCCAGGTCGGGTATTTGACCTCTCGGATGAAGCCAGCCTTCAGCAGGCGCTTCACTTCTTCCTCCAGCGCCATTTGCTTCTCGAGCGAGGCGTTTCTCCTTCTTTGTTGCACTGGTCGAGCCTTGCTTTTTACCGACAGGGAGTGCTCGGCAAGCTCCTTCGGGACGCCCGGCATGTCTTCCGATGTCCAAGCGAATAAGTCCTTGAATTCCCGGAGGAGGGATAAGAGGTTCCGCGCCTGCTCTTCCACGAGGTGGGCTGCGATTCAGACCTTTTTCTCCGGCTCTTCCTCGTCGAGGACAACTGCTACGTCTTCTTCTGCCGCTTCCGGGCGTGGGTGACTTCCTCGGGCGTCCACTTGATCCACCTCCAGGTTCCTAATGGTGGCTTGATAGCACTCCTTGGCCTGTTGGGAGTCTCCGAGGACGCGTCCTATTTGGCCTTTGGTGGGAAATTTGAGCATTTGATGGTAGGTGGAAGCGACCGCTGAGAAAGTTGACAAGAAGCCGCGCCCGAGAATAGCGTTGTAAGCAGACGGGCAGTCCGCGACATGGAAGTCCATGAGGCGTGTTTTCGTCGCTTCCGGCCCGCCAATCATCACTTGGAGAGTGATGGAGCCGAGTACTCGGACTTTGGAGCCGGAGAACCCCACTAGACTGGTAGTGGAAGGTTTGAGATCCTGTATCCATCGTTTCATGCTCTTGAGCGTGGAATAAAACAGGATGTCTGTGGAGCTTCCATTGTCGACCAGGGCCCTAGTAACCTTGAACTTCTTCGTTCTGAAAGATATGACTAGAGGGTCTTCCCCGCACTCCTCGGGTGCTAGCTCGGATGGGGCGAAGCTGATCTCAACCTGTTCTTTCCTGTGAACATTCATGCATTGTATCAAGTGGTCTCCCTCTGTCCGAGGGCGCTTGTGCCCCCCTGCGATGGTGATGACTTCAAATCCATCTTCCTCCTCCGGCCCCTGATTAAGAGGAGGAGTGTGTCTTGGGGGTGGGGGCAAGCTTTCCCTTCGCGGCGTCCGCTCCCTCCTGGGCGATCTTGACCTCCGACGTCTGGGCGTGCGGGATCGTCTCCTCGGACTCGGAGATCTATCTCTTTCTCTGGCTCCTTCTCTCGGATGCGCCCGTGTGTCCAGGCCGTTTCTCAGGTCCCCAGGGGACAGATACTTGAGGCTGGCTTTGAACTCCCGGCACTCCGTGGTGTCGTGGGTCGGAAGTTGGTGCCTGTCGCACCACTTTTGATCGTCCTCTCTCCTTTGCCGGGGACGCGCCTCTCTGGTTTTACCCCTTTCACGGCGTCCCTCTTCTTCTTTCTCAGAAGAGAACACCTCGCGTCTCCCGTCTATGTTGTTGAATCTGGGCTTGTAGGTATGCCTTTCGGGCGTGCGTCCCCTTCGCTTCGGCGACCCGTTCCTTCCCTTCTCTGTCTTGCTAGCCGGGGCGTGTGCTCCTTTCGCGCCTTCCTCGGCATTGAGCGCTTCTTCTAGGAATATAGCTTTGCGCACGACACGGTCTAGATCTTGCCAAGATTGGATACTGTGCTCCTTTTTTGTGAGAGCCCTCTTTAGCTCGCGGCTGTGAGTTGACATCCTCAGGTTTCCTGCGGCCACGCTTGTGGAGACGTCTCGGACCTCGCACGCTATGGTGTTTCACCGATCGTAGAAGTCGGTTAGAGTCTCCTCTTCTCCCTGCCTACAGTTTATGAGCGCCGACACGGTGAGCTGCCTCCTTCGCTGAGACGCGAATTTTGACGAGAAGAGGGTGGCGAACTGCTCGAAGCTCTCGATTATTCCTGCGGGTAGAGACGCGTACCAGCTTCTGCATTGCCCCCCGAAGGTAACCGGAAACGCTTTGCACATATCTGCGTCTGAGGCGTTTATCAGCTGCATCTTGAGCATGAAGGCGCTCAAGTGGTCCGACGGGTCTGAGTTTCCCGTGTAGGTGGGAAGTCCCAGCGACGAGAAGTTTGACGGCACCTGGGTTTTGAACAAGCTCTTCGCCAGGGGGTTGTGTAACACGTTGTAACCCCTAGGCCTTCCATAACCGGGTCGCAAGTTCTCCTCAAGGAGGTCCAAATGGGCGTCTTCAGTCTCTTCTTCTTCTTCGGACTCCCCTCCTTCCGTCGGAGCAGGGCTAGGTGGGATCTCTCCTTCGATGCCTTTGCCCTTGTTGCTCTGTTTCCTTGAACTCCCCGGCTCATCTTTGTTTCGGAGCATAGTGAGGATCTGGCTCAGGCTTTCTTGCATACTGGAGATTTGTTGCCTTTGGTCCTTCACTCGCTCCTCCATGTCTTTTTCTTCTTCGACTGTTGGCATCTCCAGCCCTCTAGTGACTTCTCCTCCAACTACATCTTTCACCGGAGTTCTAAAGTTTCCATCCATCCTTTCTTCAGCGCTTCGCTCCTGCCCCACGGTGGGCGCCAAATTATTTGTGCCTAGTAGATACTAGGAGGTTTTGTGGAGCTGGGACGAGGCGCCTGTTCTTGGATGATGGAGTGGCTCCAGATATCCTGCAAAACAAGGGTCCGGGGCGGTTGCCCGGGACACCCTCCGATGCTCAAGTTAGAGAGAGAAGTAGAGGAGAGATGTATTTATGATAGAGAGATAGATAGTAGTTGGGTTCACCATTAATGCACTCACTCTGTATTTATACCTGGTTCGAAGGTGGTTGAGGCATTAAATGCTTGCTCAGGCGCCCCAGACCATGTCGGGCGTCCTGAGCAGGCTTTCTGCCTTTCTGTCGGCCGCCTGTGACTGACAATTAATGCCTAGTCTTGTCTGACACCAGATGCGTATCTCAACGACTCTTTACTTTTCTGCCACTGTCAGTTGCTTTATGTCGGGCGTCTCTCAGCTACTTCTCGGGCCTCGGGCTGGTCAAGAACCGCCCGTTGACTCGGCCCTTCTGACTAGGCTGAGCCCTCTTATTGGGCCTGTTTGCCAACGGGACTCTATCGGGCCCAAAGCCCAAGTACGCTCAACTACGCGGCCCAACACATAGATTTATTAAATTTTATATCTCACATGTTTAAGAGTTTGAGCAAATATATCTCATATATGACATGATATTAGTTAATCACATGTATTTTATATTAGTACTGAACTCATGATTTTAATGATGAGTCAAATAAGATATAATAAATGAGCCGGCTCGTGCTCAACTTGTTTATAAACGAGTCAACCTCGAATTTGACTTGTTTATTAACAAGACAAACCTGAACAAAATAAAGATTGGATCGAGTCAACTCGACTCATTAATCGCCCTAAGCCGCTAACATAGCACAACCTGGGCAGTTAAGGTATCGACAACCTCATAAACTACCCTAACCATAGGGATGGCAATGGGTCGGGTTGGGGTGGGTTTTGTCAAACCCAAACCCAAACCCATCGGTTTATCGACCAATAAAACCCGGGGTAAAACCCGTTGGGTTTGAAAAACTCAAACCCAACCCGCTGGGTATCCTCGGGTTCATGGGTACCCATGGGTTTTTGTGGTAAAAATTTATAATAACAAGTTTCTTTCAAAATAAAAGTTTAACATCAATTTTCTCATACAAAAAACATCAATCTAGAGCATACAAGCAAACCGCAAATGATCAATACAAATTGTTCAAAATTAAAGATAAACATATATAAACAATAAGATTAATTGAAAGTTTCTTCACTCTCCATTTCATATTATCAACTTCATTCTAAACAATTAGAAAGAACAAATTATACATGTCTCCACAAACATATAGAATATTAGTTATTTAAGGAAGATATATTATTTAGAATATTAAATATACCGGGAGAGTAATTATATGTGTGTGGGCGGGTACCCATGGGGCGGGTTTACCTAACCCAAACCCAACCCGACCCGGTGAATAGTGTAGCGGGTTTAAACCCGAACCCGGCCCAAAACCCGTCAACACGGGTTTTACCCGCGTTGACCGGGTTGGGTCGGGTGGGTACCCATGGGTTCGGGTTTTGTTGCCATCCCTACCACAACTTCAAATCGGTCAAAATACCAACTACTGCTTTAGTTAGCCGGTTGAATCACCCGCGTTAGCGGTCTGCATTGCCATATTCCCAGGGACATGTTCAATCGTTAGCCTGGTGGAAAATTTTATATCCGAACTGACTTCGAACCAGAACAGAAAAGGGGCCACCGGGTTCAACCATGACAGCGAACATGGAGACCGTCGTTTCATTCATTGGTCGAACATCCCATTCACTTTGACGAACTCCATCCAATACTTACTCCAAGGAACCAATTAAAGAGAAACACCTAACCAGATACCAGATAACTCCAGCACAGAAACCAGAGATTATCAGATAAACTAATGCAGGCAGTTATAAAAAAACTGAACTGAAATCTGGAACCGCCATTGGAGTAACAAGTTCAATCTACATCAGTCCATATCTAACCCCGACAACAACTCCTCATCTCAGTTTCCAATCCATATCGCTCTGTCCATTCCCAGAAAACATAAGCAACGAATGAGATCTACCCAGATTGTAAAGGATGATGAACTTCCCAAAAGAAACATCAGATCACAAGGCAACAGACTACTAGTTTTTTCACCCCAAACATCTTGGCCAAAATACGACCTATCAGCCGTGTTTGCCGTGCTAGCAAACACCAAACGACACGGTCTTGGAGAAACTAGCCTATCAACCTGAATCATCGATAAGTTTGCAGAAATGAACAACATAGGAAACAAAGCTTCAAGACTCCACATTCGCCATCCATTTATGAAACGGCTACTGATACACAGCTCGTTAACAAAGCTAAAGGAACGAACTATCATATACGCAAGCTTCCATAAACAAGGAACAAGTCATGCCCTGAAGTTAACAGGGTTACAAGTCAATGGTGATAAACTAAAGACCTCATTGAACAAAAGTGTACAAGAAAACAGAGATAAAAAAAAAGGCAAAGAAATAAAGGTCCTCTTTGGAGTCCACGGCCCCTACTAATTAGAATCCCTTTCTCACTTAAGAAAGGTCCAAACCTCATTACAAATCTAAACAGGGGGGAAAAGCAAAGCCATCTAATCTTAAAGACTAAAGTTCCAATCTTGAAGGTGACAAAATAGACAAAGTTATGTGCTACGATGGCCAACCCTCAAATTATTCCCAAAACTGCTAGTCCTGCAATCGAAGAAAGGAGCTGAAATTGTCACTTTTACACTAACACCACGCCATCATCATATCATAACTTAAAACCATAACATTGATCCTCAAAACATAGCCAATCAAAGAAAAAGCTTCCAACTTTACCACAGACCCTGAATTCGAGCAAATCCGGAACACAGAAATCACTACTACATGATAAGCTGCTACTAGTACTACATTCATGAGTTCCACATCTAGAGTGCTGCTGCTGCTGCTGCTGCTTAATATTAGTAAATGTGCTTATGAACCCACGAAAAGATTAAAAAAAAAAGTTACCGAAAAGAAAATCAAAAGCCCTAACATTACAACAAGATGATTTTACAGAAATTACTGGGGGAAAGGGAGAGAAGAGAGAAATTAGGGGTTTTGTCCAAATCATCATTCATAATATATATCGATAGAGGAATTACTGAATTAGTGTTGTGGAGGGGTGAATCAATAATCTCTCTCACCATTAGTAGGGCCAGCAGCAGAGCGCTTCCCCTTCTTGATCTTCTCCAGCTGAATCTGGGTCTCGGTGAAAACCCTCATCCTCTCCATCTCCACATCTTTCGCAAACTTCATCCTCTGCTTCTCCAAATCCACCATCTGCCTCAGCTTGTCCCTCTCCACTCTCTCGTACACCTCCCCGAACTTCTCAATCGCCCTGGCCAGCCTCCGCATCTCCTCGTCCTTGTCGTTGTTGCTGTTGTTGTTCTCCCTGTCCTGACGCTGCTGCTGCTGGTGCTGCTGGGGCTCATCTTCCTCCTCGTCACTCTCCGAATCAGCAGCCGCAGCAGCAGCCATGAACGTCCTCCTCAAATAGATGTCCTCCGCGGCGGGCCTCTTCTGCCCGACCGCCACCACCGCATTCGAGCTAGGATTAGGGTTCCGCCGGTACGCCGACGACGAATTCGTCAGCGGCAGGGCCACCGGAGGGGAAGGGGAGAGAGACCGCGACGACGGCTGCTTCTCCTTCTTCGCCGCGGTGGCCGGGAAATTAGATCCGATCAGGAAGTTCAACCGGTCGAAGAATCGCCAGGATGAGACGAACGCGCCGTTGGACGCAATGACCCTGGTCTTCTCCACCTTGTACTTCTTCTTGATGGTGTCGATCCGGTTCTTGCACTGGACGTCGGTGCGGTGGGTCTTCTTGGTGAGGCCGTGGACGGCGTTGACGGCCTCGGCGACGTCGGCCCAGTCCTTCTGGCGGAGGTTCCCGCGGCTGAGCTCGACGTAGCGGTTGCCCCAGGCCTCGACGAGAGTCGCCGTGGCCTCCTCGCTCCAGCAGTCCTCCCGGATGGGGAGCGGGCGGGAGTTGACGGTGACGGAATCTGCCATGTCGCCCATGGAGAAGGAGAATCGATTGATCGGCGGCAGGCGGCGGCGGTGGAAACCCTAGGTTAAGAGATTGGGGAAGATTTTGGGTGGGGAATTGAACGGAGAGGGGAAAAAAGGTTGGGAGGGAGAGAGAGAATAAAAGAAGGTGTCGGTGCGGCGAGAGAGTGGTGACGCGCCGGACGAATGAGGGCGAAAGATTAGGAGTTGGGGGGAAATAAAAGAGAGAGAGAGGGAGTCGCCGGGCGAGGGGGAAAGGCGCGTGAGGGGAACGGGGGCCAGCTCGGAGTGGCGTCATCGGTGGGATTTTTTACGGCTCGGCTCGGGGGAGGACGGGATGCCGCCTGCCTAATCGGTCCAGCTGCGGAAATCGTTTTGCTTCCGTCTCCGTTTCTACTTTCGCTGATCGATGTAATGAGAACCGCGCTGTGTCTTTCTTCGACGGCAATAATGTCCTTTTTCTCTTTGCTTTTTTTCTTTCTTTCCATTTTTTTCTGTGCAGGCCCATCTTGGAAATTTGGTGTATGACTGTATGTCGTTGTTTATAAATAAATTTTGATTTTGGTGATAAATTTTTCTAAAACTAATGTACTCAATGTTAATAATTTGAATTCAGGGGTTTGAGAACAACGAAATCAAAAATAGGTTGTGCAATAGCTTTGAACGTGGCAAAATGAGGAAAACCTAATCAGATATTTTTATAAGGTCCCCAAAACATTTCATCCTTATAAAATGTTTTTATTAATTGCTTACTTATAAAAACAAGTTTTCTTAGATTGCTTATCGTATACTTGATTACAAGTATAAATAGTTGGGGTGGAAGGTCTGCCCGTCGTTTGAGTGATAAGTAGGGATAATAATTATGTTTGTAGCCGCATATATTCGATTCCTTTGAACCACTGAAAGAAGAGATCCTCGTATTGATTGTGGGTATGAGTAAACCACATAAGGAGATTACCAGAATTTGGGCTCCATCGTGTATCATGCCCATTTTTTTTTTTTTTGCCCGTGGCAAATCACCGGATGCATATCTCATTTGACACCGCTTGTTGAGAGTTGAGACCGAATGTTTCATTTAACAAGATATTATTTGTTTTGGGCCGAACCCGCAAGGATTTGTTATTGGGTTCCTTTCGAAAAATACTTGCATACAGTTCTGCAAATGGAGTTTGGTGGATACATATATACCAGAGCCTTCTCAGTTTCTATATCCGTTCGAGAGAGAGAACGAAAGAAAAAATCACGATGAATCTCCATTGGTCCACTAGACAGACAGATATATATCTAAGATCCCGATGTCGTTGAACGAGAGCCGGCAAAACTGACGTCCACCGCCTCAAATCCGAGCCTCACAAACAAGGCTCTTATATGAGTTCGTCAAAAAATCAAATAATCCATTGGTACGTTATTGCTCACTCTAGACCAAAATTCGCACGAAATTATTCGTGGGTTTGTTTCCAAAACATCTCGTACTAATGAGGCAAGAACGAATTATCGAGGGCTCGATTCACAAAAAAAAAGCATTGGAAAAGAAAGCTCTCAATCAGCTTGAACTCTGGTTCTTTCTTTCCCATTTTGCCCAAATAGAACTTGCTAATGAAAAGTTCTTGGAATAGTGGGCGGGGGCAGATGGGAGTGGTTTGGAACCGGAATTTCTAGGTTGACGGCGTGAACTTCGGTGGTGGGACGGAGAGCGACAAAACCGGAAGAAGTAGAAGAAGTAGGGCAGGAGTAGGACGGGCGGTTGCGTCGATGTCGAGCTGGATGACGTCGACGTGCACGGCAGCAAAAGATGCGCCGGCTGGCTGTCTACCTGCTGCTTCCCTCTCTCTCTCCGGGCTGCGTGAGTCACGAGGCGACGAGACGGCCGGCTCAGTCAAATGAACCGATCAGCTCGGCTTGAGTCGCGGTCGGCTCGGCTACGCTGCAGCGGGGAGAGAGATGGCCGAGGACGAAGGACGAAGGACGGATCGGATCTCTTTCATTTTTTGGGTCCTTCCTTTCGGCTGCCTTCCGGGCCGGTTCCTGTCTATTATTCAACGGAACGGGGCCGGGCCGGGGAGGAAAACTGAACCAAAGAATACTTCATTCCGAGTTCGGTCAAGTGGTTTTTGTCTCTTTTAACCCCTGAAAAATTTGGCTCTTACATCTGTCACCCTAGGTAGGTTATTTAGCTGATTAAATATGGGTCAAATGTATTTACCTAAGGTATGTCAAATAGGAAATCAGTAAAGTAGTTTAATAGATAAATACTTGTTTCTTCGGCAAAATAATGGTTGAATAACTAATACAAAATTATTTCTATACGTATATCTATAAAACTAGATATATCTATAAAACTAGATACGACGATTATAGTTGGGAAAAGTGAGAGAAAGGTGATGGTCCATATTATAAGGGAGTAAGGAGGAAACTTTCTTTATTTTTTCCGTGTGAATGGAGCCTTGATTGAAAACTTCATGGCCGACAAAGGACCGAGACAGACTTGCTGGTTCTCTCTCTTCTTATTTGTTCGTTGTTGGTGTGTTAAGCGAGTGTGATCCATGTGCACACTAGCTAACAATGATGCTACAACATTTGATCGAGTTAGTTTGGTTTGCAATGCAAGTAGCGGGGGAATATCTGATAGAGATTGTCGACGACCAAGCTAAGTGTCTTTGACCAATCAATATGTGAGTTGGCTCTTAATAGAGTATTCAATGATTTTCGTGTTTTTTACTTCAAGAGTGGTAGTACGAAAATCGTAACATGCGTCACATTCTATATTTAGATGTTGACGTTTGAAATCACCAATCATCTAAATAAATGTCATCGCGCATTTAATTAATATTCGGTGGTGTGTGTATTTAAAAAAAAAGAATGATGTTAAGTTTAAGCACCATTTTGTGGAAGAAAGTGATGTTTGTTTGTTTATTTAATTGACTAGTTACTGATTTAACGATCAAACGCTATAGCAGAGAGTGGCCTTTTTTTTGTTTGAGTAGTAGCTAGTGACTAGTGCTAGTGCAGGTCCCCTATATTACAGAGGAGGAATCACAAATGCAATGTCATTGACCATTAATGCAAATTATTGTAGCTGAGTAGTGACTTTTTCTGAACGAATTGCAGTGACAAACATGAAACAAAAAATAGTAAATTCAGTGATCAAATGTGCAATTTACTAGATTTTCCCTTTACTCTACAGTCTACGGGCCTTTTAGGCATTTTGTTATGATTATTTAGTCAGCCCATGAGCGAAGACCAAGCCGCTCGAGGCCCATTGGAGTTTAGCGTTTACAAAAGAAAAAGAAAAAAAAAAAGAGAGACAGAGAGTAATTATATCAGAACAAAATGGCCCACAGTAGGATCGGATGGAGTGACGAGTCGAGAAACGTCCAGAGTCCCAAATGGTTTACCCGTTACTCAGGAAACGCGCGAAAGATCTCGAAGCCGCGAGCATGTGCTTACCCGTTATCCCGTTTGAAAATCCACCTCCACTCCCTTATAAAATGGCGAAGCTATTTGTCTGTGCTTCTGCAATAAGGAAATCTGCAGATAACTCAAAGCCTTGACAGTCGCCTGAGAAGAGAAGTTGAATCTTAGTTCCCGGTTGGTGGATCGCCGTTGAGCTGATAACTCAAGTCATTTGGATTGTGGCCCGTTTTGGCTGGAACTTGGAAGTAGGCTTTTCATTTTAGCATCGGCTCCCCTGAACGGTAAGTGAAATCTCTCTTTAATATTCATCTTGGAACTTCGAATTCTTAGGAACTGAACCCTTTGTATGTACTCTAGCTCTGCGATTTGGTGGTTTGGGTAATGGAAATGCAAGGTGAAGGGGGAATCGTGGAATTTGATTGGACCTGATTAGGAGTCTTTTGAAGGGTTTTGAGAATAGGGTTCAGAATTGAAGTTAGGTTTTCTCATTGCTGTCTCGTTTTAGTTGTTACTGGCTATTTCCTCAGTATGGTCTAAATGTCTAGGATCATAGCAGAAGCCAAGTCATCTCACTTGTTTGTGATCCGCAAGCTGGCTTCGTTCTGGATAGTTTCTCTTTGTTTCGGCAATTCTATTTTCCCCGCAACTATCTGAAGCATTCAATGATTTTGTCATTCAATTTTATGCTTTCTGTTGTTCTTCCCCACCATATCTCTGATCTTACTTGACCTATCATATATGTTGCGTTTGCAGCCTCGTTTCTATTGTATAATCTAATCTAGGGTTCCTTGGGATCCAACAACGTTTGTCACAATGTACCCCGATCCAAGATACATGCCTCCCGCATATTGGTATAGCCCAAGTCCTCGAGCTTTCCCGGCTGACAATTCATTCAAACCATCAGCCGCTTGTGAGACTTGGGCGCCATCCTTAAACAATCATGGCTTCCCAGTTCCAGGATATGGCTGCTGCGGCCACCCTTATAACCTTCATTACCCCTATGCTGGTCCATCTCACCAATTTCACTGTTTTGGGCATCACCCACCATATCCTGGTCCCTTCTGTACACCATACCTTCCTCCACCTTTTTATTACCAAATGGAGCAGAACCCAAATGGTTATGGCGGAGGCGATGGTTTGAGCAGGGAGCCCTCTCATTGTTGTGGATGTCCAAATCACAGTCACGGCCAGAAGAATGCTGAGATGACGAAAGCGGAAGAGAAGGAGCCTGACCCTGATCAGAATCAGGATGATTCCCTGGTTCCACTTCAGATAAAGGACAAACCATATCCAATTGTGTGGGTTCCAACTGGAGATAGAAAGAGAGCGAATGATGGCAAGGCACCTGAATCAAGGATTGAGCCATCTAAGGAGCGTGCAACGACGTCGGATGGTTGGTTTCCTCTTGATATGAAGGAGCTTGCTTCTTTACTTGGAGGTGCTGATAAGAAGAGAAGTCCAAGTCATCAAAATGGTGACCAGAAGGAGCAGCTTCAATTTCCATTGGTTTGGTTGCCTTCCCATCAGAAGCAGGACAAAGGTGTCAATGAACTTGGGACCATCAATGTCTCTAAGGCTAGCAAGTCTCCTGAGGTCAAAGAAAATTCTAACAGTGGTCAAGGTTCAGAAGAGAAGGCAAAACGTGAAAAGACCATCCCTGTGGTGGAAGTAAGACCATGCGAGGAAGACGAAAAATTTAAAAGCGAAGAGAGTAGTGAAAATGTCAACTCTTCTGAAGGAGCCAAAGGCGATGTTTTGATGACCATAAACGGCAAATCCAAAAGGCAGTCACCCTCCCAGCCAAAGTCAGCAAGGCTACCCCCAGTGTGTCTGAGAGTTGATCCCTTGCCTAAGAAAAGAAATGGTGGTTCCAGGTCTCCTAGTCCGCCTGGTTCTAAAGGGAAGCTGCAAGAGACATCGTCGGAATCTGTGAGGGAAGCTGCTCCTCCGAAAGCAGAGGATGGCGAGAGAAGTGCTGACAATGGTATATGCAAACAAGTTCCTGAAAATAAGAATGGAGGAGGAAGATGCGCTGAAGCTGAAGATTGTGCTATCAAAGAGAAGACGGAAGAACAACCAAGAAATGAGGGGGACCTGAGAAATGAGTCAGCAGGTGAGAAGAAGGAAGCATCTGAGTCGTTCACAGTGAGATATGCTGGAGAAAAAGCAGAAAATAAACAATTGTCAGATGGAGAGGCTGCTCGGCTTATCCAGTCTGTTTATCGTGGATACGAAGTGCGCAAATGGGATCCTATAAAGAAATTGAAGCAAATTGCTGCAGTAAGGGAGCAGGTGACTGAACTCAGGAACAGGATCCATTCTTTCGAGACATCTTCTGATCATCCTAAGGATGGTAAAGCAAGAGCGTTCATTGGTGAAATAATAATGAGCCTCCTGTTGAAACTAGATGGCATTCAGGTATACTTTTGACACCAAATAGGATTTCTAAATTCTTGTCTTCCAAGTTTTGCATAGAAGATGATATTTCTAGTTCTAGATAAATCCTTCCTTGCTGCAAGTTTGTGTCATAGAAAGTTTCATTTGCTCACCAAATTATCCGATAAAGTTATATTAAATTGGGAAGTGCTGCTTGCAGGGCTGAGTGATTGGGTTTCTGAGAACCCAATGCTTAAATTTTAACAACTGTGATTCTAGGAAGATTGAATTTCCTATCCTTGTTCAGTTCGGTCCACTTACAACTTATTTGAATATTTTCAATGCTTCATGGTCTGATTTTGTCATTGCTTCTTTCCAGGGTTTGCACCCTAGCCTGAGGGACATCAGAAAATCATTGGCGAAAGAGCTTGTTACCTTGCAGGAGAAGCTGGACTCTCTTGTAGTGAACAAGCCCGAAGAGACACAGGACAATAAGTGCCTTAGTTGTAATGATGTGCAATCGCAGCAAGAGAAACTACCAGTTCCCAGAGGACAGCTAGTCAACAAGCCATCACAACTGGGTCATGACATGGGGAGTAACTTGAATAATGGTTGTGACATTACACAGCCTAATTTACCAATTGCCGGGGTGGGAGAAGCATCTCAGGAAATGGAATCACCAGCAATACATTATCAGGAATTCAAGATTTCTGATGGAGGTTCACTTCCTGAAAGGGATGAAGCCACAGAGACAGATGTGAGGGCTGCTCATACCAATATCGAGGGAGGGGGATCAGAAAGCTGCGACGCTATTTCTGCAGGAGCAAATTCCCTCGAGGGTGCAGGTCCTGATCCAGAGGAGAAGCGACCATTCATGGCCAAAGTAGACGCAAATGAAGTAATGCAGATTAGTGATGGTTCTCATGATGATGGACTCGAGGGTTTGGCGATAGCCGATGATGAGGTGATTGCTCCTTGGGAGGAGGACACAGGAGAAGAGAAGCATATAAACTTGAGTGGTGAAGGGATCGGAGAAATGGGCTGCCCACTAGAATCACCTGAGGGAGTGACCGAAGAAGAGAAAAGTGGACCACTGATTATGGAGAATGATAGTCTTACAGAACAGGAGCAATCTGATGTAACTTCCAAATTATCCGAGAACAAGGAACACAATGAGCCCTTGGAAGTCCTGGTACCAAAGAGTGAACCCGAGCATAATGTAGCTGCAGAACAAAAGTTGGATACCAAGGAGATGAAGCTGGTGACATGCACAGAGTCCTTAACTATGGAGAATGCAGTCGACCAAGACGTAGATGCGGATATCGAGGAGAAGAAGCGGGTGGTATGCAAAGAGTCCTCGACTATGGAGAGTGAAGTCGACCAAGATGTGGCCGCAGATACCGAGGAGAGGAAGCTGGTGGCATGCACAGAGTCCTCAACTATGGAGAGGGAAGTCGACCAAGACGTAGCTGCAGATACCGAGGAGGAGGAGAGGAAGCTGGTGGCATGCACAGAGTCCTGGACTATGGAGAGGGAAGTCGACCATGACGTAGCTGCAGAGAAAAGCCTTGATCTCAGTGTCGAGGGTGAAGATGAAGCCCTTCATGACGTTCAGTATGCAGTATCAAAGGACCTGTCATCTGAATCTGAACGTGAAGTTCATTGTTCAGCAGATCAAATACTCGAAGGAGACTCTCGACACAGCATCCCTGCTTCCGAAATTCCAAAGGAAATGCTCGTAGCAGCGGAGAAAGAAACGCAGCTGGAAGATGGAGGAAATGTTTGCTCGACCGAGACAGACCCCGATGTAGCCAGTCCTATCGTGTCTGCAGAAGCTGTCGTCTCCCCTGGGAGATCGGAAGTCCTGCCCAAGGTAGGATTGGTAGCAAGTGAAGAGCAGAATGTTGATGACAGGAAGCTTGTGGAGGTGAATGCAAGGCTGAGAGAGACGATGGAGAAGCTGCTCGAGGCTGGGAATGAACAAATGAATGCTATCTCCAAACTGACCGGCAGGGTGAGAGAGCTGGAGAAGAAAGTATCCAACAAGAAGAACAATCACGCCAGGCCGAGACGACGGAAAGCTACAACTCCGCGCTGCAGATCATCAATAAAGGGCGCTGCCTCTGCTGCGTAACTGAGGCATGCTACTGCTTGCTTGGGTTGCGTTGCTGAAAAGCTTGTATTCTTGTGTGTCCACTGTGTATCGTCCTTGTTTGCTAATGATGTTATCACTGTGAATAATAATTGTGAGAAAACCGAATGAATAAAAGGGTGTTATTATTACACGAGAGTAGTTTTGAATTTTGATCTGTATAAAATTGTACTACTGAGTAGGGTTGGGAAATGGTTGGTCCAGACCGAGAGGTTAAAGTATAGACCACGGACCAGACTACAGACTATACGGTTCGGTCCAGTCCACGACTGTGCGGTCTGGTTTGGTCTTGTCTGGTCCAGATAGACCGCACTCAACGAAAAGTGAATAATTTGTTAAGTCAACCACACAAAAAATTGAACCAATAACCAGGAAAAATAATTGTTATTTGCCTTGAATCATTAATCCTAACATGCATGAATAATTTTGATACTCTAAATCTTAGTACATACCAAAGATACAAAGTAAAAGCATCTCAACTTGTACCATAACGTTATAAACATTAACATAATGTCATATGGAGACACGATTATCTCTACTCTCTAGTTAAATGAGGTTGTGAATTAAGGAGGGACGAGATTCACAAAATTAAGGTTAAGACTTTGGTGTCGTTTTGGGAGTTGGGAGAGTGGTCGAATGGGCTGTTAACACGTATTTATAAGTCAGTTGGGTCCACGGTTTGGTCCGGTAAACCGCGGTCTAGACCAGACAAGACTAAGAGATCAAAATATAAAATAATACAGACCATGGACCAGACCAGACCATACTTGACGGTCTACGGTTCGGACCAAACTGTACAGTACGATTTGGATCATGATTTTTCTAACGATCTGGTCTATTTTCTCAACCCTACTACTGAGTTTGCTGAAACTCTGCTCAAGGTGGCTGGGATTTTTCTCTGCAAAACACAGGTAGGAACACGTATTGAAAGCAGTATTGTTGTGACCATCTAACTTAAAACAAACATTTATAAATCGTACTACTACACACATGGATAATGGATTGGTCAATTTTTGGATATAAAAAGCAAGAGAATGCCAAAAAGGAGAAAACAATGCATTTTTATTGTTTGGTACAAGACAAAACAGAAGCCAAAAAAATGAAAACAAAAAGCTGTTACAGAAAATGGATGGCTCATTACTGGGCCCAACTTGGCCCACGGAAGACAAGATGAGGCCTTCCGTCCCGGAGCCCGGCATGTGCAGTTAATTACCCATGCGAAGCTGGGCCTTCAGTCAGATGGCAGCATCGGATTTTCCCATTTGCTCGAGATGCCACGGCCGTGTAAATGGAGGGGTAATCGTAATTCAATCAAGGTTCGAGAAGAAGTAAATGTAGATGTAGTTGGGTTGGTGGCATATGGTCTAATTTCGTCTGCAGTGCATTAATAATAATAATGACATTATATATGTAGTCACATTTAATCAAATTATCATCATATAAGTAATCTAATTTCTTTCTAGCTAACTCTGGGAGAGTACTGCTATATGTTCTAGATAGATATAAAGGTTGTTTTTTATTACAACTACTGCATGGCCACACAACACTTTGAGTTGTTAGAGTCCAATGATGGCACTGGCTAAGGGGTCGTTTGGAAGTTACGATTGTTAAATAGATGTATTGTTGAGAATGCATGTATAATATTATACATGTATTGTCGAATTTGATGCATTGTAGAATACAACGTTTGGTATGTGTGATTGTGTATGTCGCATCAGCTAAAAGCTGAGACAAAACAATCTCAACTCAACTATCTCAACAATCACAACTAAAAGTTGAGATATAACAATCACTCAAAATGAGTGATAGTTTCTGTCACATCACAGAAACAATCTATGTATTGTTTCTGCTAAAAAAAAAAACAAAAAAAAACGATGCACTTTAAACATTACATGCATAATGACAATCTCAATAAAACTATCGCAACTTCCAAACGACCCCAAGTTGCAGACTTACAGGCCAAGCTGTGTGGCACCAATTTGAGGTTTGTGCAGGGTTCAATGTTTCATCAACTAGCATAGTACATTGACTTACGTACCCTCTAATGGTCAAACCTGAAAATGGAAAGCAGTTAAGTTAAGATGTGGGAGAGAGAGAGAGAATGGAACAGTACAAAAATATGGAAGAGTTTTAGTTGTTGGATCTCAATGCATTGTATATATATAATATATATGGATTTCTTTGATTAGTGAAAGTCAACAGTGGATGGTTAGGTTAGGGTTTGAGTGGACCAAGAAGCTCGAACTGCTACACTGAATAATTTATGAGTATCTAAACATGTGCAGACTGCAGGAGTTGTGACAATTGTCCTGATGCTGTGAATAGAGTGTATCCAAGTGCAAGTCACTGAGTGGACATCTGGTTTCGTGGTGTAGTTGGTTATCACGTCAGTCTAACACACTGAAGGTCTCCGGTTCGAACCCGGGCGAAGCCATTATTTTTCGTAATCAATATGAATCTCAAATCAAAGTTTGCGATTGATTACCTTACGCGCGTTTGTAATTTTTGCTAGTTTGTTAATTCACACTAATACGAATCTTGTATCGCATATAACTTATATACTCCGGAAATCTTGCTAGTTTGTTAATTCACACTCATACGAATCTCGTATCGCATATAACTTATATACTCCGGAAAATCGATACTCTCACATAGTAGAAATCTCAGGAACAAATGAGATGTTTGTATCTACTAGTCCACCCTACCCTTCCAAAGGTATTTTGTCATTGTGGCTGTGGATTGTGCATTTGGTGTTATTGTGTTGGGTAGCGTGAAAGGCAACTGAGATTCCTTGGACACTCATATACAAACATACAGCGAGTTAAAAAAGGAAAAAACCCTTCACCAAATCCACATAATTGGATTTCTCTGTTTTTTTTTAAATAAACTTACGATTCCAATAATAATTAGGGTAGTAGGAGTTGTTCAGATCCCCTACACTGATGAATTTTGCCTCAATTATTGACCAATTTATTGTTTTCTGCACATTTTGGATCTTCCATGGAGGGACACTGGTCAGTAGCCACATGACAGTGGAGTGGATAATAAACAAATTGCTCCTCCATTCCAATTTACTGTTCAGCTACCCTGAATTTATGATTTGACTATAGGGACTGTGAACTGTACTTGCTTAGAGAGTAAATGAGGTTAGGCTAGGTCAATCATTTTTAGTAAATGTGGTTCTTGTGTTAGGACTGTCAATACAAAATCGAACGTCAATAGCGTGGTTACTGGTTAATCGTACACCACATAAAAAGGGTCTTTTAAAAAGGAACAGTCCGACTCTCTGAGGGCCCGAGTTCAGCTTGACCCAAATGAAAATACGTATCCAACCCTTCTAATCCAGACCCAACTATTCCTCTTCGATTTCATCGGGTTCCTTTTGTGTCTAATTTGTTGGGTTCCATTTCAATTTTTCATCACCCGAAGACTGCTGCCGCTCAAGGTCCGACCATGATTATGCTGCGTTTCTGCCGAATAGGTGATGCGGGGTTTACTAGATTTACCTGTCATTTCTTAGTGTCGTTGGATGGTCAGATGAATGGATTGTTTCGGATTTTGCATGTCTGGTTCCTTGTTTTTTTGGTCATTAGGTAATGCGAGTTTTATATATGGTAACAACGGGTAATTGTTACCTGTATAATGCGATTAATGAGTAACAGCTAACTGCACGCGATGCATATATGGTAATGGTTGGCATATCCCGCTCTAAAATGGGTATGAGTAACATCCCTAAATAGTACGAGAAACCGTAGCTGCAGTGATTGACACCCCCTAGTACTCTGGATTGTTATATTAGTAATTGTAAAGGAAAATAATGTTTATGGGATGTGCCCTTCTTTTAATGAAAAGTACACTTTTAAAGGATAAAAGTGAGAAAGAGAGACAACAATACTAACTGAACAGTCGCAAACAGTCACATATAAAAACTGAGGTCGTACAATCGTTCATTTTCGAATGATTGCTTACGTCACATCTAACAAAAAAATACAAGTATTGTGCATGCAAAAAAAATATATATCGTATTCTAAAAAATACAGACATTGTATTCTAAAAAAATACAGACATTGTAAGTTTGTAACAATCTCACTAACCCAATCCTAAAACCCAAACCACCCTCTCATTGTTAAACTGTAATCGAAGGTCAAAATCGGTAATTTGACCTAAGCAAAACCAGTGATGGCAGCCACGTCGCCGATAGTGAAGTCTCATTAAGATTTAAGAGGGTGTAGCACCAAACCAACAAAATTGTACGTTAATTTGACAATAAATGACTCAAATTGGAAATAAACAAACGTTTAGGTATCAAACTGTCCATATAAGCAAAATTACGGGACACATTCGCAACTTCTCCATTTCTTCACAGAAAAAGGTCGAAAGTGAAATCCATCTCCTCCTTTCCCTTTCCCCGGACCATCAGAGACAGACAGACAGCAAAAGGCAGAGGAAGGAAGGGCTTTACGGTCATTCTCCCTAGACACTGATCGGCGACAATGGCTTGCAGAGTTGGCAATGTCCATTCTGCAGCTTCACCACCAGCTTCCATTCCATTCTCCTCCTTCTTCCCCACTCTCGCTTTCAGCAGTTAAGCTGCTCCAATCCCTTCACCCACCTCCACAGCTCCCCGCGCGCTCTCTCTCTCTGTCTCACTTAACTGCACCTCCAAGCTCTCTCTCTCTCTCTCTCTCTCTCTCTCTTTCTCTTCATTCAGAAAGCTCAATTCAATACTCCCTCTCTCTCACTCCTGCTGCTCGTCCTTCTCCGACGAAGCTGCCTGCCGCTGGAGAGAAGAGATAGAGAGGGAGAATGCCGTTGGTTAGGTTTGGAGTGAGGAACGAGTACTCGTTGGGCCAGCCGGAGCTCTACACGGAGGTTGACCGCGAGGACCCCAAGGCCGTGCTCGACGGCGTTGCGGTTGCCGGTCTCGTCGGGATCTTGCGTCAATTAGGCGATCTCGCTGAGTAAGTGAACCGCTGATCACCACTTCTTCACCCTTTTTTTTCTTATTTCCCGTTTCTACTGTTCTTGACAGCTCCGTGTTGCTCGCAAATTGATATTCGGGTTCCGAATTTTTGGAGGTTAATTTGATTTCTGGATGTTCTTGGTGGAGTGCATTTGGCTGATTAGACGGGGCAGCAAGACATAATTGTGAATTGGAGTAGGATATGAGGTTCTCTTCCACTAGAATGGGGAAATTTTTTTAGTGCGAAACTATGATTGCTGTGTAGTAGAGGAAGTCAATGAAGAGAGAACTGTTGCATTAAATACAAATAGTACTTCTGCTTGAGCCAAGAACGGAAAAAAACAGAATGGAGTTTTCTGGCTTCAGTGTTCAGTGTTCAGACAATGTCAATTTGCGTAGGGAGGATGGTAGTTGGAGAAGTGATATCGTGGTATGTTGGTGTAGGTTTGCAGCAGAGGTGTTTCATGGCTTACAGGAGCAAGTCACAAGTACAGCTTCTCGGAGTCACAGATTGAAGGTCCGTGTGCAGAACATTGAAGCGGCGTTGCCTCCTATTGAGAAGGCCATATTGGCTCAGAATAGCCACATCCATTTTGCTTACACGGCTGGTCTGTTTCTATAACGCCTTACTTATTTTTACCGAATCCTCTTTGTTGATTTGGTTGTCTCTAGTAAATTAAGTTGCTTGAGGCTGTCAGCTTACGTTATGGTTTGATTGTTCACCGTATTAAGACGAATAACTTCTTTACAGGTTCCGAATGGCATCCTCGCATCCAGAATGAGCAAAATCACTTCATCTACAATGACTTGCCCCGTTTTATCATGGATTCTTATGAAGAAAGCCGTGATCCACCACGCCTGCATTTGCTTGACAAGTATGGTTGATCGTGCATCCATGATTATTTGAATTCAAAGTTCGGTATCAAAATGGTTTCTTATGGTAGCTTTCCCCTTTTCGTTCCCTTTCAGATTTGACACTGGTGGTCCAGGATCATGTTTGAAGAGGTATTCTGATCCAACCTTCTTCAGAAGAGCATCAGGTAGCTTGAGGGAAACAGGTGGCGAGAAAGTTCAAAGAGATAAGAAGGCTCGTAAAATCAAGGTAAGCTTTTTTCGGTGACAGTTTCTACTAGGTAGCCATTGTCTGTGTTTTTTTCTGTCAAGGGGTACTGCCATGCAATATTGTAATGTTTGAACTGTGTGCCTTTGCTTTGTATTCATTGTAAAGACTATGGCCTGTGACATAAAAGCGCAGCATAATCAATATTCAATCCAAGTGTTCTTACTACTTTGCTACAACTATTAACCACAAATGTTGCAAAATCTTCAGAAAAAGAGATCATTACAAAGGAAAGGAAGCTCATTGCGTAATGGGTCAATCTCAAGTCAAAGCACCAGGTATTTTATTGAAGAGGTTGAGAATGTTTTCCCACAATGGATGGTATTGAATTGTAACTTCTGCTTGGCATTTGACTCTACAGATTTCAGTTTTTCCCGTCAGCTGGTAATGGAAGGACTTCTCCTTCCCACACAGCCTCTTCTATTGACATGACATTAAAGTCTGATCTTGGGGATCGCTCAAATTCTTTCGATTCAAGAACTGGATCTAGTCATATTGAATGTGTTTTCCGTCCCAGTTCCTCCATGCAACCTGAGGAACAGGAGGAATCCGTTGAATTCTGTTCAAGGTCTTTCCAGCAAGATGATGATATCCATGAGTGCAGCTTTACTGGTGAACAGCCTGGAGTTGCTGATGATAATTTTCTACACCCTTCATCACCAGAGCAGGTTCCTCCTCGTTCCTCTTGTGTTACTTGGGATGAGAAGGAGGAAATATCAGAGGCCAAAAGTCAACACTCCGAAGGAGATGAAGCTCCAGCAGATATATTGGGTGCAGATTCTGTCGCAGAAGATATACAAGAATCAAGAGCCGTTGCTGAGATTCACATTCCAAAAGGCGTTCCATTTGAGGATGAGAATATTCGAGGGCCAAGTTCCATTTTCACTCAGCTTTATGATGTTGAGAGTGAACCTGACAACTTCATGGATGCTCTTAATACCATCGACACTGAATCTGAAACTGATGTTGATTATCAGACAAAACATGAAGTGAAACAAGGTGAATCATTATCTACCAGTAATGGTGGAAGGACAGAAGATGTGCTTAATGTGTTGTCTGCAGTTGATACCTCAGATCATCGTCATCCACAAATTGATGATCACACTCCATCCGATACTTCTTCATGCAATGAAATGGCTGCTGATGTATTTGTCTCAGTCCCCTCAGTTAGTCCTGCTGAGGAACGAGCTCCTGAGGTTCCTGAAGTATCATCTTCTGCCTCCGATTCTGAATCAGGTACACTAGCTTCTACGTCTATTGATCCTCCGGATGGCTCAAAAGAAGTGGAATCTGCTGTTTTCGACCGGCCATCATCTGGGATTGCAGTGCCGGAAATACAGGAGCTGTTGCCTGATGAAGTGCTAAACAGTCCCGACAAGCCTCAAGAATCTCCAGTTCCCGAGTTATCCCGTGTTGAATCAATTAAGATCTGGACCAATGGTGGACTCTTAGGACTTGAGCCATCAAAGCCTCCTGATTTCAATATGTCAAATACTGATCGTCATGGTTCAGAAACAAGTACAACTGAGGCGACAAACTCTCCAATGCCAATTAATAATGGTGACACGAGAAAGCTAAACAAAGATGGCGAATGTATAGAAATACTTGCTGGTCCCAGAAGTCCTGCATCATGGCATGATGATAATGTTGCCAAAGCTGATAAACATTCAAGTGATTCTCACTGCAGAAGTAGATTCCACCCATATGGTGGTGGGTTAACTTCTACTGGGTTGCCACTTAGCACAAATGTCAAACCTACATCTGAAGAAGCAAGTCACGAGGATGACGAACACTCATCTCACATTTTTGGGCTTGGCCAAAGGCTACTTGCTAATGGATTTCGAAAAAAGATATCACTTGTGCCTTCTTGTGAACCTGAGATGCCTAACTCATCCCCTCAACAGAGTAAGCAACCTTTTGTTAAGTTTCAAGCAAGTCCACTTGACGTGCGGTTTGGTCATAAATCTGCAGATTATCATCTTACATCTTCACCGCCGCTAGAACACATGAAAATATCTTTCCAGCCTACCAATGATTTTGAAGCTTTTTCGAAGCTGAAACTCAAATTCCCTGATGGTAGTAACTACTGCAGTGAAAGCAGTAGCAGCAGGGATGTGTTTCCATCATTCCAGTTGGTTCCTGAGGCAGTTGCAACTGGAAGAAACGACGTGGCTTCTGACTCGGATGATGATGATGACACTTTCTGCAGATCATCTCCTTACATGTCAGACGATGATGGTCTCAGCCGGCATTCTGATATGGATTCAGAAGACCACTGGGAAGCTGGCGGGTCCCCAGAAAGCGTTGATGATGTGATTCCGTCAGCTGAGGAAACTGCACATGCTGAGAATGACGGTGCTGTTTCATGCCTCTCTGCTACTGTACTTGACCTTCCTAGTTTTGATGATGTAAAGCCCCCTCACCAGGAAGTAAGACAGGAAGATTTTGACCCATTGAGTTCCTTGGAGCTGTTGCAGCATCCCAAAGCATCGAGTCCATTGCCGCCTCCTCTCCCTCCAGCTCAATGGCGGCTTTCAAACCCCATTTCTGAACCTCAAGCTACATTTGATGCTCATCAACCTAAACCAGCCCCTGTTATGACTCAGCAATCTAAACCAGCTCCTGCTAGTGAACAACAGCAGTCTCAGGTTGTCGTTCCATTTAAGGTGAAGAGCAAGGTGAGCGACAATCATTTGGGTCCAATTCCAATGATTATTTTGCCCTTGAAGATCTAATCTTGGTTTTGCATATGCTCGCAGGATGAACAGAAGTTGAATTGGGTGAAGGAAGCTAATCAACCTGCAAATGGCAAGGTGATGGATGAACATGATGATTTCTTGCACCAAATTAGATCGAAGGTGAACTTTCTTTGTTTTTACTACTATATAACATAGTTCTCACTTCCACACAAGAGGCAAAGAATCAAAATAGCATATTTTTAGTCAAATTTAGTGTTGTAGTTTGGCTGACATATCTTCTTTTGGCAAACTAATGCATTAAGTCATTCTCTCTGAGACCCACGGCCCCATCAAAGACGCTGGTGTCCGAAACGACTGCAAACAATAGAGTGACGGAGATCTTGAAGAAGGCCAATGCAATACGCCAGGTTTTCAATTAATCCCTACCGCTGTTTTTCCCCGTCTTCCTTACGATTGGAGCCTATGAAATATACTGAAGTGAGTAACAAAATGCAAAACTATTCCAGGCAGTTGCAAGTGACGTGGACGACGATGATGCGTGGAGCGACAACCCTTGATCATCGCGTCATTTCCTCGGGGAGAGAGAGAGGAGGCGGTAACATGTATGTGAATAATTTGTTTGTTTTTACTTTTTGCCTTGATCGGTGTAATTAAGTGAATCCGGTAGCACGGCCTTTAAGTGTTTGCATTGCTGCCTCCTCTTATAGACGAAATTTGAGATTAGAGAGAGTAGGAAGCAATGCCAGTCATGTAATTTCCCCCCAGTAAGTTGGCTGTTGTTCTGCAAAAGGAGGATGTTTCCCTCACCTCGGTCGCATTGATGCAGGAGCTGCTGCAGTGGTTTCCTGGGAATGGTGAATCATGAATGTAAAGAGGGAATTGTGGGTTCCTTTGGATGGTGAAATGGAATTGCAGCAGTTGATAGATGAATGATGAAGCTTTGGCTTGGCATAGGAGCTGCTCGACATCCTCCCCCTCTTCAATCTGTTATATCTCAGTTTCTTTTCCTGTTCACCATAGTGCTCTTGTTTCCTACCTCTTCTCTTGTTATAGATGAACGTTTGTGTTCTTTTGGGTTCTCTCGGAACCTTTTTGAGTATTTTGTATGTATTCCTTTGATGGTCCAGGAAATAATAATACGGTATCATCCTTATATATATAAGAAAAAAAAGTTGGCTGTATGTATTCCATTCATTGACTGACTCCTTGTTTTCAAGTAGGTTCAAAAGAGTAAGCTAGGGGTGAGTATGAGTCGATTCGGTACAGAATCAGATCAAGTCGAGATAGGATCAATCAAGTTCAAAATACGCGGAGGTGAGAGTCAAATCTAAAGGGCACATTTTGAAACGATTTGGTTCATTCCAATTGCAATCTCAATAACTTTTACTTCATATATAATTAAATATATTACAAATTGACTCAAATTATATTTGATCCAATTCGATCTACCTATCAAACACTAAATAATAGTCATAGACGGTGGTACTCATAAAACCAGAATAATGGAAAGGGCAGTTTCTTGCGGAGAATCTTTAAACAGAACCAGAACATTGTTAAAAAAAAAAAAGAACAATGATCCTTTTTTAAAAATATCAGCAGAACCATTCTTTTCCGTTTCAAAGAAAAACAAATTAGTTTACATTAAGAACACCAAATCTCATAATACTTTTTTTTTTTTGGTGGAAATCTCATAATACTTTAATGATCATTTGGAGTAGTCTAACCTTATTAGCTTGTTAATTAAAAAGTTCAATTTTCTTTCTTCGCCCAAGAATCTCGGGGAAGAAACTTTATTCCCGGCTAAAAAAACGCGACATGAGTTGACAAAAATGAGTACTATATATAACTATACTACCATCCCTTTGCTTAATACTATTTTATTTATCATAATTATACCATAACACAAACAGATCGGACAGGTTGATTCAAAGAAAACTTGGTTTTGTTTGTAAAAGCAATTATTTTTCTTTTTTTAGTTCTTGCAATTTGGAAACATCTGACTGAAATTTAGTTTTTATTTATTTATACAAAGAACCTCTTTGACGAGCAGCAGATTCAGTGATATTGCAGTCAGGTAAAATCCGAAGTTGTTGTCCTTCAGCTCAAATGAAACTGAGGGTGCAACTCAAGGATTTTATGCACCAAGTGGTTGATGGCAGGGAACACCCGACCTTGCGTGTGTCGAACCATCTACCCTACCAGCTGGAGTGCTGGACTACCCCTCTTTTGCTTGTGTATAGTAAAATTTGGCTCCTTAATTTTGAGTAGAATCATATCTAAGTACGAGATTAATATCGTTTTCAATTTTTCTAATCAACTTAATATTTTTTAAACTCAAATTTTGTTTATTTTACAGAAAGCGAGTTCATTGTGTACAAAAATAAACGTCTTCAAAAAGCGATGGAATTTTCACTCCCTGTCAGTCATGCAACTAAGTCCCGACATCTTTATCTTTAATTTTGAAAAGTGTTTGTGACTAATCAATCAGAAAGAGACCTTTGATTATTATACTGGAAGAGGACTTCCAAAGCATCGAGAAAGAAAAGTGCATCCCTCCTTTTCAAGCAAAAGGAAGAAGAAAGAAAAAGCAGAATTCATAAGAGAATTGAAAACCTTGTTATTTAAAAAGTGAGAGTTGGAAATGGAGCAACTTCTACTTTTATATATTTAATTTAATTCATGATTGTCTCCTGTTCAATAGCTAAAGGATTGATTAAAAAACCAAGTATTGAAACACCGTATCGGAGGTTGTATCGGAAAAGTAAGTGGTCAGGTATTTTATGCTAAAATCATGGTTTAACCATGGTTCAACTGCTTAATACCGCTAAATATCGCTGGTACGATACAGTATTTTCTGGTCGAACTGCCGGTATGATACAATATTTCAATCCTTGTAAAAAACACACGCGCAGATGGCTAAAACAATTAGCTTATAGATAAAAAACAATTAGATAGTAGAATTTAATGGTTACCTCCGAAACAAGGCATAATTATACTTATAGGCATGAGCATGAAGTTGTATATGGAGAGCAACATGTCACCCCATAGTGCACATATGTTACCTATCTAAAATAGTTCGGATTTTACTCATATCAATACAAGAATTGTGTAGAATATCAATAGTCAAAACCATACCTATACCCAATCGAATTTTGGATATCCAGCTATCAACCGCAATATTCAGATTCGGGTTTTACCAATATCCATTGTCATGAATTCGAGTTTCGGTTTTACCCTACCAGATTAGGTCGGATTCAGACTAATATCCACGAATACGGTTATCTTCACCATCTCTAAAGTTGTCTTTTGACATTTAGATTACAAAATAGACGCATAATTCGTAGTTAGTGAATGAATACCATGACAAGTATTTGCAATTTTATGAGCTAAAGTGTGAAAATCTAGAACAGTTATTCAGCTATATATATGTATTAATACCTCATCCGATTTGAATACAATGATTATGATCATTTTTACTATTTTTATGACTAATAATTCCAATTAAAATATGAATCTGTCATGAACTATATGTACATGCATTTGGGGAAAGGCAACTAAAAGCCAGTCAAGAACAAGGAAGGAAAAGGGTGTCATAAAGGAAATGAAAAATTAACCAATAAAGCAGCCATTCAGGCTTAAGCAACAAAAGTTCATCATCAGAAAATCCACTTGAATGCTACCCAAAACCCTTGTGAGTAAAGCATCCCAATCCCAACTTTTTTTGTTGTTGTTGTAAAAGATGAAGAGTTCGACCCAAAAAACCAACTATTTTAATGTTGACCAATGATCCTCATAGGCTTTCTTTCTTTTGCATTTTCGTTCCCTTTTCCTGGCCTCAGCTTGGGGGTGTTAATTGCAATTCTCGATGGCCGGTGTGTTGGGCTGAATCGTAGACATTGGAGCATTTTCTTTTGAATGTACAATGGCAACTATTTTTGCGGGTGTCGTTAAGCTTTTGGATGGCTCGGGTTGAGGACTTGAGGTAGAGCTATCTTCAATGAAATAGGACAACTACACACTAAATATCCTCGAGTTATGCTAATTTGATATGATTTGCTTTTTGTAGTTGGCTTTTGACCTGAACACCGTTATCTTAGTGATATAGATAATTCAAATGATCTTTTTTTATTAAAAAGAATTATAATTATTTATTTATTTGTGCATAAAAACCGATGCAAAGCTAGGTATATAATATTGCATCTCCAGCTGGAGGGAACAATTTATTAGCTCAGTTATCCAATCCTAGTTGGGCAGAATGAAACCATAGCATGTGAAAGCTTCTTCTCAAACTTGATTCCCATTTCCATTCCCTTCATGTTATGTTTGCTTCTCTTTCTCTTCTCTTCTCTTTCTCCCCATTAATCTATCAGTAGAGTAAAGACTATTAGATTCCAATTCTCCCCATTAAGTCACCATTGTTATGTTATGCAAGCTAAAAAAGATGAATTGCCAGAAGAAGGCATAATATACTCATGAAATATTGGGGAGGAAAAAGAAGGAAAAGCAGAAAGTAAGTGAAAATTAAAGCAAAATATCCAACTTTAAAAGGTATATAAGAAATAAGGAAAGTGGGGAGGTGTTCATTTTTCTCCCCCAGAAAGGCACATATCATGGCTTTTGTTAATCAACTTTCTTCTATCACTAAAAGAAAACCTAGCTTTCCTTTATCTCTTTAGTGGCTTTGCTCGAGTGTGTTTGTTTCATAAACTTTTCAAATTTTAAAGTTTAGTAAAAAAACAATGAATTTTAGTATTTTACATATTTTCCCCAAGCGTGAGCCATTGTGAAGGGTTATATGGAATTGAATTTGATGAAACATTTTTTTCTTATAGAAAGTTTAGATATCGTAAGATTGTTGTTGGAAATATCAGTTTAGAAGATGACAAATGTGTTAGTTGGATGATAAATCTGCATTCCTAAATGGGTTTTTAATATATTATGGTGATATATGGTATTAATTTATAAAGGAAATTAGAGATTACTAGAAATTAACATCTATGGTAAAAGTACATAGAAGAAAAGGCAAATTACAGTGGCAAATAAATCAGCAGTTGTAAAGATACAAATTGTTAAAAAAAAAAAACATCCGATCAAACTCTTGGTTTCATTCTTGAAACTCGTCTACTTCCTTGGGCTCAATCTTGCACACGAGGAAGGAATTTTATATTAAGCGACCTGGAAATTTTGAAGGTTCGAGAGGAGAAAAATCCAATTTGTGTCCTTAAAACGATTATTTATTGTCCGAAGCAGATTTAAAGACCCCGGAATAAGGGGTTATTAGGAAAGTTGTATTAGTAGTAAGAGTAGTAGTAGTAGAACTCTAAAACTTGGAGGATCCTTAGTTGAGTGCAACATTTCCAAAAAGGAAAAAGTGTGAGCACAAGGTTCTACTTTGATTCTAACTCAAAACAACAAGGGTATAATATTAAACCAGCTAGCTAAGGAATTGTACATGTTCTCTTCCTTCATTTTCCTAACCTTTTCCTATACTCCAAGTGCCCTTTTGACATTTTGTAACGCACAGATTAGGCTTTTTTCCCCCCACAGATTAGAGTTAAGACTTTTTCCCTTACTAGCTAGTAAAGCAAAACAACAAAGCCAAAACCAGAGGAAGAGGAGGGGAGAGAATGAATGGCTATTGCTAAGTAGGAAAAAAAGTATAAAATAATAGTTTTGAAGATGATGATGATGTGGACAAAAAAAAGCTCACTCATCATATTTTCCACGCCACCTACTCCTTTTTGGTTTTCCCTCAACATTTCCTAAGCCATCAAAACCCTATCAAAGGAAGGATAAACTCAAATATATCGATCAACTCTTCATCATAAAAATTAGTTAAAAAACGAGACGCCTCATCGATTCGACATGTAATACTATTCTACGAATGTCGGCGTACAATTTACTTACAGATTTACAGTTCAAACTATGAAAGTAATAAGAAAGTCGTATAAGGTTTGATGTTGAATCCTTACAATGCAAAAAAAAAAAAAACCTTATAATATTGTCATAAATATGTTTGTTTCTTTTCTCCACACAACCTTTTTTTTCCCTCTCACTATATATACACACACCTCACTCTTCCTTCCATTTTCTCCTCCATGTACAAAACCATAACCAAACCCAATCCTAAAAAGAAACAACAAAAGAAAAAGAAAAACATGCCAACACAGGAAGAGGGGATCAAGCTGTTCGGAAAGACAATCACCGTGACGGCGGCGGCGGCAAAAGCAACCATGAAGGAAGAGAATAATCCTCACGCCGGCGATTCGCCGAGCAAGCCGGAGAAGATAATCCCGTGCCCGAGATGCAAGAGCATGGAGACCAAATTCTGCTACTTCAACAACTACAACGTCAACCAGCCCCGCCACTTCTGCAGAGCCTGCCACCGCTACTGGACCGCCGGCGGGGCCCTCCGCAACGTCCCCGTCGGTGCCGGCCGCCGCAGGAACAAGCCCCCCGGTGGCGTTCGGATCAGTCCTCCCCCCGTCGGGTTCCCCGATGGTGCGGCCGTGGAGGAGTGGCGGTTGGCTGCGGCGGTGGCGGCAGGTGTTCACGGCGGTGGGTTCCGGGATGTTTTTCCGATCAAGCGGCGGCGGTGCGACTCCGGTGGTCAACCGTGTGTTAATTAGCTAGTTTTTTTTTGGTTTAATATCTCACTAATTAATTTAATCCCACTTCTGCCCCTCACTTGGCCTCTTTTGATGTATTATCAGAATGAAATGAATGTAAAAGATATGTACAAATCAGAATTTTTATCACACCAAAAACGAAAAGAATTTTTAGACTCGAAGTCGGATTAGATTTGTATTGACTAATTTTCTATCGAGTTGATTAGTGGGTAGTAAAAGATCAGAGAGTTTGAACCTTGGAGGACACGGTATGATGGTGACTTAATATGTAATTAACGAGATTTGATTAGTAGCTAATTGAAGTAAAAAATTTAAGCTTTTACGCTACTTTGTAACATTGGTGTTCTGGATAAAAAAATATTCATGGTACAAAGTGAAATGATAAGTTTAGAATTAATGTACAAGTTTAGTTTGTACCTATAAAAATTCTTTTATAGTACAAAGTGAAGTACAAATCTAGTTTGTAGTTTGTGCCTATAATTTTTATTACAAATTCATTTGTTGTACAAATCAAATTTATACCTTCAACGTTATAATATAAATTCAATTTGTATCTCGAAATACCAGTATTTTAGAGCATACAAAAAGGGATTTGTGTAAAATTCTTGGCAGGCTACTAATCAAATTTTTGTAGGTACTCGTATGTCTTTAAATATGTGTACATTAGAGAAAGGCCAAGTGATGATTAGCAATAAAAGTTGGACCGTTTCTCTAATATAATCAAATTGGGTTACTTGTTAGTTACGTATAAATATGAAAAGGAGGCCGGCCTTCCTTTCTTGGGTTTCAACTTTCAACCAAATTTGGCGTTTGTGGGGAAACTGGTTCCAAAAAATAAAAATTAAGACTAGTTGTTTGTTTGTTTGCTTTTCAAGAAGAAAAAGACATTAGCATCTTCGTCAATTTTATCTCGACTCTCATAAATATATGAAGATAATGAATGTAAGAAATTCAAAGTAACATTTTCATATTTCATCGTGCAGAAGTTCAATTGAATAATACGCATACAGTTAATGATATAAAAGGCTATATTCCCACTCAACTCTCAAAATCATGTAAAATTACATGTAAATTTTTTAAAAAATTCAAAAAATATAGTATTCAGTAAGGCTTTCATAGCCTTCACCAATTCAAATTCTCTAAGTATAGATTTTGTCCCCTCGTCCAGATTTATGACTTCGACAATGTATGCAACCAGTGTGAGGGAAGATAATTACACCTCTTTTCATCATAAAAAAAAATCTTGCATGTTATGATACCGTTTGTTATTATAACAACTACGTATGCTAAATATTTTTCCTTTACAGTTGAGAGGGTTGACCTGTTTTCCAGATCACCAACAAGAAATGTGTGTGCAAAGTCTTCAAGGAAGACTTTATTATCATCATATTATAAAGAAAAAATAGTAAGAATTAAATAAAGTTTAAACATTCATCAACTCGAACGTCGAACGATCACCGTCCATCCTATCTATTAGGTTCAATTATGGTTCGGGTTATAGTATTACAGAATTCAAAGGCTACAAATTCTACAAAATTTGTGTCTTATCATCTCAAATATGAATCATATCATTCCCTGATATGATCATATAAAAAAAGTATGATTCATATCATGGATGATAAGATGCATGATTTTATGGGTTTTTCATATTTGAATTTTGTACCCTATTACTTTCTCGTTAATTATTAACGGAAATGGACAAATTACCTTTAATTCTCAACCAAACCTCTCTCCTTATTATTGTAGTTTGAAAAATTTTCTTCCCTATTCTCTTCGTTATTAAAGAATTAGATGCAACTACAGAAATAAGAAGAAAAAAGAAGAATCATATTCCAAGCAGATGCAAACTTTCAATGAATTGGACATAAAACTTACAAGAAAGGCAAAAGATTGAAAACTCCACAATACAATACAGGCAGAAAAAATGAAGAGAAGAAGTATTATTCTCCTAAGATGATAAGCTAGACATCACATTCCAATCTCAACTACCTAAAAGAATAAGGCACAAACATATTTATATTGAATATATATGTTTTTATTCAATATAAGGATAGTAATTTCACCAATAGTTGTCGGTGCTTTTAATTAAATCTTGCCCGATAACAATTGTACAACGATGAAACCCACGTTGGCATTACATTGTGATTGTGATTTCAATTTAAAGTTAATGTTTCAACTTAAATTTACAACATATATGAAAACAGAATTAAACATAAAATCGACGAGCGAATAAAATATTTGTTTTTGCGACATACTGTGTTTTTGTATTTACTTATAAATTATAAACTTATGGGACGAGACCTTGAGGCGTGATACCGAGCTCCCTGAGGACCTCGGGGCACTCAGGCAGAGCCTTGGTTATCAAGAACCCCATGGGGCTGACCCTCCTCACGCCGGAGACCATCCCATTGTTCTTTGTGATGCTGACCCTAGCCGAATCCTCCTTGTTTTTCTCCGGCTTGGGGATCTGGTTGCAGTCCGGCCTCGAGGACTTGACTAGGAACACCTCGCAGATCTCGTCCTCGTGGTCGCCCTGCACCGGTATGTGGTACACGCCGTGCGGGTCGGTGATGGCGTCCGATCTGAAGGTTATGGAACCTCCCTCACGGTCCTTGCACTCGAGACGCACCACAGCGTCTGCACCATGCGCCGGGAGAGGGAAAAAAAAACATGTCACAGACTCACAGAACAAACCAACTCTGATACCGTGTTTGATTTGTTTGTTCATGTTACGTTACCTGGCATGAACACGGTGACCTTGGTGATGAACTGGGTGCGGCAGGTGTCGCAGTAGACCTTGCCTTCGACGGTGAAGGAGTCGGCATTGGCCGTGCTGAGCAGGCCTAGGAAGCAGAGGGCTGATGCTAGGATGAAAACCTTCTCCATTGTTTTGTTATTATGTTTTTTTTTAAGGATTGTGTTTTTGTTTGGGATTGGAAGAGGGCGCTCCCGTTTTTATTAGGGCAAGGAAATGTCTTAACAATTGCTTACAAACGGTTTTTGATATGTGGTTATGAAACATTTTGACCCGCTCTTCTCTCTGTCATTCTGTCTTCCTAATATTATTCATTTTCGTTTCTCTCTATCTCCTCTCAATCTGACAAATTCGATCCATTCACTAAAAAGGAAAAATTTATTAAGAGACCAATTAGTTTCTTCGCAAGATCTTACCACAAAATTTGAGATGACAATTTTGACTTAACTCTTCTTACTCGATTTATTTCGAATGGATAATACTCATGTCAGAAGCACGCATGACATATATGGGACAATGTTCTTCCTTAACATGCCTCATTCTCGATCCATTTTGTCTAAATAATATGCAACTTTTACTCAAATTACTTGAAAATGTACTTCTACTATATTATATTTTTTATATAAATAAAATTATAAACAAGTGAGAACTATGACGACACAAGCTCGAAGATAAACAACCCGACGTATACCCAACCTACACCAAAACAAGTATGGGTATTGAAATACCGGTTATGAACAGAACTTGTACTGTACTACCAACAAATCAAGCATTAGGCCTCGCTCGATAAGGGCAAGAAATCTAGTTTTGGAAACTGGACACAAATCTTTCAGTTGGTTAATGGCATTTAACAAGAAGCAATTGCTGCTGCTGCTGCTTAAAATCCTATGAGAATGACGCATACACGCCCTTCTCTACAGAGTAGTAGTCAACCACACATCAAACCAAAAGCATTAAGAAGAAAACACAGAGAAAATGGCAAATTTTTGAACAATGTCTCCAGAAACAAAGAATAACGGAGAGCAACGGACTACTAACACCACGTCACAAGAGCCACAAACATTCTCCCCAGTCATCTGATGGTAAAACAACGCACTACCCGAGCTCAACTCCTCCGTTTGCTTGCGTCTCACTGCAAGGGAAGGGGCAACATGATTGCAGTAAGAATGAGATGTCTGACCATGGAAACAGAAAGAGAAAGGAGATGATTATCAGGAGCTGAATAGATAACTTACCTCAGCATCTTCAGCTCCACCGGATTTCTCGAGCTTACTTTCCTCTGCCATCAGCAAAACCAACATTAGTAAACAAATCAAGCACACAAGGTTTACAATGAAGAACAAGACAGCCAGGTACTTAGCAAGGAATTCAAGAGCAACGCGATAATGATTCCATATTGCCTAAAAGACAAAAATTTAATAGCAGAAAGAAGAGAGCATTAGCACCATCTTCTGGCATGTCAGAAGTCCACAAAGTCAGGTTATCCCTTAAGAGCTGCATGATCAATGTGCTATCCTTGTAAGACTCCTCGCTGAGAGAATCCAGTTCATGGATTGCTTCATCAAAAGCTTGCTTTGCAAGGTGGCAAGCCCTGGAAAGAAGAGTAGTAAGAACTTCATGAGAAAGGTACGACTTTTTTGCTACCAAAAGAATGAAAACACAAAGCACAATCAAGACATGTTTATATTAAAAGCTCGGTAGTTCAAGGCATACCTTTCAGGAGAGTTGAGAATTTCATAGTAAAAGACTGAGTAGTTCAAGGCCAAACCCAGCCTGATGGGGTGTGTCGGAGGTAGATCAGCCTCTGCAGCAGTAGAAGCTGCCTGCAACAGGGAAGAGAAAAGGAAAGAAAATTTTAGAATGCTTCTAAGCAAACAAGTGTATGACTATAGTTGAGATCCATCAGTAAGAGGTCAAACCTGATATGCCTTCATGGACTGATCAGCAACCTCTTTCCTCTCATCACTGGACTTAAATTCTGCTAGGTACCGATAGTAATCTCCTTTCCTGCAGCAAGCAAAATAAATAAAGAACATGGTTGAGACTCAGGCAGGCGTCTTTCCAGCTTATTATGTGAAAGAACGACCTCAGCTTCAGTGTCAAATTTTAGAAATGGGGAGGAAACAATGTCTATGCACACCATGTTGCCACAAAACCTATTGAACACTAACCAAAACCACAAAGTATGAAACTATAAACAAAAAACGCTGCATCACAACAGCCATTGAGCAAATAAGAGGGGGGAAAAAAGACCACGGATGATACTCAGAAAGGGGTCTTTCTGGCATATTAAGTGAATGAACAAACTCAGCTTCAGTGTCTAATTTTAGAAGATAAGGTACAAAATGGGAAGGAAACAATGTCCAAGCATACCATGTTGCCACAAAACTCTTCAACACTAAAATCACATCATAGTATGAAACTATAAACAAAAAATGCTACATCACGAAAGCCATTGAGAAAATAAGATAAAAAATGTAAACATGGATGAGAGACTCAGGCAGGCGTCTTTCCAGCGTATTAAGTGAAAGAAAGGCCTCAGCTTTAGTGTCTAATTTTAGAAGATAAGGTAGCAAAATGGGAAGGAAACAATGTCTAAGCATACAATGTTGCCACAAGACCTCTTTAACACTAAAACCCCATCAAAGTATGATACGATAAACAAAAAGGCTGCATTATAGCAACCATTGAGCAAATAAGGGGAACAAGTGAACATTATATTCAACCACGCAAAGAAGTAACACTTAATTTTCAGACAAGAGAAAGAAGCCTTTGATGATCAACGAATGGAAAAAACATCCCAGGCGGATTTAAAAGGAAACTCACATCTTGTAGAAAAAGACAGTTGATTCTGCACCAGAGCAAGAAGGAATCAGATGTTCATCAATCACAGTCATCACATCGGTACAAATGTCAGACAGCTCAGACTCCACCTTCTGCCTGTACCCTTTGATCCGCTTCACATTCTGCTCATTCCCTTTCCCTTCCTCCTTTTGTTCAATGGACGACAGTATCCTCCACGATGCTCTCCTAGCACCAATCACATTCTTGTATCCAACGGAGAGTAGGTTCCTCTCCTCAACAGTCAGCTCTACGTTCAGAGAGGCCAATTTCTTCATAGCGTCCACCATTTCTACAGAGATCAAGAGCAGACACAAAAACAGTACTCGTTAGAAAGTCAAAACCCTAGGTTCAATGCCTAATTCGATTGCCCAAACTTTTAACAACGAATCAGGACAATAAAAATCGAACGGAGTCACTTCTTGTCAAACGCCTTATTAGTTCACCCGATTCCTCCATATGCAATCATACCGAAGTGAACAATCGCTCATTCACGATAACTACCATATCTAAAGAGCTATACGATCAGAAAGAGAAGCGATCCAGCATTATTCAGACTGTACGAACGAAAGGTAACAAAGTGGTCAAGAATCTCGAGGAAGAACTCAAGAATCATACTGCTACTTCATTTCCTCTAAATCTCAGTCCTACAAGAACGGGAGTACAGAACAACGAAACGATCCCGACGCGGAATCAAAATATCCAGTACTATCCAGTCGTCATACTTCCACTTCCTCGAATTTTTATCAGCAACCAAACAGGAATACGGACGAGTTGAGAGAGAAAAGATGGAACGAGAAGGGAGAAGAATCAATCAGCGTACCTTCGTAGCGCTCAGCTTGCTCAGCGAGCTTCGCTGTGTAGACGCAGCTGTCTCGTTCACTGGTGGCCGCCATGATCGATCTGTGGTTTGGGGAAAGGATCAGCTTAGAGCCTGCTGAGACTTCACTCTCGTTTTCTCGCTCTAGATTCTCGCCCGCTCGCTCTCCTCTCTTTGCTGCTTTGTTTTCTCTCTCTAAAAAGAAGGGCTGGATTGTAAGAAGAAAATAGGACGGAGGCTGAGACACACGGAGTCGCGACCCGAGAATGACCCGGGTCCGCGGGAGATGCCGGCCCAGAGGCAGTAGGCGCTACTCCACTCGCGATCTGAACCGTGGGAAACACGCGCATTGGGAAACGGCGTCGCTGTCGCCCTCCTACTCCCGTCGTGGGAAAAGTATTAAGTACGGAAAAGAGGTGGACGTTGGTGATTGGCTGGTTGGTGATTTGGCGTGTAATCAAAATTAAGAACAAAAAAATTGGAATTAATTGCCGCGACTTTCCTTTAGTGATTTATTATTACAAGTTTACAACATTATGTAAATTATCAATTTATATCATACATTAAGACCCAAAAAAATTATATCATACAAATTAGGCATTCCACTAATTAAAGACTAAAGAGCCACTTTCCATTTTGGGTTGTTGACCTTAATCAATTAATCGGTTAACGGGTTGAACATCTGTTACTAACCAGCTAACATTAGTTAAACCCGATAAGTAATTATCCATCAAGAACTTCTCATACATAGGAGACAAGACATAAAAGTCAGGCGCACTCTTGTAAGTAGAACTTGTGACAAATTGGGTGCGAATCAGATAATTTATCACGGGATTCAAGTTGGGGTACGTTGATTCATATGAGTATGTAATTTTTAAAAAAAAATTAGAAATATTCATTTTTTATTAAAAATTCAAGAATCAAACTATGATATGATAAGTGCTTGTAGCTAAATTATTCGAGAAACTAAGGTTCTCACTTATTTACAACTTTATTGTAGTTAAAATATGAGGTAATGATGTCCTAAATAATTGGAATAAAATTATATGTAATTTAGACACTAAAGCTCATAACATATAAAAAAACAAGAAAAGTACTAAGCCCACGTCTTGCAATCATATCGCCTTATTGTGGTCGTTTTCGATGTGTACAATTTTCTCTACGTGAAGGAAAATTTACAAGAAAGAATTATCTTCTCATATGTCCTTTTCTAATTATCATAGAAGAAAGGAAGGAAGACTTTGTTAATGACATCAAAGTGGCCTTTAGTTCCCTAATCGAGCCACTATTTGCAGAGAGGACAGGGAAGACGAAAACACCAAGAGGTCAAGAGCAAGTTGCAGATTCACATACACCAAAAATACGTGTATAAAAATAATTATTATACTAAAAATTATACATGTTCCATAGGATTCCTTATGCCAAACAATACAATGAACTTCTTACTTCCCAATTGCAGCAATAAGTTGCAGATTCATTATTCAAAAATCAAGTTGACAAGAAAAGTATTTCAATAGAAAAAAATGGGAGAAGTATGCTAAGTAATTAGTGTGGCTACTGGCTGGAGAATGTGATGTGAGTACCCCCATTTGGTGATTAAGGACTCGTGCTTAGTTAAATTGTATCGCTCCATTATATTCTCTCTTTTTTTAATGACAATAAGTACATTTTGTTAATGACATCTTGTCTTCATCTCTCTTCACTCTCGTCTCAATCCTCCCTCTTCCTCAGTCTTATTTCTCTATGCGTTGGCTGAAAAATCTGTCAAATAATTAAGAGTTACGCTTTAGTTACGAAATCTTATCAAGTAGCGACCATGATCATACTAGATCGGATCGGATCAAACTAAATTATAATGTAGGTACACCATACAAAAGTCAAACATAAATAAGCAAACAAATAATGAGGTCATGCACAATGCAACTATATGACTCAGGTCTACGATTAAATGCCATCTAATAACTAAATAAGGTTGTGTTTGGTGAGAGCTTTTGCAAGTGGTTCATAATTGACTTCTTCATCTTCACATTTTTCATTTTCTGAAGAAGAAAAAAAATCTGCGCCTCACAGTATGGCAACAAGAAAGCGACGCATTTGCTTTCGGTGACAGATGCAGTTGCAACTTGCAAAGCAAGTAGGCTTTTGCTGCAACTACACTGATTTCAGGGAAATCCAAACAATTACATCCATTCCCTTCACTGCTGATACTGCTACACTACTACATTCATCCTAAAGCTGTGTAATGGGGGGGATTCTGGTATTCCAATTCCACCTGTGGAAGAAATAGAGAGACTTTGATCTTTTTTACTTCCATTCAGTACTTCAACAAACTACAGGCTAGCAGTTAAGTAGGAAGAGGGTTCTTGCTGCTTCAGGCTTTCTGCAACATGAGCGATAACTCCTGCACCGGCATTATAAGCGGCATTATGGAACCATTCGTTCTTCACCTGACAGAAGGTATAGGTTGAGCTGTGATAAACTGGAGGTAAGGGAAAGCAAAATTGAGGATCGAGTTAGAGAAGGAAGGGTACGTGTATGTTGTTGTGGGAAAAATAATGGCCAGAATGCTGAGTGGAAGCTTACATCCACCTTTCTCTATCCCAACTGCTGCAGACACTGTATCACCTCTGCCAACCAGAGGCTGGGAAAAACATAACAAGTGTAAATGACAAAATTGTAATAGAATGTCACCAGACATAAGAGTTTTGTTGAATTCGATGATGAATACCAAAGAGGGAATGGAGCGCTTAGTCGTTTTTCCTCTTTTACCTTCCATGAGTTCACGATACTCTGCTGTATTCTTGTTGCTGGGATCATTCTGTGCTGCTGCTTTGGCCTTTGTTGCTTCAGGCAGGAAATGGGGGCCGTCGATAGAGACTGGAGGGCAGTACTCGACATCTACAACGTGCTTCTAACTCCAATGATCGTCGAGGGGGCTGCAAAGTGCCAAACATGCATATAGTCAGGCACCACACCAGTCAACAAGTGATGTTTCCTTAAAGCAACAAGCCTCACGTTTATAAGTTCTGTCTCCCTTGCAGTGGAGGACGCCACCCACCATGCCTTAGTTAAGTGTGTAAAGGAAACTGATCCCAAAGCTAAGGAAGAAAGTAAGGATGTCTTATAAAATGGTATAGGATGCATATTAGGATACGGTCACAAGATACATTTGAATACACCATGCGGCATCAATATGACCCAAGGGTAGCTCTGAGCCAAAAATATGGAAACCAAATAATAGTTACTAACGGTTAAGAACATGCTTTTGTTATACTTACAGAAATTTGCCTTCTTCACAATCTGATGTCATTCTTAGACGAAGAGGCGGTATGTTGGGCTGGCCATCAGTAAGAAACAACTCCTTACCAGTTTTGCCCACAAAGATATGGGCGCTTGGAGGAACAAGTTTCTCTAAGAAGGGAACTCCTAGGAGAAGTGGCAGCTGCAGAAAAGCAAATACTATAAACAAAGCAGTACACCACACATAAGCTATGTAGCACAGATGCAGGTGAGGTATAAGAATGCCATTTTCAGCAAATATACCAAGTCAAGGAAGTTTGCCAAGTGACTATCAAAAAAATCTTTGAACTCTGTTATTTTGATTGTTACTCTACCATACTGGACCAAATAACAGGCACCCATGAAATAAACCTGGTTTCTTACTTCTGATTCCAAGATGAGGAGTTGCTAACGTGATAAAATTGACAGGCTTCAGTCCAGCAATTCTACCACGTCTTGAACAGCCTTTCTTTTGAGGGGCCGTTGATTACGCAAAATGAACACTAAAATGGCTACAAAGCAACAGTAAAAGGCATTACAAACAAACCTCTCATCCCGTTCCCTGTCGTTACACAAAGGATCCAATTCCATGAAGACAGATTTTCACTTCGGGAACTCAGATAATTTCCTTGTCTAAGTGGCCAAGAACGTGGAACGTCTTCATTGTATTGCACTCCGAGAACCTACCCAATTACCCAGATTCTACTATTCTATACAGCTGCTCTCCCTCTCAATGCCATTAATCTCCAACTTGGAGGTTCAAACAAAGCTAGTTACTTTGGCTTCTCAGCCCAATTTTGTCCTAGTGCACAAGACCACCTCACTATACATACAGCGGCATACCTGGTAGCAATTCCATCCAACTATCCAAGCTGCTAACCAGTTCAACAGCAACCAGTTCAAGGATTTTATTAGCAGCAATGGCCGAGAAGGCAGGAGGAGTTGTGAAGAATGGTCACGAGGAAGGGCTGAAAATGGCGGTGGCTCTCCTTGAAGAGTTCGAACTCCCTCATGGACTGCTTCCGTTGGAAGATGTGGTTGAAGTTGGGTTCGTCAAGGACACCGGGTACATGTGGATCCTGCAAAAGAAGAAGGTGGAGCATGTGTTCAAGATGATCAGCAAGAGTGTCAGTTATGATAAAGAGATCACTGGGTTTATCAGCAAGAAGAACATCAAGAAGCTCAAGGGCGTCAAGGCGAAAGAACTCATCCTGTGGCCTCCGGTCAGTGAGATTATTGTTGGCGAAGCGCCAACTGGAAAAATTCACTTCAAGAGCCTGGCAGGGATTACCAAGACTTTCCCAGCTGAGGCATTTGCTGCTGGCCAGTAATAACAACATATACCAAGCCCGCCTTGAAGCAAAAAATGCTTTCCCCATTCTGCAACATAGCTAATCCATTTGCTGCATTTTGCAATTTATAGTGTTTCTCGTGCATATAGAGTTTTGCTACAACTCTCTAAACAGTTATAAATAAAGTTCTCCTTGCACTAATTGGAAGATTTCTCAAGACCGAGCTTGGTATGCATCTTATACCTGTCGCAAAACGAATATGTTCAACACGGGTAACAGCAGTGAAGCTTTGGTTCCAGGATGAGATAAAAACAACCCAAAAGATGATCCATCTAGCGATCGACAAGACGTAACAAAGGAAACAGGATGGTTCTGAAGATGCCAACAAGTAAATCAAGCACTGCGTGCTGACAAATTCACTTCTATATTATAAATAAAGCTCACTAACCGGAAAATAGAGAAAAGAGTCAGTACCTCGGAGAAAGCAGAGGAGAAGTGATGACTAATAGTTTTCAAGAGTAAAAGTGCACACAATAGAAGCAGTCATTCTCTGCTAAAGCAGATACGATCACTGTACCTCAGAGCCAACACCAAGTGCATTGATCTGGTTCTAATTTCGATAGCGATGTATATTAAGAATGTGGATTGGAAGCACATAATGTAAAGAGAAAGTTCCTCTATAATATACATAGTCCCGGAGCCATTCAAGTTCAGAAGCATATATGTATATATTTAGTTATTTACCAAAAGTACAAGTAGTCAAGCAGAAGATTCTTCAATTAAGGTGGGTCAAGACTCGAGACATTAGATCTATATTCGAGCTTGGTTAGCGTAGCTCCTACATCAGAATCTTTTACATTAATCCCAGAATTGAACACATGCAAACCTAACAAGGCTTTGTAGTACCCCTTCTCAATTTCCTCCTCTTTCACCCGACGAACAAGAAGGGCTTCAATGATAAAATCTTCCCAATCAATAGTTTGCTCCTTCCTTTCTCTTTTTCTTTTCCTTTTCTTGCTGTATGCACAATCCACAAGGTCAGTAGTCCTAATATCCGATTTATCAGTAGCCTTAAACGAGCACCCAGCCCTTTTAAGACGCAGCTTTGCAGCTTTTATCTTCGCTCTCCTTTTCTCCACATCCAGACAACCCTTCACAAAAGACGGAGGCATGGTTTCCAATCCCACATCGTTTTCCAATATCTGCGCAAGCAAAAGCTTCTTGCTCAATTGTGATTTTCCGTTCCACCATTCTGCTGCATAAACCTCAATACCTCTTTGTTCCCTCTGACTAGGAACATCTCCCTGCACCTTAGCAGACCTCTCACCGCCACCTTCTTCCAAGAACTTCTCATAGGCCAATGACAAGCACTCGTGTGACAGCTGAAGATTATCCACGTCAGCATGCCCAACTTCAGCAATTGACCTTCTATCTTCTATCATAGCATTCTGAGAATCATGAGTTACCTCCTGACTATCATCCTCAGCATCATAAGTAATTTCATTTCTCAAGCACTCACTAATCATCTCACCAAGATCAAACACAGCACTCTGAAAATTCTCAATGTCCTTGCCACAGGTATTAGTCGACTTCAACTCCATATACTGAATCACAAGCGGAGCATTTATTACAACATTCTTCACCGTCACATTCTTCCCCCACGGCAATGCTTGAGCTACCTCCACAAGCTTCTCCAACAGCTCCTTATACCTCAACCGGGCAGTGACGACAGAAGCATTCACGTCTTTTGCCACATCCTCAAGCTTCACATCCTTAATCCCATTCAGCTCAGCTACCAACACAAAAACAGCTGCTACCACAGGCAATGGCCTCCTCCCAGTAGTCAAAAACCACTTAATCGCACACTGTATCAAAAACACACCTTGCTTTCTGATCCTGCCAACCCTATCACCATCAACCCTCCCCAAACTCGCCAAATTCGTCACAACCCTCTCGAAAGCGTTCACTATATCGAACTCGGGAAGCCTGAGTTCCAAATGCTCAACCACCCGAGCGACCATCCTCCCCAGCTCATAAACATCACACCCAACCGCTTCGCTCACCTCCGCAATCGAAAAGGCCTTGTTCTGAACCCTCATTTCAACATAAGAACAAGCACCAACCAGTACATGGAACCAATCGCCTGAACCATATTCCCCTTCCGTAATTTGATCAATCATGGACCTAATTTCATTCACAGCTCTACCACTCAAGTTCAACCTAAGCGTAATTTCGTCGATGATCTTACCGGCCTCGTATACCTTCTTCTCTTTGTACGCCAATGAACCGCCTGTACCTGATGTGCCAACGCGGACGAAGGAGCCTTGCTGGCCGCCGCCGCTCGGACCGACGGCCCGATCCTCGAAGTTGCGGAATTCTTGCACGGTGCCGCATGATTCGCAGACGAGACTCCCGGTGGTGTCGTCGCGGGCTAGGGATCCGTGTCCGCAGCTGAAGCAAGGCATTGCAGGATGGTGGAAACTCGTTAAATTGGAAGAGAAAGGATGTCGGGTTCTCACTGCCCGAGCTCGAGTGATTTCGGAGGAAGAGACAGACGCCGGCAACCGGACATGGAAGAATGAAGATGAAGCGGCGCGGGAACTAAAACAGTCGGGGGCAGAGTCTTATGAGCTATGAAGGCCCGTCGCCGAGCCAAGTCCGAGAAGACTACAATACGTTAAGGGTAGCTGTATCGGTGTATTCCCGCCGTTAGATTCGTTGGAGATACAGAGCAATGAGCCAATGAACAAGGTTATCAACCCGTTTAGTGCGTTGATCCAGTCGACGAAGTGAAATTAAGGGTTACGCTCCGATCACTTTAGTGCTTGCTCATACATTTATGCATTACATCAAAATATCATATAACATATAATATTACATCAAAATAACGTGTCGTAAAGGGGTTGTGGGAAAGGCACGCTCTCTCTAGGGTTTTCGCTCCGCAAACTTCGGAGGGCGAACGACCGATTGGACTGGAGCTAGGTTCTCGACGTGATGTCGGCGGACGTCGTGCCGCCGGCCGGGGGCAAGCTACACGCGGCCAGCCATCCTGAGACGATCGCGGGGCAACGGCGACCCCCTACGAAGACGTCGTCCCCAAACCCAAAAAGTGACAGGGAAGTGCAACATATGAAGAAGAGAGTGAAGCAAACGGAGCCGCCGGCGCAAGCTGTTCGGTACACGAGGGTCCGAGCAAATCAGATGGATCAGGTACTACCCCGCCGCTAAGCCCTAGGCCAAACGCATGGTCAAACGGGACAGGAGCAGCGCGCAGGTTATTCGGGGGGGGGGGGGGGGGGGGGGTAGCTCGCATGGACGAGTGGTACACGGCGGACTCTGACAGTGAAGATTATGCAACGGCAATGCGTGAGGATGGTCTGGAGGAGGGTTTTGACGGCGAGGAAGACCCTACCTGTCCGCCGATCTACTTCACAGCAACCGGGGAAAGGGAATACTGCCGCAAGCTGAGATCAGCCCTGATAGTGAAACCACTGGGCAGAATAGTATCGTACACAGCGGTGTCTATCCGACTGAACACGATATGGGGGAAGGCAGGAGGAATCCAAGTTACTTCAATGAAGAATGGCTACTTCCTCGTTCGTTTCACGAGTGGCATGGACTACGATAGAGCAGTCACGAACGGCCCGTGGATGATAGGTCCGAACTACCTGTCGGTGCACATGTGGGACAAGAATTTCGACCCTTACAATCATGAAATTTCATCGACGTTAGTTTGGGCGAGACTTCTTGATATTCTGATTCACTACTTTCACCAAGAGGCCATGATGAAAATTGGGCGTCGTATTGGACGACCAATCCGAATTGATGAAGCCACTCGCACAGCGGCCAGAAGTGACTACGCCCGTGTTTGTGTTCAAGTGGATCTGACCCGACCTTTACTGTCAAAATTCTCCATCAGAGGCAAGAAATACTTTATCCAGTACGAAGGGTTGGAGAATATCTGCTTGAACTGTGGCACCTATGCAGAGAAGTGGGGTTGCTCGTGCGTTAAGTCGCAGGCACCTATGGAAGCGGAGCACACGGTGCAGGAACCCACGCCAGCGGCTAACCAAAATGAACCCCTCTATGGGGAATGGATGATTGCCAAACGCAAACCCCGTACCCAGAAGAAGGACCAAGGAGCGAACGTGAGTCTGAAGGGAACCAAAACGACTCACGACACTCATCAGCATGCCGGGGGATCACGTTTTGCTGCCCTTGAGGAGGAGGATATAATACTACCGGGGTCTGAGCATGCGGACACTCCTAACGTGACCACCAACAGACCGCATCAACAGTCGGGAAGCAGTAGGAGTAAGAACAAAATCCCAAAACAGACACCGCCGGTGAGCCAAGAAAAGGAGAGTATGCGGTCCAGGGAGCCTCGAGCTGCAGTGTCCATCGGGAACAACAATAAAGAAGCGACCGGAAAAGAAAGGGAAACCCAGACTGTCAACTCCAAAACGGGTACAACAGCAGGCCAACCAAACCAGGAGGTCATGGAGCCACCCTTTCGAGCACAGAGCAAGAAGGTGGAAACGGCCGCCCTCGGACGACGGTGACACCAAGGGCAGATGAAGTAAAGGGTCGACCGCCAGACCTCAGTCCTCACAACGGGCAAATGTAGTCACAGGACACGACCGCGAACACAGAGAATAATTCATCGGGGATGCAAATCGACGGGACACTGCCGCCGACTGCGTAAATCTAAGGGAGTCTCTTTCCTCTTCCTTTTTCTTTATGGATTATAAAGTTTTTTCATGGAACTGTAGGGGAGCAGGGGGTAAGGACTTTCTACGAGCCTTTCGTGAGTATCGTAGAAAGTCTAAACCCCATATTGTGATCATAGTGGAACCCAGAATAAGTGGGAGCCGAGCTATTGATGTCATTCGCAAGATGGGTTACGACGAAAATCTTATAGTTGATGCCGTGGGCTTCTCTAGGGGAATCTGGATGCTATGGAATTCCAATGAGCTGAATATTTCTAGAATCGACTCTAACCAGCAATGTTTACGCGTGCAGGTGCAGGGGCTTTCTCCTCAAGACGTTGCATGGCAACTTTCCGCTATCTACGGCAGTACGGCACCCATGCAACGTCGCGAACTTTGGGGCTTCTTACGAAAGTTGGCTGAGGATATGGTGCAACCTTGGCTCCTGGTGGGCGACTTCAACTCCATCCTTAGCCCGTCGGAGAAACTAGGGGGTGCCCCTTTTGATGCGGCTAGAATCAGGGATTTCCAGGAGGTAGTTCAGGATACTGGATTGATCGATCTGGGGTTCGAAGGGCCAGCCTACACTTGGTTCCGTACGGGACTGCGGGAAAGATTGGATAGGGGGTTGGCAAACAACTATTGGGCGACTAATTTCCCGGAGTCCGTGGTGAGACACCTGCCCCGCATGAAAAGTCCGATCACCGTCCGGTTATAGTCTCATTGGCCGAGTCACACCACCAGGCGGGGCCTAAGCCATTCCGTTTCCTAGCGGCTTGGCTCACTCATGAGGGCTTCAGAGAAATGGCGGATGAGGCATGGGCGAGGGGAAGCTCCTTTACGGAATCGGCTACTGCCTTTGCTCAAGAGGCAATGATTTGGAACAGAAATGTCTTCGGCCACATTACCAGGCGCAAGGATAAGCTGCTGAAGCGCCTTGAAGCTCTTGAGCAGGCTGCGGGCGGCCATGGGAGTGAAGCCCAGCTTCGGCAGTGTCAAGAGGAATTGGAGCTGGTCTTGTTTCAAGAGGAGCTTCTTTGGTGCCAAAAATCTCGTCTTGAATGGATTAGCTCGGGGGACAAGAATACAACATATTTTCACACCAGAACCCTCTGGCGGAGAAACAGAAATCGGGTTACTATGCTCAAGGATGACGGAGGGAACTGGATTGAAGATGAATCTATCCTGCTGGAGATGGCGCGAGTCTACTTCAGTGGTTTGTATCAGGATGAAGGTGGTGATCTGCTAGCCCTGCTGGAGGGCTTCCCAGCAATAGAGGCCTCTCGCTGGCAGCCTCTCAATAATACGCCGAGCATGGAGGAAGTTCAGGCGGCCGTTAAGGCAATGGGCCCCTTGAAAGCACTAGGCAAAGATGGTCTGAGCCCGATCTTCTTCCAGAGGTGTTGGGAAACGGTGGGTAGCTCTCTGGCTGCGTTTGTCACCGACTGTTGGAACGCCCCGGAAAAAATCAAGGAGATAAACTCGACTATCCTTGTGTTGATTCCGAAGATACAGCAGCCAATAACAATTGATCAATTTCTGCCGATCAGCCTGTGCAACGTGGCGTATAAGGCGATCACCAAGTGCCTCGCCGAGAGACTGAAGAATCTCATCCGGATCTTGTCCATGAAACCCAGACCAGCTTTGTTCGCGGCCGCCATATCACCGATAACATTTGCATTCTTCAGGAGGTGATTCATTCGATGAGAGCTAGGAAGGGCAGGCGTGGGTGGATGGTCCTAAAGGTCGATTTAGCAAAGGCTTATGATAGAATCAGGTGGGGGTTCGTACGAGATACTCTAGTTGCGGCAGGGGCTCCTGATAAGTTTGTAGAGTTGACGATGGCGTGCATCTCCTCGGCATCAATGCAGATTCAGTGGAATGGGGGCCTCACTGAGAGCTTCCAACCATCTAGAGGTTTGAGACAGGGTTTCCCGCTCTCCCCGTACATCTTCACACTGTGCATGGAAAGACTGAGACATATCATTGCTGACGCAGTCCGGGCAGGAAGATGGAAACCGATAAAGTTATCGCAGGATGGACCGACCCTCTCGCACTTGTTCTTCGCGGACGATCTGATTCTGTTTGGCGAAGCGACAAGAGCTCAGGTACAGGAGATTAACGCTTGCTTTGAAAAGTTTGGAGGGTCATCGGGTCAGCAGATTAGCAGACTGAAATCCCGGGTTTTTTTCTCGGCCAACACTACAGCCGATTGCCAGCAGAGCTTGAGCCATGAGCTCCAGATTCCAGTGACTTCGAACTTAGGGAGGTATTTGGGGGTGCCGGTAATCCATGACAGGGTCTCAAAATATACCTTCCTGAACCTCATTGATCGGATAGACAAGCGACTGGCAGGCTGGAAGGCGTCCACACTGTCCCTAGCTGGCGTATAACTTTGGCGCAGGCTGTGCTTGCCTCCCTCCCAGCTTATACGATGCAGACAACCTTTTTACCGGTGAGTGTGCGAGACTACATCGACAAAAAAATTCGTGCATTTGTATGGGGAAGCACGGAGCAGGGCCGGAAAATACATCTTGTTGACTGGGAAACGTTGTGTAGACCAAAAGATGAGGGAGGGTTGGGGCTCCGAGACTCCACCAGAACAAATGAAGCCTATATGCTAAAGATCGCCTGGAGGATTCTCACTAAACCTCACGAGTTATGGGCGAGAGTGCTGCTGGCCAAATACTCGAGGCAAACGGGGGAGGGGCGCCAATTCCGCACCGAGGGCCGACTCTCGAATCTATGGAGAGGGGTTATTCGGGTGGCACACCTGACTGAGGAAGCGACCTGTTGGAATATACGCAATGGAAGAACAGCAAAATTCTGGAGCAATCGGTGGCTTGATGATAACACCATTCTCAAAGACCACGCCCAGAACTTGCCAATCGAGCTCCTTGATATGCCAGTCACCGACTTCGTTCTCAACGGTAAGTGGAATTCTGATTTCCTTCTCTACTACTTACCCCCTGATGTTGTCTCGCAGATTAACCTCCATCCCATACCGACGGAGCAAGCGGAGGACGATCGAGTTTGGAGGTTCAACCCCAATGGAGAATTCACTTTTCGGTCGGCGTACGAGCTCACAGACAATGCTGCGGCGCCAAACATGGGACAACCGACTTGGCGGTCGGTGTGGAAGGCCCCGACCCTGCAACGTGTGCGGACATTCTTGTGGCTGATGAATCATGGCCGCCTCCTTACCAACGCGGAGAGAAGACGAAGACACCTCCCCAACGATACAAATTGCAAGACTTGCGGCGGAGGACCGGAGACGACCCTGCACATCGTCAGAGACTGCCCTTTTGCTCGAGCAACGTGGGCGGATCTTCTTGAGGACGAGCCGGATTCCAGATTTTTCGAACCGGATGGCCAGAGATGGAGCCTATACTATCTCTCAGGGAGGAGTAATACCATTGATGCTACTATCTTTGCAGGAACCTGTTGGCTTTTGTGGAAGAACCGGAATGACTTCGTGTTCCAGGACAAGCTGAAGACCCATACACAAATCCAGTTCCACTCAAGACAGCTGCGGGACGAGATCAACAAAGCCTTCGACCAGGAGAAAACAGTTTTCGGGACTGGGGGCACCCGAGAGCAGCGCCTCATTGGCTGGCAACCACCGGCGCAAGACTGGGTCTGTGTCAACACCGACGGCTCAGTCATCCATTCTCCAGAGAGCACTTCTTGTGGCGGCATCATACGGGGGAGTGATGGCCGCTTCATCAGAGCATTCACGGCGAACCTTGGAGGAGGTTCCATCACTCGTGCGGAGCTGGCTGGTATTGTGTATGGGTTGGATCTTGCTTGGGAGCAAGGAGTCAGGAAAGTTCTCCTACAAACAGACTCAGTAACTGCAATAACCCTGATTGAGAACGCGACAGAGCAGCACATCCATTACTCGCAGATCAGTGCAATCAGGCGGAGACTCCAAAGAGACTGGACGGTTCGAATTGACCACATTTTCCGCGAAGCCAACTTTGCCGCGGATCACCTTGCTTCCATAGGGCATTCGAGAACGATAGGTGTACATGTAATGGATAGACCGTGCACCTCCCTGCTGTACTGGCTGCACTTTGACCGGGTGGGAATTGAAACCCCCCATTTTGTTCGTTTGCAATTAAGGTTTGGGCGCCCTTAGCGCCCTGTTTTCACCACAAAAAAAAATAACATGTCGTATTTGTATCCAATATATAGTGTGAAAATTCGCCCTTATATCACATCAATATTAAGATGTTCAACTTAGAATTCCAAAAATAGGGTTAAGCGAAGAGGAAAACTGGAAAAGAGGTTCATTTCGCAAACCAAAGGGAAAGACGACATCGTGTGACCTTCAATCTGATAATCTTGCATAGGTCAACCCGCAAGCGTGTGTGGCGCGTTTTTCTCACCGGATCAAAGTCAAAATGGGTCAGTCTGCGGATTGACAACCTTGGCAATGAGCAATCTTAGCATTCCTTATAAGGGGTCGTTTGGGATGATGGAATTAGATGAAACAATTTTGCCTAGTTGACTCAAAATGAAACAATTGGGTCAAATTACCAAACACAAAACAGGGAAGGAGCAATAGTGTTAATGCAATTTAAATTGCTTCATTTTGCATCAATTTAAATTGACAGCCACAGCCCACAGGTGGAGAAATATGTATATTGAAATGATGCATCAATTGGGCGATGAGGTAATTTCGAAGTGAATTTCATATTGATAGCAATACGACGAGTATAGAGTATTATCCGCAAAGAAAGTAGTGGGGATGAGTTCAAACCCCCCACCTCATCGCCATTACCATACTTGCGCACAATCAATTTCTCTGTAATCTGTAATTATGTATCATATAAACGAGCACAAAGCTTGAGTTTGCTCTTATTGAGTGAATACTTTTATAGGTACATTGAAATGCAGAATTAAAGGAACAGAAAGTAGGAAAATAAGGGACTATAACAACCCACTAACAGCTAGTCTAACAGCTAACAATCGTGGAGACAAACGTGGAACCGAATACTCTTCATCACGCCCCCGCAAGTTGAGGCTCCGTGAGGTGAAACTTGGAACAAAACCGATGAAATGTGATGCGAGGAAGAGGCTCAGTGAGCATGTCTGCGAGCTGGTCGGCAGCAGGAAGATAGTGAACATGCAATTGACCCTTGCTGACTTGATCCCGGACGAAGTGAAACTCAATTTCCATGTGCTTGGAACGACTGTGAAATACCGGATTATGAGCAAGAAAGGTGGCGCCAAGGTTGTCACACCAGAGAGCAGGCGCAGATGGAATCGGCTGGCCCAACTCTGTTAATAATGAGCGAAGCCAAAGCACCTCCGATGCTAGCGTCGCAAGAGCATGGTACTCACATTCAGTGGAAGAGCGAGCAACATACTTCTATTTGCGGGTAGACCATGAGATGATATTAGGACCACAGAAGACAGCAAAACCAGTGATTGATTTCCGATCCTTGGGACAGGATGCCCAAGAGGCATCAGAGTACCCATGAATGTGAAGAGAGGACGACCGAGTGAAAACGAGCCCCCGAGTAATGGTGCCCTTTAGATAACGCAGAATGCGTTTGACAGCGGCCCAATGAACCTCTGTGGGACTCTGTTGATATTGCGAGACAAGGTTGACAGCGAAGGAGAGATCAGGTCTGGTAAAGCTGAGGTACTACAAGCTACCAACAATACTCCGATAGAGACCGAGATCGGAGAATGGTGGTGAAGAAGATGAAGCGGCCTGCTGAAGTATTTCGGCGGTGACAGGGGTGGAGATTGCATTGGCAGAGGCCATCTTCGCACGATCTAGCACGTCTAGAATAAATTTACGCTGACTCAGAATAATGCCAGTGTCAGTGCGATGAACCTTAATGCCCAGAAAATATGAGAGCGGCCCCAATTCTCGAAGAGCAATATTATCATGAAGATAAGCCATGAGCCGTTGAATAAGGGCAGTGTCATTTCCCGTAATGACGATGTCGTCGACATAGACAAGCATGTACAAGCGCACAGATTCAGACTTGCAGATAAAAGGGAGGGGTCTGTGCGAGATACCAAGAAGCCTAAGCGAAGCAAAGCATTGGCAAGGCAATGAAACCATGTGCAAGGTGCCTGGCGGAGGCCATAAATGGATTTGCGCAACCTACACACATGATCAGGTTTGTCCGGATCAACAAAGCCGGGAGGCTGCTGCATATAAACTGTTTCCTGTAATTCAACATGAAGAAAGGCGTTAGCAATATCAATCTGATGAAGAGGCCATGCTTGAGTCACGGCAAGACCCAGGCCAGGGATCTGCTGAAATCCCCTAGCCACCAGACCCGCCCTGTGCCGATCGAGAGAGCCATCTGGATGAATTTTTGTGCGCCAAACCCATTTATTGGTGAGAATGTTGCAGTCGGGTGGTAGAGGAACTAATTCTCAGGTTTGATTGGGGAGTTGGGCAGAGACCTCCTCGGCCATGGCCGCGCGCCAGTGCGGGAGCTTGAGAGCTTGAGCAACTGAGGTGGGAGTGTCATCTATGGGAAGGTGGGAGAGGAATGTTTTGGGTTTCAGATTACCAGTTTTAATCCGAGTAACCATGGGGTGAGAGGAGGAAGTAGGATTGGTAATTAGGATAGGGCGAGGCAAAGTGGTAAAGGGAGGGCGAGAGGGGGGTGGACGACGGGGGGCAGTGGAGTGGGTTTCGGTCTCGACGATGGTGGCTGGGAAGGGGGAACAAGAGCAGGAGATGGGGATGAGGCTGGAGAAGAGCAGCTTGGACTAGTGGGCCGAGATAAGTGGGATGGAGAGGTGGATGATGTGGGGTGGGACGAGGGATGGGGATTGGGCTGAGGTGTGGGTGAAGTTGGACCAGGAGAGTGACGTGAGGTTGGGTTTGGGCTGGGAGAGGGGAAAATGGTGGGCTGAAGGGTAGGGATCTGTGTGTTTGGTGGTGGGAGAGGTAGGGTGATAGGGAAGTTAGCGGACGATGGAGATGGGAGAGGAGAGGAGTGGGAATGTGAAATTTCTGAAAAAAGGAAATCGAGACTCATCAAATAATACATTGCGACTGATATATATGCGACCAGTTTCAATATGTAGGCAACGGTATCCTTTATGAAGTTTACTATATCCCAAGAAAACACAAGGAACAGAACGAGGTTCGAGTTTGGAAGTGGCGTAAGGGCGAAGCCATGGGTAGCACAGACAACCAAAAACACGAAGATTGGCTAGATCAGGAGATCGATGAAATAAAGCATGAAAGGGGGAACGATGTTGGAGGAGTGGAGTGGGAGTGCGGTTTATGAGATAACACCCAGTATCAAACGCAAGAGACCAGTATTTTTGAGGAACATGAGAATGATGTAAAAGAGCAAGACCATTGTTGACGATATGACGATGCTTGCGTTCAGCACACCCATTTTGTTCTGGTGTGTAGGGACAAGAAGAACGATGGGCGATGCCATGTGTACTTAAGTAGGAAGACAAAGCTTGATATTGATCGCCCCAATCCGACTGAAAGGTTTTAATGGGAGTGCCAAAATATTTTTCACCCAATTGACGGAATTGAATGAAAACATTAAGCAATTGTGATTTATATCGAACAAAGTAAATCCACGAAAATTTGTTGTAGTGATCATAGAAGAGAATGTAGTAAGATTGCTTATCATAGGATAAAACAGGAGCAGGGCCCCAACATCACTGCAAACAAGTTCTAATGGCAGCACAACCATGACATAATGACAATTGAGAGGGAAGAAATGTGATATGATGTTGACGAAGAGCTTGCTTGACGACACGATCATGCGCGTGCCCAAGGCGACGATGCCACACATCCAATGTCGCAATGCAAGCAAAAGGCAGTAGATGACGAACAATATTTAGAGGAAGAGAATAGGGGCCATCCACCGCATAGCCACGATAAATCTCATTCGACGTGCGCCAGTCCTTAATAACAAAGAGAGAATCAAAGAATTCGATGGAAATAGGATCATTACGTGTAAGAGCACTAATGGACAAAAGATTATAAGGAGCATTGCGCACGTGAAGAATATTATCTAATGCAATGGAAGTATGGGATAAAGAAGCAGGAGAGGAACCATAATGGGAAATTGGGAGGGATTTACCGTTGCCAAACATAACATGATCAATGCCATTATATTCCGAATGGTTAGCAAGATTATCCAGATCAGAAGTTAAATGGTGATTAGTACCAGAATCCATGAGCCATTGCTGGGAATGAAGCATTTGGGCTGAAGAATTGGCAAACATGGTATGTGGACTGGAATAAGTAGAGCCAACTGGGCCATAAGGAGTAGGTGGGCCGGTGGCAGGGTGAATGGCAGGCTGGGAAATGGGTGGAATGGGTGGGCTCGGGTAGTTGGGCTTAATATGCCCGCGCCCCCCACAATTGTGACACACCACCTGAGTAGGGATGGGTCGCGAACCAAGGATTCCCGCATTTGGGTCGGACCTGCCAGAAGACAATAAAGGATTAGAGATAAATCGGCCCCGTGGAGCCCCTCGACCACGACCCCGGCCACTTCTGTGACCTCGAGGATTGGCGGCGCTGGAATAAAACGTCGTCGGCGCCGGAGAATCATGGCGAACAGAGTACCGCCGAATCTGACTTTCTTCGCTCAGCAACAGGGAGTGCAGATCTTCAAAACTAATCGGCTCCATGCGTGATTCAATGTGACGAACAAATGGGCGATAGTCCTCACCAAGACCATCGAGCAACCAGGCGATGAAATCATCATTCTTGAGCGGAGCACCGAGGGCGGCGAGCTGATCCGCCTTAGACTTGGCTGCCTGAAGATAATCATGTATCGCGGCATCACCACGACGAATATTTTGGAGTTCCTTCGTCAAATGGCGAATCTGTAGCTTGGAGCCAGATGCATAAATTCGAACAAGGGCAGACCACGCATCGGCGGCAGTAACCTTGTTGATGACATTGGGAAGCACGGACTCAGAAAGGGTGAAATTAATCCATGAAAGAACGTATTGATCAGGTTCATACCAGGTCAGATAAGCCGGATTGGGATGGCCATCGACGAACTGCGGCGGGGCTGGCAGAGTGTCGTCGACGTGTCCCATAAGGCGGTGACAACGTAAAAGCGGTGTGATCTGGGCATGCTAGTGGAGATAATTGGTAGGGGTGAGTTTGATTGACAGCTGAGGATTGGCAGGGAGAGTCAGAGTGGTGGTTGGCAAGGAAGAGGAATCACCAGAGGCAGAGGTGGAGGAAACAGAGGACGACTCAGTGGTCATTTTTGAGAAAGAAGAACGAAAAAGAAGAAGGAAGGTGAGAAAGAAAAGGATTCTCGTTAGAGTGTTTAGCTCTGATACCATAAACGAGCACAAAGCTTGAGTTTGCTCTTATTGAGTGAATACTTTTATAGGTACATTGAAATGCAGAATTAAAGGAACAGAAAGTAGGAAAATAAGAGACTATAACAACCCACTAACAGCTAGTCTAACAACTAACAATCGTGGAACTGAATACCCTTCATCATCATATACACGACTACATATCATCTTATCTCGCTATCTTAAATTTTGATTTCTTGCAAACTGCGTAGGGCTTAGTCACCTTATCTGATTTGATTGAATATTGTGTAACCCCCTTTTAGAAAATCTAAAATGCTGGAGCTGCAGAAGAAGATTTGATTGAATATTGTGTAAACCCCTTTAGAAGATCGTTTGTACAACGTAGGACAATTGGGGAAAAGGAGAAGAGGGTCAAAGAAGTATATATCAGCACTGGAATATTCTTTCTCCCCTCTATCTTCTGCTGTTCTGCACTTTCTTTCCTAGATTAGCTCTTTCTTTCACTATATATATTGCTGCGGGTAATGGAAGGTAAACAAAAAACCAGAAATGGAGAAGTAAGAAAGAAAGGGGCATCTCTCCAGTCAATGTTGTGCTTCATTTGGCAACATCTGTGGATTCCTCTTAAATACATGCTTTCTGCACCGTTCAAAAATGCTGTCGTACATCAAATCGAATTCGACTCCTGCTCTCTCTCTGTTTATTATGAACAATATGTGATCCCCCTCCACAACCTTGTAGTACCTGCATCAACAATCTTTGTTATTCAACCTAGCTTTACAGATCAATGCCATAAGCCCAAGTTTAGAGCATAAGTAACCGGATATGGAAAACCACTAACCAGATTCCCGGTTGTAAGGACTGACACTGGGAATCATCTTGAATGAAATGGCTAGGATGCTCGACTGGGAATCGAGGGTGTGTCATGGATATGGTGTTGATGGCGCCATCGTTGTCCTGCCAGTCCTCGTCTCTGCGCAATGAATGATGAATCTCAAGTTAGGAATGGTTCTAAGTACAATTGTTTTAAAGGCTACTGAAGAGTTTCTATGCTGCATACTATGAGCTTCATGATGCTGTTAATAGTGACACTTTCTCAAACATTATACAAGAGATTGATTCTTCATCAACAATTTGAATGCCATATGATAAGTGTATATGAAACTGACCTATATCCTTTAAAAGGAGGAGCAACATCCAAAGGATGGCGCCACTGGCTCATCTGAAGAACTCTGATGAGAAGCAGGGGATGGACACCAAGGATGCTGGAAGGTACTGTCACACCCATGATTTTCCTTGTACGCTTGGTTGCATAGCTGAAATAGTACGTGTTGGGGAATGTATGTAAATGGGAGTTGAGTTCGACAGACCCTTGGATTGTGAGATCGGGGAGTATCCAATCGCCTGAAGCAAATGGACCAACATTCCCTAACAGGCAGTCTACCAAACCGGAAATTCCTTTTTTCTTCCATGACATGTTGAAGTGATCAAACCCAAAGTTGTAATATTCCTTCAGCCAAGCTAGGTCAAGCCAGTCATAGACAATGACACCAAGGCGACAGATTTGAAGCAGAGATATCGGTTTCAAGCTCTTCCAATCTTCAGGACTGGAAATTGTGATAAAGCATAGTCAATAAAACATTCAGGATACAGATGCTTGAAACTTAATTACTTCCATGGATTTATTTAACAATATAAAAAAACAGAAGTTCAAGAAGAAAGAAAGCATCAAAAGGGCTAAAGCAAAGAATGCCAAAATGGACAAGATGACCAGTGACGCCCAAGTTTAGAAAAATGTACTCACTGCATGCCATCCAAGTAAGTTCTCGTAGTTCCATTAAATGCTCCTGATAAGGATGTAATGCTCAACACCCAATTCTCAGAAGTATTCTCATAACCCTTGAAAGCCTGCAATAGAAAGGTCGGAAAATTAGCCATTGGCCACAAAATGAAGAGTGGATGATGATTGTAAATTGAGGATGAAACTGACCTTGTCAGCAAGCATTTGTTGAAGAACTCGAACAACCTGGGCTCCAGCTGAATGACCAACAAAATGAATCGGGTGATCTTCATCCCATTCAGGGTAGTTCCCTGCAATAACAAGAACCCAATACATGAAACCAAGCCCTCCTCCGACAAAAATACTACATAATTGACCAGATTTTTTTAATAATGGAGATGTTATATTATTAGCTTAATAAAAGATTCAACACAAAGAAACAACTGAGTGTCTGCATTTTCAAACAGTGGCAGACAGAAATGATAATCAATCAAAGGAGATTCCAATCTACACCCTGCTGAAACAAAGCTGCATTCTATCTACAGTCAAGCCATACGCTTCTGGGTCAATGCAACCATTTCAACTTGAGTACCCTCTCTTGTCCATCCTAACTTCAATTCAAAGAGATTACTCAATCCATATCAGGTTCTACAAGACTACATATATACTGATATAAATCTCAAGAAAAGAAGCATGAAATCATATATCTTCCTCCACTGATATAAGAAATATATCCTGCTGTGCATCTTACCCAGCAACAGCTCGCTGTTCTGCTATCTAGGAATGGCTAGTAATCCTCAGATTTGGGGGGGAAATCCAACTCACTTGACAGATACAACAAAACAAAAAGGGAGGTGTGTTGTAACCTTGTTCATATGTCCTCCCGAATTGGGAATGCCCACAAGCTTTGCTGTGTTCTTCACCATAATCAACTTGCCCTCCTTTCAAATAATAGAACAGCTCCCTTGCCCTGCATAATTGGAGATGAAACCCCTCATTAGGTTGAGAAATCGAACCTTAACAAATGCAGGGGGGAAAAAAAAGGAAAGCAACGAGCAACATGGAAAATCAAGAGACAAACCTATCATATATGCTGGTTAGAGAGCCCAGATCAGGGACAAGAACCCTCTCATATTTATTCTCTGCCCCTGCAAAATACGATAAACCTCCCAATCTCTGCAGACGAAAAACCCCACCCAAGCGAAGGAAAAAAACAAACATGGAATGAGAACAATTAACTCAAAGCAACCCATCTCAGAAAATCCACCATTTGAAAAAGGGAAAACGCAGAACAAAGACGAATTTTTTTCACATACCCCTTTGCCAAATCCGAAAATCCCATGAACCAACACAATCGGAGGGAGGTCTTCCACGCTAGTGCGACTGGCAGAACACGCTCTCTGTTCTCTCTTGACGGCGAAGTCCGCGTTTGGCTTGAAAAGCCAATCACTCAACCCCTGAGAGAGATCGCCGGCCACCGCGGAGCTGAATATGTAGAACCCATAAAGCATATGCACCAAGGAGCTCACGAACAGCTCCGTCAATTGAAGCGCCGCCGTCCAACACCTCAGCATTCTTCCTCCCCGTAACAAGCTCTTCAAGCAAACACGAAAAAAACCGTGTAAGGAAGAAGAAGAAGAGGAAGAGCCGAGGCCTCGTTTGAATTGAATTGACTCCCTCTTCAACTAAGCTGAATCTCCAGAAGACGGCGATTGACTGGTTGCTAAAAGGGGCAGCTGCATTGGAAATAAAAGGGCCCAACTGCAACTGCCAGCCAAGGGAGAAGGCCAGAAGGAAAACTTTGAATTGTTAATCTGTGTGGTGATCAATTTGTCTGGAGCAAAAGAGAGAGTCTCTGGCTTTGGGGAAAAGGAAAGTGATTGGAGAGAGATGGCAACCACAGAGAGAAAAATATATAAACTGAAGAAGAGGAGGAAAACAAAAAAGGGATGGAAAATTGGTTGCCAAATTGCTGACTCCATGGCCATACCCCCAACTCGCAAGACAACTGTGGGTGTGAGTAGGTGGGTCATTGGTGGGTTCCCGGTAGGGAATTTAATTTTAAGAGATAAAATTGTAATTTAATGTTTGTTGATAAAATGAATTAAATAGCGGGGTCGTTTGGAAGTTGCGATTGTTAAATAGATGTATTGTTGAGAATGTATGTATAATATTTATACATGCATTGTCGAATTTGATGCATTGTAGAATACAACGTTTGGTATGTGTGATTGTGTATGTCACATCAACTAAAAGCTGAGACAAAACAATCTCAACAATCACAACTAAAAGTTCGAGATATAACAATCACTCAAAATAAATGATAGTTTCTGTCACATCACAGAAACCATACACGTATTGTTTTTGCAAAAATAACAATGCATTGTAAACAATACATGCATGATGACAATTTCAACAAAACTATCACAACTTCGAACCAGAAGAAAAAGGTTTTACGGTTTCACTGGATATATCCAGATTTAATCAGCTAAGAATAAAATTAAAAGGAGAAGAAAATTCGTGGCAGCGCGGCGGGCAGGGTTTTGGGGAAGATTCCAGAAAGAGAGAAAGAGTTTATTAGACTTCTGAATTCCAGGTCATACTTTTCTTTTGTTTTTTTGTGATTGAATTTGATGGAACCACTCACCAATCACCATACCACACGTTACTCTAACCCTACTACAAACCCAATCTCTCTTCTAAAGAACAAAGTTTTTTTTTTTCTTATTACTTTAGTTTTTATCCTTTTTTTTCAAAAAAAATAAGGAAGAACGGTTGGTTTCACTCGATCATCGCTAAACATCGTTCTAAATTTTATATATGCATTGCACATTTGTCTGTTTAAAATCGGCCACGAAATAATGGAACGAAAGAGTTTTTTTTTTTTTTTGAATGACCATGATTGGGCCAAAATCTTGTATTGGGAATGACCATGACATAACTGAAGTAAGGTTTGACAGAAACCACCTGGCTTTTTGTGTTTTCGTTGTCAAACCGAATACTGATTTTGGTTCAACCATAATCAAACCTAATATTTTTGTTGAATTCGTCGTCGTGTTGTCGGTTTCAAACAACACCGAGACTTGGTTGGAAGGAGTGGCTTAAATTGAAAAGGAGTTGGAGGTGGTAACTTAGAGAGAGATAGTACCGAAGATTTGAACCGGAGACATTGCAGTTGCATGAGCTTAACTAACACACAAGCCACAATGGCCAACGGAAGCTTGGTGGTGTTGGAGTTAAATTGGGAGGAGGAAAGTTAAAAGTGCAAGAGGATAAATTTAACGATCGATTTGCAGAAAGATATGAAAAATCATTTTAAAGACGACATTTAGCGAACAGATATGGAACTACGTACCTAATGCACACTTCTCAATATCGAACAAACAAACATAAATGTGTTGAATTGAAACGAAATTACCAATCTCTAGATAAGCACACAACAAACACACACATTTTTCAGAAACTGTACTCGTCTGAGTGAATCGACGGGAAGAAACGGTGGTTACAGAGACGATAGAAGTAAGAAGCGCTTACCAGCTGGAACAGATTGGGGAGAAACCGAAAGAAAAGAGAGATCGAAATCCGAAGACAAGTGAGAGTTGCAGGGAGCGACGGGAGGATATATATACAAGGAGAAGAGGTTTGTTTTGTTTGGAGGTGGCGGAGGAGGGAGCGGCTGCGGTGGCGGAGATGTTTTGGGACGGCGGCGGCGGGAACAATGGGAATCTCTCGGAGTTGGAGTTTTAACGTATAGAAACAAAACAAACAGAGCATTATTCTGTCCGGAGAGATTTCCGACAAGAACAATGTGGGAAAAAAAAAACCCTCTCTCAAGTTGTGTGGAGGTGGATTAAATCAATAAGCACCAATCACAAAAGGACAATAAAAAGAAACTTTTTATACTCCCATGGATCTGTCGTTCTTTCTTCCACCACTTTCTAATGATTCCTTGGATACAAAGCTGATGGATTTCCAGGTTATGCAGAGTGATCAAGAACAGAAAGGGTACTGAAGTAGTGCAATGGTTTAGAAGTTGAGGGTTTCTTTCTTTTTGTAAATATCATTGTACGACTTATAGTTTGATTTAGATGGTTCGTCGTCGTGTTTGTTATAATAACGAATAGATTCAAACACAGTGATTTGCCACTTGACCGTTACATATAAGGACCCTTGAGTTCGATCGAGAGGCATCGAGTCATTTTCTAACACTCATGATCGATAGATTCCGATTTTATCCATGCTTTACTGTCATAACAGAAGCGTGCAATCGATAATCCAAACCAACACGAACGAACACAAATTTAGCGTGGTTCACTAACACAATGTGTGCTAGCTAATCCACAGGCAGGGGAGAACAAATTTCACTAATTTCAGGAGTGTACAGGTTACAAACCAAATTCCGAAACGGACAAACCAAACAAACTAACCCGACTGACCTTACTACAGACTAGGGTGATGAAGAGTATTTATAGAACTCTTCTCCTAATCCCAAACAGAAAACCAAACACCTTTCCCAAACCTACAAGGAAATGGCCAAAACAAAGCCAAAACACAAACCCAAACCCAAACAAAATAGGCCCAAACACAAAACAAACTCAAATCAAATTCAAGTCATATCCTAACAATCTCCACATTGACTTGAATTCTCTGTCAAATACCAGATGTACCAGACGCAACCAAAGTTGCCAGATGTATCCAACTCCTCCAAATCAGCTGCACCAGAATCTCCCCTGCCTCCAAATGCCACTAAGGGCGGTCAACAACTCAAACCATTCGGCAAGTCCAACCCATGTTGAAACTTGTCGTTCAGATGCAGCTTGATGCACTCATCACCAACAGAACATGTCAAAATAGAACCGTGTAGACCATACAAGGCACCAACCTTGACACCGTTCAGAATCACCTTAGAACCTTTGTATACAGACAACACTCCACTTTCACCTTTGAAACTGAAACCCTTGTCGTCGAGTAGACTCAAAGATACCAGATTCTTAGTCATCTTTGGAATATGCCTAACATTGTTCAAGGTGCGAACAAAACCATCATGTGTCCTCATCCCGACAGAGCCTCTTCCAACAATCTTACAGATAGCACCATTGGCCATAGAAACATGTCCTCCATCTATCTGCTCATAAGTTGAAAAACACTCCCTGGCAATGGGTCGGGTCGGGGACGGATAGTGCATATCCGTTACCCTACCCAAAGTAGTTCGGGTTTTACCCATACCCATACCCACATATGAAACGAGTAGAAAATTAAAACCATGTCCATACCCGTTCGGGTTTCGGGTATCCACGGCTATCCATGGGTAATGATTTCTCTTCATAACTCCAACTAATATATTAACATTCACACGTATTCTCACATTATGCAAGAGGAAAAGTATGACAATAATTCACTAGAATGAAGAAAATTTATTAATACAACACAATTTCATGAAAATATTATATTTATATGCTAAATATAAAATATGTTAGAGAAAAATAATGACTTATTTCTAGACAAAATACATATGTATGTGTATAATCGGGCGGGTTCGGGTTGGATACTGAGAAACCCATGCCCACCCTTTACCCGCAATATTCGGGTTCGGGTTTTACCCGTACCCACTAAATGTCCTTCGGGTTCGGGTTTTACCCTACCCAATTAGACCGGGTTCGGGCGGATATCCACGGTTACGGATATTTTTGCCATCCCTACCTGCTTGGACACATATGATAATCAGCTGCAGTATCTAAATACCACACATCCTGATGATGCACCTGCTCATTCACTGCTAAGGCTACACAATCTTCAAGATCAGAGTTAGTTTCTTCCGCCACAGCAGCAGATGCTCCCTTCTTCTCCTGCATTTCTTTAGTTTAGGACAATCAAATTTCCAATGTCCTTTCTCCTTACAGTAATGACAGATATCATCTTTCAAACCAACAGAATTCGAATTTGTATTCGTCTTCCTATTACCAGATTGTTGTCTCCTACTACTCGTAGCAGCCAACTCAGATGCCTGATTTTCTGAATCTGAACCAGACGCCTTATGTCGCACCTCTCTAGTATGTAGAGCAGATCTGACATCTTCCAAAGACAAACTATCTTTCCCAACAATAAAAGAATCCACAAAATTCTCTAGGGCTGGTAATCGGTCGGTATCCGGTATACCGGATACCGATTAGCCGGTATTCGGTATACCGGAACCAGACAGTGTACCCACCGAATACCGATACCAAATGTTATCCGGTATACCGAATACCGAATAGTCGGTATCCGGTATTAATACCGGTATACCGAATACCGGTTAATGCATTGAGATTATGTTTTCGAGCCGGTATACCGACTTAATACCGATACCAAGTGGGCTGATTTGGGCTTTTTGTTCTTTTTATTTTTCTAAATGTTGTTTAATTAAATGATGTAAATAATTTTGTTTGTTTATTAATTATTTCTATATTATATTGTTGTCGTCTAGCAAGTTTTATTAATCAACAATTCACTATTAGTTAATAGTAATTAATAGTGAATCGGTATTCGGTATATAACTAATCGGTATTCGGTATACCGACTGGTCAAGAAGTGCAGCCGTATACCGATACCGCCGGTATTTGGTATACCGAATACCGATTGTAACCGGTTCGGTACCCGGTTATACCGAATACCGGTTTACCGAATACCAGCCCTAAAATTCTCATACGACCGTGGCAAAGATACTAACAGAACTAAGGCAGCATCCTCATCATCTATTTTAACATCAATGTTCCACAGATCTAACAAGATAGTATTGAGTTTATCTAGATGATTCTTGAGAGGCGTACCTTCCTCCATACGCAAACTGAACAAACATTGCTTCATATGCAACTTGTTGGTTAAAGTCTTTGTCATGTATAGACTTTCAAGCTTCAACCACAAGCCCGCAACAGTCTTCTCAGCAGCAACCTCAGTGAGTATGTCATCAGCCAAGCAAAGCAAGATTGTAGAGTGAGCTTTCTCCTCCAAAGTAATCCACTCTTCTTCATCTATACTTTCCTTCTTCGATTTTTCAGACAACGGAGCCCGCAAACCCTATTGTTTCAACAGTGCTTGCATCTTGATATGCCACAAACTAAAACTGTTTCTTCCGGTAAACTTCTCAATCTTCATACTGATAGCAGTTATTCTTACTATCAAACAACTCTAACCAAACTTCTCACCAAACAAATGAGACAAAATCGCAACTACCCAAAGTCAACTTCAAAGCGATTCCTCCACCGAACCAAGCTAAAGAATTGAAAGCTACCTCCACAAAGCAAAACTTCAGTCCAGCGCCAAATTCCCAAAATCGCAACCAAAGGCTCTGATACCACTTGTCAGAACAGAAGCGTGCAATCGATAATCCAAACCAACACGAACGAACACAAATTTAACGTGGTTCACTAACACAATGCGTGTTAGCTAATCCACGGGCAAAGGAGAACAAATTTCACTAATTTGAGGAGAGTACATGTTACAAACCAAATTCCGAAATGGACAAACCAAACAAACTAACCCGACTGACCTTACTACAAACTAGGGTGATGAAGAGTACTTATAGAACTCTTCTCATAATCTCAAACAAAAACCTAAACACATTTTCCAAACCTACAAAGAAAAGACCAAAACAAAGCCCAAACACACACCCAGACAAAATAAACCCAAACACAAAACAAATCTAAATCAAATTCAAGTCATATCCTAACATTTACCTCTCACCCTCCCCTTCTTCTACCTCCAATCCTTTATTACACAAGAATTTCACATGGTATCATAATCTAGTTGCTATTGATAAACCATTTTGTTTCGACCATAATTCATTTGTTCATTTTCTAATTGGACTACAATTAGATATATACACCCTAATCTCCTTATCCAATTATGTATCATCCACTAACACGTTGTATCTTTCATTTCCCAACAAAGCCACATGGGTTAACCAAGCCCCACGGCTGCCAGCTTATTTTGGTGATACATATATTAATTGCTAACTAATTAACAAGAGTTATCCGCGGAACAATTCCTTAAGCTCAATTATTATGGACGCTAACCCTTTCTCTAATAATTGCTATCTACATGCATGTGAAGCCGAATCCAAAACCCATGTGGAGGGGAGAAAATCAATGAAAGATAATTAAAGTTGAATTATAAGAGAAAATTAATTATGATTTATGTACATGATAAAATACTAGAGATACTGTTTTAAGATTTTATTAAATAATAAGTAATCAGACAATTTAGTAGTGGTCATGTATGCGACATTGTGATTGTACATAAACTTTCTATAACTCATAAATAAATAGACAATCTCAATATTTCTTCGAGCAAGAACTTTCCACTTCTAAACGAACCCAATTCCTTTATGAACAATGATTTAGTCTAATTAATACCATTAATCTTGAACTTAGAGAAACGAAGAGGTTCTAGATTTGAATCTCTTCCGTTCTTCAGACTTCACATACTAAAACATCCTTGGTATTTATATATATATTTAGTATCTACAAATTCATACCTAAATTTTGATGATTTTTTTTTTACGAACATGTAATTCAAAAATTATGTTTTGGTACCAAAATTCTTTAGAATGATATTTTAATATTTAACCTTTTCAAAAATTTCAAACTATTCTAAAATTTCTATGTCACTTGGATCTACGAATCCAATCCACAAACTCAATTAATCCAATTCACGAATTTATCAATTCAATTTATTTTACACCAATACTCACACAATGGGGGCGTGATTGTCATTGTGTCGATCTTAGGCCATGATTTAACTTACCTTTTTTACCGCCACAGTTTAGTGCTAATCCTATAGGTATTAGCTCAATCTTATATGTAGTCACGTGATCACGTTTTGGTCAATAAGAGATTTACGCAGAAATCAGAATATAGAAACACGTAAAATGGAAGGCCAGAAGAGACAAAATAGCGGTCCAGCAGCAAGCAATAGAAGAAGGAAACCACAACGTGTAAGCGAAAGGGGAGGAGGAATGCGCCAATGAGCTAATGAGGCATATGTAAAAAGCAAACCATAAAGATTCAGCAAAACGAAAGAAACACGTTTAAAACATTAGGTGACATCATAAAACAATGATTTTCTACAGAGGTCAAAGGTTAGGTAAACCACTTCAATTTTTAGTGTAAGATCTGCTCCAATCAAATCAATCTTTGTTTAGGCATCGTAACTCGAGCGAGCGAAACGAGACTTGATTTAGTTCTGAAATCATAATTCGGCTCGGGGTAAACAACGTGATAAAAGTCACGATCATATTGTCAAACGGATTTATACTGTTATGCCGGTTTCGTATGTAATATGACTAGACTGGGACACAACTGGTTTATTCCCCTTCCATTTCGGGCTGGGAAAAAAAAAAACATAGATGGGCCCTAATGTCGCGGGCCGAAACATGGGCCTAACTAGCCTACAGCCCTTGTGCTCAAAAGGCTACGGCGCAACGCCTAGGCGGAACATTTGAACAAAGACCATGGCTTTATCAGGAACCGAATGATTGTAGCCATGGTAACGAAAGTATTTCTGAACAAAATGGGCTAACCACCTTGAAACCGCATAACAAACTGAACCCAATATCGCAAGTCTAGTTCTTCCTGCTGCTGAAACTGCCCCTTGCTTAGTTGCAGCGGCAACAACGCCGATCAGTCCAATGGCGACGACCTCGAGAACCGTCGCCATAGCATTCAGACACTTATATGCACGACTGCAACTTCCACAGTTCACTACATGAGTCCAGTACCGATCCATGAGTTGTTCTCTTGGAGGCGTCGGAGGGAGATCACCACTGAATCTGCCCCTCCAATCAACTTCACCATCAGCGTATTTGTTGAACCATCTTCTGTAGCCAACAACCAGAGCATCTGACTTGCAAGGCAAGAAACATGCTCTCTGCCAGTTCTTTGGGCCAATTTCCTTGATTTTCCTTTCCTGTGTTGAAGAATTTGCTAGGTTAGCAGGTGTTGAACAAATGTAGATCACGATCCACATGAGTTAGACAGAAAATCACCTCGATATGAAGAAGGTATAGATCGGAATCAAGAATCAGGTTGTTTGCTACGTGGATCATCCATCTGGGTACAACTTTGTCAATCCAAACATCAAAGTTTCTCGGGAAAGCCCAGATTAGTCTGCTATTGCCAGGACTCACTGGAACGCACATGAATGTCAGTGTCATCCTCCGCCTGCCTTTAGATGGCTGCATAGCAGCAAGAGAACATGTAATTGTTATCCCAAGGGAACTTCTGCCAATGATGAAAATTGAGCTACCTTATTGGTTCCAGAATCTACATCAGCATGGATAGAAAGGATGCAGGGTGCCTGGTATTTACAGTAGCCGAATTCTAGTTCTGCATCGAATCCTTCGATACCAAGCTTCTTCAATGTGAAATCAAGTGGTATTCCCCCTTCTCTATCACGTTGTTCTGGAAAATAATTCTGAACTTCAGTTTGCATAAACTTCTTTTTTTTTTTTTGGTAGAAGAGTTTGCATAAACTTCATACATACAGAGCGGGCAAAAAAGTGAAAGCAAGGAATCAATATAAGAAACCCTACCCTTGAATGGCTTTGTTAGTGCCAGTCCATAATGTGCATAGGGAAGATGAGCAGGATCCATAAGGTTCTCGATCAGTATATCATACCTAGCAATGGCCCCCCAAACGACAAACCCATTTCTCAAATTCAAAACCTCGACAAAGAAATTCTCAAACAAAATGCACAGCAATGGAGATTTTAGCATTTACCCATAAGGAATATCCCTGATTGCCATCACCTTAGTGAATGCAGGATCATCCAACTCCGGAATGAATGGAGGCTTCTTCTCGTCAAAGATGTTTCTGTATTGAGGATCAGAGTTGGGCCAAAACCACACCATGTCATGATGCACTACGGTTGGATAAGAAGCAACACAAGCCCTTTTGTTGGTGTGCACCTGCAATTTTTTTTTTCTCTCCCAACAGTGAGATTCCGATTTGGGTCATAAATTATTAATAATAATAATATAATAATAATAATAATTAATTAATAGCGCAAGTGTGAGGCACTATTCCTCACGAAAAAAGCTCTGCAGGTTTACTGTTCATTAGGCTATAATTAACTGTGGTCGTAACCATACAAATTTCCGGAGACAAGCGAAGTCTCCTTTCTTCTCCCTGCAACACTTTTTTAACCATTATGTATTATCATAAGTCATAACCATCAGCATCAAGTGAAGCCAAGAGAAGGGTTTATATAAGTGCCAAGCAAAGTTTATAGATGCCAAAATATTCTGTGAGATTCCCAATACCTTAGAGCTCTTTAGAGCTAATGAAATGTAATTACTAAGACAATACGTCAATTTTAAAGTAATACCTATAAAATCATATCGTATTGGCAATATAATTTTAAAATCTTCGATTTATATAAGGATAGATATTTCTTATGTAACAATTAAACAAATTTATTACGTATATCCGCCTAATATAAGTTTGAATGTACCAAATTTCATTATTATTAACTAAAATAGTTATGAAAATACTTTGTAAGGTCAATTAGCTTTTATATAATAGTTTGATATCAAGTGATGATATTTGTAACTTGATTCTATAATTAGACCACACATTACAGAAGATTTACGCTAAGTCATTCTATAATAGTTATGTAAAATTAATAGAGTGATAATTTACATAACTTAACGTGTTTACTATTAACTAAAATATTCAAAATGTCATCACTCTCATTACTCAAAGATTTTGTAAAGTAAGTTAAGTTTTACATAATACTTTAAAAAAGATGTGATACTTCTATAAGTTGGTTTTATTATTAGACCACAATTTGCGTATATTTACACTGTCATATAGCGATTATGCAAATTATAAACATTTTATGTAAAACTTATGGATGTATAGTTACTTCTTAAATATAAATTAAACAAACGTAATACGTAAGTAAGTCATAATAGAAGTTTGAACAAAAATTTCTTCGTTAATAACTAAGTGGTTGATCATCTCATCAATTTACATTACACAAAAATTATGTATGTTATTTTTTACATAATATTTTAATCAAATATGATAATTTTTATCTTAATTACTTTATTACTAACTAAACTTCCTTCATTATTAATAAAATATTCACCATGTTATCAATTTGCTTTACCCAAATATTTTAAAAGGTCAATTAACTTATACACAATATTTTAATAAAATGTGATACTATATTAATTTTATTATCAGACCACACATTACAGAAGTTATACGTAACACGGTTCTATAACATTTATGTAAGTTACAAACATATTGTGTAAAAATTATGGAGGAATATTTATTTGTTGTGCATCGATTAAACGAACTTATTACGTAAGTCTTTCATAATGATCAAGACACTACGTAAAGTTTATGAAGGGATAAAAATTTCCTCATGCATCAACTAAACACACGTATTACATACGTAAGTTTTTTTGTATTAATTAAGACACTACGAAAAACTTAGTGAGAAATAGTTATTTCTCATATCAATTAAAACAAACATATGATCTCATGGTAGGAAACACGTCCCAATTCTTTAACGCATATTACCCGGCGTCACTTCGTCCCCTTTACCCCCACCAATATCATGATGCAAGTATTTCATAATGACTAAGACCATTATGTAAAACTTATGAAAGTATATAACATGAACGATTTTATAAATTATTTGATTTCAACTAAATTATTAAATAAATAAATGAAATTTAAAATATAATTAATTATTTACCTCTGCGAAGCGCGGGCCAAAAAACTAGTTATGATGAAGAGAAACGATTTACTTACAGAAGGGCCGTCGAGAGGCGATTGAGGGATGAGCTTGCAGTTGCCATTGCCATCAAAACACCAGCCATGATAAGCGCATTGCAGCCTTCCCGACGGATCGATCCTTCCTTCAGAGAGCGGAGCCAGGCGGTGAGGACACATATCGTCGAACACCTTCCATGCATTCTCGTTACTGTCCCACCAAACCACTACATCAATCCCCAATACCTTCTTCGCATGTGGGACCCTCTTGTCCAGATCGCAGACCGGCATCACCGGGTACCATTGCGAGTACCAGTCGAACTTCTCCTCGCCGGCGGCGACGTCAATTGCTGGTTCGAGCGGCGATGCCACTGAAACAGGGGAAGAAGAGGAAAGCCTGGATTTTGATGGTGCGGGGTAAAGCAACGGCCCGGGTAATGAACTGGGTATGGAAGAACGGACATTCCGGAGCTTGGGTTTGGATGAGTCGCCATTAAGGAGTGAATTCAGAGGTTGAAAATGAGCAGGAGTTGAGAAAACGTCCATGGCTGCTCTTGCCTTATTTGAAGAGGCCAGGGGGAGAGAGATTTATATGCATTTTATGCTAATCTACCGATCATTGATTCCTCCCGGCGCCTACTGTCATTAATCTTGATTCTTGACATTAAACCAGGTGCTTACTTGCTGCTCTGTATTGCGTTTGTTGGTGCCATGTCGCTCGTCGATCTCTTTATTATGCTTCATTTTTTTGGGGGACAGAAGTAATGGAAGGGATAAGGATGGATTAATATTTTGTTTGTGCGATAAGTAGGTGATTCATTAAGGTCGAGCTGGTGGCGGGAAATTGTTTTCCTGTGATTTTTCTTTTAATATTGAGTTGTTAGGCAATGGAATCACCACCTTCGCAGTTTCGATAGAAGGTTCACTTGCAATCCTTTTCTGCGCTTGTGAATTTTGAAAGAAAAATAAAGTCAGAAAATTAAATAACGACTGAAAATAAAAATTGTTTTGCTGAATTTGTTTGTGGATTTTGAAACAAAAACATGAATTATGACAGATTGTTTGAAATTAAAATAAACAAAAGTTGAATGATCTACCAAATAAAAAAAATACTAAATTGAAAAGTAGTAAAATATATATATAGAAGGATAAAGCAGAAAAACTGAGTGGATTTTGTTTCACTATATACAAGAAAGAATTCTAGTGAACTTTTAAAACCAAATATAACGTATTCTATAAATAAATTATATGAGTTTTTGCGGAATCCTTTTGAAATGAAATGCGTTTTCAGTTGAAACTCTCGATTAACAGGTTTCAAATGATCTTTTAAAAAAATTCTAGCAAAGAAAAAAAAAAGTTAGGTAAAAAAAAAATTATATAATAAAATTTGGCAATATCTTTCGAGTATTTCATCTCACAGATTTAAAAAGTAGTGTTTCCTTCATTAAAAACATATTAAAAATAATATTGAAAGCTTATGAAAAACACATTTTCTTGTTTCTCGAAATATCAGAAAGTATCACTTTATGTTTTCAGAGTTGAAAATAAAAATGTATATATATTTTCTCATTTCTATTGACAAATTTCTTGAATGAAAACGAAAAGGGAATTGAAAATGAAAACGAACAGACTATCAAATCGTGATTCAATGAATATAAGATGCCAAATTCACCCCTCAAAATTACCAACTTCCCCATCCATATTGATTACCCAACTACGTACTCGAGGTTACATTATGTGCACGCTAATGCAGTAGTCACAGACGTAGGAATAATGCCTAATTGGTTTGTTTGCTTAATTTGGGACATTGTAAAGGAAGAAGAAAACCAATGCGTGGCCATGAGTTAACACACTGAACTTAAACGTAGTTAGGATGGAACACCTGTTGGAATTCTTTTGTTTGCTCCCCAATCAACATCTTTGAACTAGAAAGAGTGCAGGTTCGAATTTAATTCAACATTTAGTATCGATATAATTCATTACGGGGTCGTTTGGATTAAGGAATTTAATTTTGGGGATTTGTGAAGGATTTAGTCTCAAATCCCTCAACTGAAAACCCAGGTATTTGTGATTAAGGATTTGTATTAAATTTCTTGTTTGTTTAGAAAAATAGGTTTTTAATAAGAAATGTCAAATTTCTAATTTGCCCTTTCATTGTTCATCGTGTTGTTCCATCTCTATTCGGAAAAGGAACTAGATTTGGTCATCGTCGTTCCCGTCACAAGCATCCCCACCAGAGACATATAGCAGTTCCCATCAGCAAGCATCCACAGGCATCCGCAATCTCCTTCTCTTTCTTTGATTCTCGTCGTCGTCGCGTCAGATCCGCCGCCACCAATCGAAGGGGGAAGCAGTCAGATCCATCGCAAGAGTCCCTCTGGGCTACTGCATGTCCCCGCTGGCCGCTTGAGAAGAAGAAGACGTTGCCGGAGAACGCCCAACCGTCGCCGGGTTTGGGAAGAAGAAGACGTTGCCGGAGAACGCCCAACCGTCGCCGGGTTTGAGAAGAAGAAGACGTTTTCGGAATCGCCTCGATTTACCAGAAATCGCCAATACAGAGAATGCCCAATCATCGCACCTACTCTCTTCGCCGGCGGGAGTTCGGAATCGGAAAAAGGAGAAGCTCGAGTCGCCGCCGGTTAGAAGCAGACGGTAGTCGCAAGAGCTGGTTCGGAGGAGGAAGAAGGAGAATCGACGTCCTGTGCTCTTGAACCTCGTCGATTATCGAGGCCTAGCGGAAGGGTCGCAGATCCATAGAAATCGGAGAAGAAATCGAAGAGATCCGCTCAACTCATTCACTGAAAATCGCCCAATCCAGAGATCGCAGGAGGAAGAAAGAGATTGCTGGAGGAAGAATCAACGCCGGAGAAAAGTTGTTGCTGGGTTTGGGGAAACGAAGTTGTCGCCGGAGGTGGGTGTGGTCGGAGAAGATTGAACAAATGGGAGAGTCAATAGGTTGTAGTGGAGAATAGGTTGGAAGAACAGAAGGATAAGGTTGGAAGAAATAAAAAAATATATCAGGGATTTTGAAATAGCTGGGGCAATCAGCTATTTTAAAAACCTGCCAATTAGGAATTTCAAAATTCCTGAAGTCCACAATTCCTATACTTCACAAACGCATAATTTTGTTAAAATCTCTCATGATCAAGGATTGTGGCAAAATCCCTATCTAAATTTCCTGATCCAAACAACCCCTACGGGTGTTTGACAAGTACACATTGTAGAATACATAAATTTCAAACCCTAAGTTGATCGATGAGTTTTCCCACTGGTAGCTCAAGATCACCGGTAGAACTACCATTGCATTGAAAAAGGAAAGTAATTAATATGAGTTTTTAATTCAAACAAATTATTAAATGCAACACAAATCAATTACCTTAAAAGCCTAAAATTAATAGGGGTGTCATTTTTCCAACCTCTTTAGAAGTAGTCATGCACTCATGCTATCTCACCCCCTTTATCATAGTTTATCGGGCCAAACAGGGTTGGGGTTAATCTTGTTGTGGGTCAGACACTTATGGGTTTATCTGATCACAGGTTCGAAGGGTTACGAGTTCATTGGGTTGTTGGTCCGTCAAGTTGGGACCAACTAGTTTGTGAGACAAGCATGTTCGAGTAATTGATCTTTTAGTCAACTCAAGTTATGGTCGGGTTGCGAGTAGGGTTGACCGAACGGGTTACTGGAGTCAAGTTCTGTGTTGACACTGCTAGTTCGTATATTCCTACTATCATATATACATCCATTCTACACCATCATATATTCATTCAACACGATCTCCTTGCATACCACCATAGTATAATTTTATGTACTATCAAACATTACCACTATAGTATAGGATAATAATATATGTATCAACGTAGCACGTACATACCCATGATAAAATCGACAATGCCTCATGAAAGAGTTTATGGTAGTAGTGAAAAGGTAGAAGCCACCTTGTCTCCCTGGAACAAGAAAAGGAGGTCGTCATAAGACCCAAATATCGTTTGCTCATTGGATTTGAGTTATGGATTTGTGACTCAAATATCCTCTGCTCCACACCTTCTCTGGCGGCGATCTTGTTGGCGAAAGAGTGAACGACTACTGCAGCTGAGAGGAGAGAGAGAAAGAGAGGTGAGTTGGAGGGAGGGAGCTCTTCACCGGCTAGTGGACGTGGCGGCGGTGGGGAAATGCAGGGGAGCCGTTAGGGTTTGTTGTGTTAAAATTTAACGGAGTTGTAAGGTTTTTTAATAGTTAGAAATGAGATGGAAAATTTATAAATTAAATTTTATTTATTTTTTAATTGTCATGTCACACATTTAACGGTTAATTATAAGAGTTGACTGTCACATAAGCAAAATTTGACAGAGTTGGACTGAGAGTGATCAAACTTGAAATGTTTAACTAATTTTAGTGACCAAGAATGAAATTAAATATTTTTAATGACCAAACGTGAACGTTTTTAGTAATCACAGTGCCCAACCATGCAATTTACCCTTAATATTAAAGACAGGTTTGGTGTGGCTAGTGGACAGAAGCATGGTAAGCCAGCTTAGCACTGCACGGCCATTACTCCTTCTCTCCCTTCCACTTGCAGAGCAGAGTCCAGGGATGCGCAAATCGAAGCAAGACACCACAGTCCCTCTCCTTTTGTCTTTTCTCTAAGTCAGTTTACTATCCAATGTAGCCCGTAGTTATAGCAGTAGAAACAGAGGGTTCCATGACGAATCTTTGCAAGTAGCATAGGTTTCATAAGCATCAAGCATTGAACATTTGAACTTTATTCGAAAGGGTTTGAATCGAAATCATCACTCGTCCATCGAGGAAACAGAGACAAAGCTGTTTCTGGTTATACAACAATTGGGGCAGATCAACATAAATACTCTACTGTAACATTTTTTCAGGAATTGATTTGTTTTATGACAATGGTCATACGCCAAGATCGTGAGCAAACCATTTTGCATCCCCACCGTCAGCTACAGCTACTAATTAACCAGCACCTACATTCCAAATTCGAACCAGAAGCATCACCTTTTCAGGGAACGAGTGATTGTAGTCATGGTAGCGAAAGTTGTCATGAACGAAATAAGCCAGCCACTTCGAAGCTACATAGCAGGCTGTAGCGAAGATTGCAAGTTTAGTTCTCGCAGCCCCCGACAACATCCCTTGAGCAGCTGCTGCAGCAATGGCGATCGATCCAATGGAGACGACTTTGAGCACGGTCTCGATAGCATTCAGAGTCTTGTATGCTCGATTGCAGCTACTGCAGTTCACCACATGGCTCCAGTACCTGATAAAAGTAGCAAAGTAGACGGTTTAGATGTGATCGAACGGTTTAGATCGAAACTAGATAATAGTACTAGTTTCTTACCTGTCCATAAGCTGTTCTCTTGGCGGGGTTGGAGGAAGATCATCAGTACACCTGCTTCTCCAGTCGACTTTACTATATGCATATTTGTTGAACCATTGTCTGAAGCCAACCACCAGAGCATCAGACTTGATCGGCAGAAAGCAAGCCTTCTGCCAATTCGCAGGCCCTTTTTCCTTGATTTTACGTTCCTGTTGATCAATTTGATGTGCTCCGTCAACGGATTGGTTTTCTCAGGTTAAATGCTTGAATGGTCGCTAAGCCATCGCATTGTAAGAGCATAGATTGTGCGATTTTGATCAAGGGACGAGTCACGGGTCTATTTGACGTGACACTTCACTTGACATACCAAAAGTTTCAGAGAAAGTTACCTCTACATGAAGAAGATACAAATCGGAATCCAAGAGTACATTTGTTGCCATGTGTGCCATCCATCTGGGCAAGATTTTGTCAACCCAAGTATCGAAATTCCTTGGGAAAGCCCAAATGTATCTACTATTGCCTGGACTGACTGGAATGCAGATGAAAACTAAAGCCGTCTTCCGCTCCTGCAAGACAACAATACAACACCCAAGAGCGCATCAGCAACTAGTTTTCATGCCCAGTTCTCAATGAGATGCAGTTTAAGTTACCTTATCGGTTCCAGAAGGCAGAGCAGTATGGTAAGTAATGAAGCAAGGTGCATGGAAATTAATGCAACCGAATCCCATATCCACATCAAATCCTCCTATCCCTGGATTCTTCACCACAAAATCAAGTGGTCTTCCGCCTTCTCTGTCGCGCATTTCTGAGAAAGAAACCAACTTTCAACTTGAACTCCTTGAAACTAGAAAGAAACTCAAATCATGAACCCATCAGAAATCAAACTTACCCTTGAAGGGCTGTGTTGGTCCAAGCTTATAATGCGCGTAGGGAAGATGAGCAGGATCCATAAGGTTCTCTATCAATACATCATACCCATAAGGCAGATCTCGACTGCCCATCACCGTCGTGAACGATGGATCATCCAACTCCGGAATGAAAGGAGGTTTCTCCTTCTCAAAAATGTCTTTGTACCGAGGATCAGAGTTGGGCCAAAACCACACCATGCCATGATGCACAATGGTTGGGTAAGCTGCAACACAAGCCCTTTTGTTGGTGTGAACCTACAATTTTGTTTTCAAGTTCGTCTTGACATTAAGATCCGTTGTTCATAGTCAATAGAGTCAAAATCATGTTTTAAAATTTAAAAGCTTCGTTTTTACACTTTTTCGTCACCAAAACACTTTAACATAGAATCACACTTTTCACTTACCATGTCATAACTCGTAAATCAATTGATCTCAATAACTCGAATTGTTGATAAAGGATTTGTTAAACTATTAATTAATCTCTTACAATACTTTCACGCTTCTAAATCACCAAAACGGTTCTACATTGAATGCCGATTTTAACGTTAATGGTAATCGATTCAAGACTTACTGGTGGACCGTCGGGAGGAGCTTGAGGGATGAGCTTGCAGCTGCCGGAGCCATCAAAACACCAGCCGTGATAAACGCACTGCAGCCTTCCCGACGGATCGATCCTTCCTTCGGAGAGCGGAGCCAGGCGGTGAGGACACATATCGTCGAACACCTTCCATGCATTCTCGCTCCTGTCCCACCACACCACCACATCCAAACCCAACACCTTCTTGGCGTGTGGGACCTTCTTGTCCAGATCGCACACCGGGATCAAAGGGTACCACTGAGAGTACCAGTCAAACTTCTCCTCTCCGGCGGTGGCGGCGGCGGCGGCGGTGACGGTGTCGGCTGCTTCGAGCGGTACATGGTCCACTGAAACAGGGGAAGAGAAAAGCTTGAATTTTGACGGTGCCCTGCTGTGAAGTAATGGCGGGGATGGCGAGTTGTGTGCGAAAATAGAATCGAAATTTGAGAAATTGGGTTTGTGTAGTTGGGCATGAGTGAGCTGAGTTGGGGAGTAAAGAGATGGAAGAGACGAAGAAGCTACGAAAGCTTTCATGGCTACTGCTCTGCTTGGGGATTGCTATTAATTTATGGCGCCATCGTTTTGATCCAAGTTATAAAGAGGGAGGGAAAGCTATTGCTGGTCAACGGTATAATAATAAAAGCTCTACATATGTATAATAATTTTTATTAAAGTTTTAATGGATTGTATTTATTATTTTTAATTTATATTTCATGTTTTATTTACAGTAAAATTTTCAATTAATTTGCACATATAAAATAACATTCACTTTAATTTGCACATATAATGTCGCTTTTATAACCACTATCATATTCTATTCACGCAATCACCATCAGAATCCTGCAAATCTCCTAATTTGGTGGGTTTTTCTGGCTGATGGTCAGAAAAACAATATATAATCCAGCTATGAGACACATATAAAATTTCTCAATGACACCAACTTGTCGAAAAGGAGCTGTGTTTAACTTAATTGGAGATGGAAAAGGATATGTGTGGCATTATACTCGTGGTTTCTTTTCTTCTCCCAAAACATTGCCCCATCACCATGTTGTCACGCCGGCCGGCGTACCACTGGTTGATCCTGGTTCAACCTGTACCGGTCATAAAGTCGGTATGACACCACCAGTATGACCGGCATGATCGATATACGAATCTCTAAATAAAATGATCTTATATTAGTGAATTTATTTGATAAAAAGTAATTTATTATTTATTTTATGTGTTAAAAAGTTAAATGTTGATGTTATTTGTTGGATTCAAGTACAAATATTTAGGTATTCACGTTAAATGCCGTGCTTAAATATGAGTATTTGTAAATTATTTGTAATATTAACCGGCATAAACCGATACAAACCGGTATGTACTACCGGTCGAACCATTCCACTTGCTAAACCGACACACTGGCACAAACCGGTTTCACAACCTTTTCCCATCACCCATTTCAATCATATTCTGATTCTCCAGCTACCACAGAGGTGAAAGCAATGGGGAGAATTAAAGAAGCAGATGGCTGAATTATGGTGTCGATTGGTGAGCCATATGGTGGTTGATCCCTTCTAAATAATGTTCAGTCTACTTGTATTTGTATATAATAAACTTGAAAAAAGAATTAAAAAAATCAATTTTAGGTTGGTGAACAATACATTAAGGCTCTGTTGGACTATTAGAGGAAGATCGTTGGCATAGTACTTGTCCCTCTAGTCAATAAAGGTGTGTTTGGTAAGTGTATTTCAAATGTAAGGTATTTGAAATAAATGCATTTGAAATGGATATATTTGAAATTAGCCTTTTGAAATATATGTAATTCAAATTCGTTGTTTGGATACTCATTTGTAATTTGTATTTTATGATTTTTATTTTGAATTTTCTGGTCACTTACTACAAATTTTGATAAATTACAGTTTGGTATCCAAAATTATTTCTTCTTATAATTTAGTACCTAAACTTTTCTAATTTTACAAAAAGGTCCTAAAATTTTGGTGGTAAAATTACGTTTTTGTACCTTTATATGTTTTGCCTCACACTATAGTACCTAAACTTTTAATATTTTACAAATAGGTCCAATCTTTTGTTATGAGGTATTTCAAATCACTAGTTGTTGAAATGTATTTCAAGTTGACAAGTAATACACTAGACATGTATTTGAAAATCACCTTATGAATTTGACACAAATCCAAATACCAAATGTAATTCATATCCTTTAACAGTATATATTTGTTCAACCATGTTATGGAGCCAACCACCAGAGCATCAAACTTAGTAGGAACAAAACATGCCTCCTGCCAATTTCTAATGTCGGATTCCTTGATTTCTATTATTTTGCGATCCTGCGTAAAGGGTTTCTTGGGCGAGTTAATGCTCGAACGCAAGGGAGCTAAGCGTTGTCTCGGAGGAACATAATCACCTCAACATGAAGAAGCTACAAATCTGAATCCAAATCCAAGTTAAACCACACTTTAAACATCCATCTTTACTGGCGGATCCATGGGGTGGCCACCCCGGGTCATAGTCCCACCCTCATCTAGATCCAGAGCTAGCATTGCATTTACGAATTTTTTGATTTTAGTCATTTAGTCCGGTGTTATTTTATAATATGTAACACCCTTCCACCATTGATCATCACTAGCAATCATTTCGTATTTAACAACATCTATTTAGAAAAAAGACTCAGGAGGAAAGCTTCCCCCAGTATACCGAATAAAAACATGTGGAGAGTTCAGTTCCGCCATCCACCTCACGACAACCGACTTGTTTTCTTCTATCACGATCCCTTTGAATCTGGGAAAAAAATATTGACGGGGTGAGACGTCACTCAATGAGTAAACAATAACCTGATACAAACATCAATACCAAAATAGTAACGAGTGATGTTGTACCCCCGAAGTACTTCTCATATCATCCAAGACATATTCATATCACTTACCATAGTGTAACAACCGACAATACATAGTCATTTTCAAGCATGGTCTCACAACACATGTCATATACCACATCACAGATAGATCACGACACAAGAGATTTCATTCGATAACACACACATCTATTCATTTCATCATGCACTCCAATATCATATCAATATAGTAAACGCATAGAAAACCATCACATAACTATATAATAATCCACATGCACATTTTGTATATCAGATCATAGGAAGTCATTACATAATCTCATCATAGGAAATCCTTATACAAGGATTCAATCACATCACGGTTAGGTTGATTCAGTGGCTTTTACTTCATTAGCTTGTCAAATCATACACTCTTCCAAGATATAGGAATAGGGATTACACTAGTTCTAATAAAACCTATCACCGCGGAACGTATCTCAACCCGGTGCCATTATACCACTGCGGGACGTACCCAGTCCAGTCTCATCATATCACATACCACCGCGGAATGAATCACCGTCCGGTGTCATCATACCATGTTCTCCCTTTTCCCATATCTTGTGTTGAGTGTACAACAAGGCAAGCATTATGTTTGGTTTAGGTCAATCAATTTCCCTTTCATATACAGATAGTATACTTTTAACCATCTTCTGCTATTTCTCATTCATATGCCTTATAGGCCATTCCCATATTCTAATCATGCACTTTCGTTCTAGGCAAGGTATCTTGCCTATCATTTCACTTTAGCACCTCAAATGTTACTCCCTGTTTCATGTACCCGATATCTCATTTTATATCACATCGCCATAGCCCATATATCATACCAAAAACCATCATGCAATATATCATACAATACATATCACATACCAACATGATCATTCAAGTAAGTATGCACACATACAAGTCATCATCCATTTTCATACAAACAACGCTATGATATCACACGAATCAAACAATACTAACTTACCCTATACTCGAGTCACTTCATGACCCGAATACTATAATCGTAATAATATAAGCATTAGGTTAAGATTTACTCACAGTTTCTTGGCTCCTCTATAAGCCTCGATCTAGATGAGCTCCGAGGTGCTCCTCTCCTTTAAGCATAGTCATTTAGACACGTTTAATAGGATATCAACTAACCATGATCCCCTCACTACTCTTACTCTCTCGATGCAACTAAAATATATAAACAAATGTCTAACTCTTGCCTCTCCCTCTAGTACAACGAATCTATACCCTCATTTATATAACCCCTAACCCGACAAAATATGAGCTACGTGTATCCTAGGGAAATGGAGCAATTAACACATGTATGAGGGGAAACGTGGGAACTTGCTCCCTCGTTGGACTGTTGCCCACTAGGTTCTGTTAAATGACACCATCAAATTAATGTTGGGGGGTTTGGCAATTGCCTTGGAAATTTGGGAGGTGATGGTGATATGAAGCATGAGAATGAGAATGAGAATGAGAATGAGAGGGGCGTGACACAATAAAACTGCGTGTAACTAAGAAAATAGTTAAGATGAACGTATTCAACTCGCTACTCTAAATTCAGTTTAGAAATTCTATCCCCAATAATTCATTTTTGAAAAAACAACAATGAAATCTAAAACTCTAAAAGAAATATGAGATTTGTGCGCTTGGCAAAACTACTAGAGAAGCTGGTGGAAATAGGAATGGACACAAAATACAAATTCATTAGTCGGTTGATTCATCGAGTTGGCGTTGCCCGTTTTAACGGCTATTACAGAGAGAAACTTTTAAACAATTAAACATGTGAAAATTGATTTGCGCAACAAAATGAGCAATGAATTCCTCGTTGATTACTTAACTATTTTATTTGAAAGAGAATGTGCTATTGGTATGGATGAAAACTTCATTATCGATGAATTTGCTAAACTAAAAGAACGTCATGTATAATTGACATTATAAAGAAAATTACGATCATTATACATTTTTTTACTATATTTAATTTTTTTTAATGAAAAGTGGTCGAGTGCTCTATATGTCCTGGATCTGCCGTTGTCCATGTTGAAACATTTTTGTCAAGCCAGGCTCCAAAGTTTCTTGGAAGGCCCATATTAATCTACTAGTGTGGGCCCCGGCCAGTTGGCCGGAGGAAGGTAGGATGGCAATGGGTCGGGTTTTGCCAAATTCAAATCCAAATTCATGGGTTTATCCGTGAAAAAAATTCGGGGTAAAATCCACTGGGTTTGAAAAACTCAAACCCAACTCAACCCCCTGGGTATCCGCGGGTTCATGGGTACCCACAGGTTTTTGTCTTAAAAAATTTACAATAACAAGTTGCTATCAAAATTAAAGTCAAATATCAATCTCTCAATACAAATTATCCATATATAAAATACCATTCTAGAAAATTCAAGCAAATAACAAATTATCCATAAATAACATGATTAACTGAAAGCTTCTTCCTTTCAATTAAGTTTCTTCACTCTCCACTCGATAACATCAAGTTCATTCTACACAATTAGAAAGAAAAAATTAGACATGTCTCCACAAACATAAATAAGATAAGTTGTTTAGAATATTAAATATATCGAGAAAATTAATTATATGGGTGTGGGTGGGTACCCATGGGTCGGGTTTACCTAAACCCAAACCCAACCCAACCCGATGAATATTGAACGGGTTTAAACCCAAACCCGGCCCAAAACCCGTCAACACGGATTTTACCCGCGTTGACCGAGTTGGGTAGGGTGGGTACCCGTGGGTTCGGATTTTGTTTTCATCCCTAGAGGAAGGTGAGGTATGAAATTTGATAATGTAATGGGGTGTATAACTTATTGTTGTATAGTTTTTTTGGGAAACACGTGATAAAAATAGTGAATTTTAGCAGGAAAGAGACATTAATGATGCAACAAATCAAAAATCGGCCTTATGAACCAAAATCAAGTACCTGTTACCTTGTGAAACAATATTGTTTCTGGTAATATGATGAGGTGGAGTAAGTTTTATAGAAACTGAATTCCAGAAAATTGAATAAAAAATCGCCTATCCCGTCGGTTTTCGGGAAATGAGCATCTCACAATCGTTGCTAGCTTTTACTCGGCCCGTTGGCCGATTAATTTGGTTTATAAAACTTTCATCTTGTCTTCATTTGCTTTCTGGTTTTTTTCAGGCTATGATAAAATCTAAGGAAATAAAGAACGAACAACACGATTTGGGATAGGAACCGTCGTTGTCGTATCCCTAGAAAATGGTGGTAAACACGGACTCACCTGCCAAACTGGTTTGGATTGAGATTTTTATCGGGTATCAGGGAACCATGTGATTATAAATTAGACTTGATCAAAAGGGGCCAAAACTTGAAATGCAGCCTGTTTGACCGACCCATGCCAAATTCTGATTATTCTTTACTTTTAAACTTTTTATTTGAAAATAAAAAATAGTGAAAGAAAAGAGATGACTGCCATTTGCACATCACTTATTCGGGAATAAAACCATAGAAATTCAAAAGGAATTGAAAATGTTAGGATCGTTTTAATGTTTAAAATAACCAAATAGATCTTTCTGTTTAGTTTTTTACTAACAAATACCAAACGATTCCCTATAAAATACACTATGATTTGATCATTATGATTTCAAATAATTATATAATATATATTTGAAATGATAAAAATTGGACTAATTGGGTTGGTCGAGGTTGAACCATTGAATAACTTTAAAATACATTATATTTTAGCCACTAAGATATAAAATAATAGCATAATATATTATGCCAGAGAAAATAGCTTGTTTTAGAATGTCAAACCAATGATGTTCATTTGTTTTACTTGATGGCCAAATCCCGTGTAGGTCAAACCAACTCAACTCTTTTATTTTATGGTTAGCGGTTAGCCCATTAGATACCATGCATTAGTTTATTGTTAAATTTTTTATTTTTAGCAATAAAAAGAAGTATTGTTTTTGTCTCTTCATATATATTTTATCACCACGGAGAAATAAAAGGGCTTAATGAAAAAATTGACACTCTTGAACCCGTTTAAATCCACATGTGTACGGTAAGTTGGCCCGTTCCACAGAGGAAAGAGGAAAAAATTGACACTCCCTATTCTATCATTCCTACAAACGCTCCTGGAGCAGGAAATTTGAAATGGGGGAAGGGTTTTTTCCTCTCTGCTATTATATCTTTTTAATTTAAAAGGATGCAACAAATGTACTTAGTGTGATTGGTTATGATTCTTACTTTTCCTTAAAATGGTCATGGTTCGAATCCCACTATGTGTTTTTTTAATGAATTAAAAAAAGTAAGTGTGAAGACCAAAATGTCCTTCCTACTTTCACTCTCGTTGCAGGAAATTTGAAATGGGGCTCCCGTTTTTCCCTTCGGTGTATTATATTATGTGTAGACTCTACTGTGATATGGGCTAACTGGGATACACATGAAAACCAAGCCCGTTCTCCATTGTGTCGATGGCTGCTAAAATCGTCAAACATCGTCAAAGAACATAGTCTTCAACAATACATTGGGAGCTAAGGCCACTTCATCATCACAATGCATTAATATTAAGAACGTAGATTAGCAGTGATGAGAGCAACTGGTAATTTACAGCTCTGACTCCCAGGATCAATGGGTAGATTAACTTTTAACGGTCTGGAATCTGAACTGTATTCTTTAATCGTTACAATGAGCTCGACAACTCCCGATTCCAGGCGAAGAGTTGGCTGCTGACCAAGGTTGCTACTGTATTTGATATGTTGATTCACTTGACAAGATACACTTTTGTAGACAACTGCTATCTTATATCTATACAAAACTACCAGCAGACGTTTATCAAACCTTCTCCCCTGCGCTAAGAGCAGCTTCGCATCGCAGCAAAGGCTTCTCGGTGAAGCTTCCATTCCATCGCTGCCTCAAACAAAAGCGTGATTGTAGTCATGGTAACGGAAGTTCTTATGAACGAAATGAGCCAACAATCTCGAAGCTGCAAAGCATGCTGTTGCCAATATTGCCAGCCCAGTTCTTGCAGCTGCTGACATCGCACCTTGCATGGTTGCTGCAACTATGCCGACTAATCCAACAGCTACCAGTTGAAGGATGGTCTCAAGGGCATTGAGGCTCTTGTGTGCCCTACTGCAACTTTGGCAGTTTACTGTATGAGTCCAGTACCTTGAAACAGATAAGTCAGTTAGGCCGTTGTAGAAGATGGACACGCAGTTTATAGGTATTTTAACTCCTCTTCCGCTCAAAGTGATGCCTCATTGTAGTTTACTAAAGGTAATCACAATGAAAAACGAAGACTGTGGAAATGAATACGAACATTTGGATAAGAGTGTCTCGGAATACCTGTCCAGAAGCTGTTCTCTTGGGGGTGTTGGGGGAAGATCGCCAGAATACTTGCCTCTCCAGTCAACTTCACCACCGGCATATTTGTTGAACCATCTTCTGAAGCCAACCACAAGGGCGTCGGACTTAGTAGGCACGAAGCACACCTTCTGCCAATTGGTAGGGCCGAATTCCTTAATTTTGCGCTCCTGTATAGAACATTTATATGGCCAGTCAATGCTCGAACTAATGCAAACTATGGTTCACAAAAAGGGAGAATACTCAAGAAGTTTAGCTTGGGAGGTTCAGGAATAAGAACCTCGACATGAAGAAGGTACAAATCTGAATCCAGAATCAGGTTTTGCGGAACATGGAACATCCATCTCGGAATAATTTTGTCAAGCCAAACTCCAAAGTTTCTCGGGAAGGCCCATATTAATCTGCTATAACCCGGACTAACTGGGATACAAATGAACACCAGTGCCATTCTGCGCTGGGTTGATGGCTGCAAAATGACAAAGTACATAGTAATGAATCATCAGAAAGGCCAGTTAGATTCACAAAATCAAAGCATCAAGCAAAATCTAAGATCAATATTATGCAAAGTTACCTTCTTGGTCTCGGAAGCTGATGCCACAGGACCATTAACTTGATCTTCCGAGGGTGTAGGATCTGTACGGAGCGAGAAGATGCATGGTGCAGTGAATTGACCGATGCCCATATCCAATTTTCCATAGAATCCATCCATGTCTAGCTTCTTCACTACAAAATCAAGTGGTCTCCCACCTTCTCTGTCTCTCTTTACTGAAACACGATTTCCAGCTTTAAGTTACTTGAGGAATAATAAAACCAAATGTTAGTCACAGTAATGAGCTAAATGGCCCATCAGAAGTCGAAACCTACCATCTGGCTTCCTTGTTTGCATCAGACCATAATGCGCATAGGGAACATGAGCTGGATCCATAAGGTTCTCAACCAATACATCATACCTAAGACCTCAAACATTGATAAAAAGAAATTTATTCAGCCAAGAGCACAAGTAATTGCTTCCAATCAAACCAGAATCTAGAGCATTACCCGTAAGCAATATCTCGGTTCCCCATCAGCTTAGTGAACGATGGATCATCCAACTCGGGAATGAATGGAGGTTTCTTCTTCTCAAAGATGTCTTTGTATTGAGGATCAGAGTTGGGCCAAAACCACACTATGTCATGATGCACTATCGTTGGATAAGCTGCAACGCATGCCCTTTTGTTTGTGTGAACCTACAATTTCCCCCCCAAATTCATCCCAACATTACTAATTTACTTCTGCAAAAAACTAAAGGCATAGAATATGAAGAGCTGAAGCAAGAGATCTTACAGGAGGGCCATCGAGAGGAGCTTGAGGGATGAGCTTGCAGTTGCCGGAGCCATCGAAACACCAACCGTGATAAACGCATTGCAGTCTTCCCGATTGGTCAATCCTTCCTTCGGAGAGCGGAGCCAGGCGGTGCGGACACATATCGTCGAACACCTTCCATGCATTCTCGTTCCTGTCCCACCACACCACCACATCAATCCCCAATACCTTCTTCGCATGTGGGACCCTTTTGTCCAGATCACACAACGGCATCACTGGGTACCATTGCGCGTACCAATCGAACTTCTCCTCGCCGACGGAGACTTCTTCTTCAATTTCCGGCGGGGACGGTTCCGCTGAAACAGAGGACGGCGGCGATGGTGAGGATATGGCGTTGGAAGGAAAAAGCTTGGATTTTGATATGTGGGTAAGCCGTCCCCGGAAAGATGAAATGGGTTCCGGAAAACACCGGAAATTTGGCGACTTGGGTTTGGATATGTGTGTGTCGCCGGGGGAAGCAGCAGGGAAGTTAAGCGATAGAACAGAGGAGGAAATTGTAAGAGCTTCCATGGCTGCCTCGGCTCCTCTAAAGAGAAAAGTAGAAGAAACGAGAGGCTGTTATGTAGTGTAGTAACTAATCAGTCGATGAACTCGTGGCACTGCGGCCTCTACCTCACGTTTACTTTTTGCTTTGTTTTTTTTTTTTTTCTTCTTTTCCTAAGCATCGAAAGAAAAGGTATAAACTTTCATTAAAAATAGGACTCTACTTTGGAGCTTTTTTGTTAGCGTGGAAGTATACTCTATTTCCAACTATAATCGGCGACGCAAATCTCGACAAAATCGATCAGACCGAAGAATTCACGGCCGCCGGCGAAGCTTGCAATCCCCCGAGCTATGGAGGCGAAAAGAGAGAATGGATCAATCCTGCAATTCGCGCCGTTTCAGAGCTCCGTCGACGAGGGTTTCTGGCACAGGTTGTCTTCTTTGAAGCTGAACAAGTTTCGAATCGACGATTCTCCCATACCCATCACCGGTAAGCGCCTTCCCCGAATTTCCCAATTACTGCAAGTGAATTGAACGAAGTAAACTGGAACTGAGCTTTGGATTGGTTCATGTGTTTGCAGGTTTCTACGCGCCTTGCTCGCATTCTCAAGTGTCAAATCACTTGACTCTGGTTGCTGAATCTCTGCCAGCTGATGAAGATGAACAATCTTCAGTGCCAGCCATTGCTAGCGGAAACAGGAATCGGTGTTCTGTCCCTGGCATTCTGTACAATACGAATACATTGGAAGACTTCCGTGCTTTGGATAAGAAGAGTTTGCTAAAGCAGGAAGCCAAGAAGGTGAATTGGCCTTTGTTGAATAAGTTTGAATTCTGGATATGTATCTAATTGATTGTTTTGTACATTGTTAGATATGGGAAGATATCCAAAGTGGGAGAGCGATGGAAGACTCTGCTCTGCTATCGAGGTTCCTTGTTATATCATTTGCTGATCTAAAAAAATGGAGCTTTCATTACTGGTTTGCTTTCCCTGCTTTGGTGCTTGATCCTCCTGCAACGGTGGTAGAATTGAAGGCTGCTTCTCAGTGGTTTACATTGGATGAGGTGCTGCGAAAATTCGGATAGTTGAGGGATGATATTTGTTTTGTTACTTTTGTGAATACTTACACGATCAATGACTTGTGATGTCCAGGCTGAATCTGTATCGAAGGCTTGTAATGAATGGCGCAGCTCAAACTCCACCGCTGGTAAATTTTAGTAACTTGTTAAAGATCCCGGTTTGTGTTTATCTGGTGAGTGTATGGGATTAATTCATTTGTGATGCTCGGTAACAGGTGTGCCATTTTTCTTGGTCTCAATTGCTTCTGATTCCCGTGCCTCGATTAGGCATCTAAAGGACTGGGAAGCCTGTCAAGGTGATGGTCAAAAGGTATGCGTCCTAGGGGTTGAACTGGCGAAATGGTTAGGTTATTTGTGTAAGTCGGCTAAATGCTAAAGACATTACCCCTGCTATTTGGCAGCTTCTATTTGGTTTTTATGACCCTTGTCATCTTCCGAGCAACCCTGGTTGGCCCCTTCGCAATCTTCTGGCACTGATTTGTTCGAGATGGAATCTCAAGAGTGTCGACTTGTTTTGCTACAGAGAGAGTCGTGGTTTTGCTGATCTTGGGTTATCCCTTGTTGGCAAAGTCTTACTTCATGGTTCCACAAGGTAGTCTGGGCTGAAATTGGGTAACTGCTCTAAGTCATCTTATCAATCTTTTCAATTTGATTTTGTTGAAAGTTGGTGGTAGTCTAACTGGTCTGCAATTTCATAGGGATCATAAGGACCTACCTAATGCAGTAGGTTGGGAGCTTAACAAAGATAGAGCTGTTCCCAGGTCTATTACCCTTGCTAAATCAATGGATCCAACTAGGTTTGTTGCACTTGCACTTGCTGCTACATCGTACTCCATGTTAATGATTCACAACTCTGATTCACAACTCTTCTGATATATTTACGTATTTTTAACAGGCTAGCCATATCTGCAGCTGATCTAAATTTGAAACTGATGCGCTGGCGTGCTCTTCCTTCGCTTGACTTAGATAAGTTGGCTTCTACTAAGTGTCTTCTTTTAGGAGCAGGGACCCTCGGTTGTGAGGTTGCTCGAAGGCTTATGGTGAGTGTTTTTGAAAGATACCCTCTTAGTTTCATATTTGAAGCATCTGAATTTCCCTAACTATTTGATGTACCTGTAGGCTTGGGGCGTCCGTAAGATTACACTACTCGACAATGGAAAGGTGGCTATGTCTAATCCACTGAGGCAGTCCCTGTATACATTTGATGACTGTCTTAATGGTGGTAAATATAAAGCCTTGGCAGCAGTTACAAGCCTCCAGACAATATTTCCAGCTGTTGTAAGTGAATCAATGTGAAAGTACTTCCTGACGTTTCTGTAATCTCTCGCTTCATTGTTCACTCTGAACTGAGGATCTGTCGGCCATGCCTTTTTTAGGAGGCTGAAGGTGTTGTCATGGCTATACCGATGCCTGGGCATCCAGTCACTAGCCAAGAAGTGGATGGAGTAATAGATGATTGTACTCGTCTGCATAACTTGATTGATTCTCATGACGCAGTCTTCTTATTGACCGATACGAGAGAAAGCAGATGGCTTCCCAGCCTTCTTTGTGCAAATGCTAACAAGGTTTTTCCCTTATAACTATAGTTTGTTGAACTAATTGCTTGTCTTATTTGGATTCAACCTGATATCTTATCATCTTCAATTCATTATCCTTCTCTAGATCACTATAACTGCAGCCCTAGGGTTCGATAGCTTCCTTGTAATGCGGCATGGACCTGGCCCTTTGCCCAATGCCTCAAAAGCCGACGCTGCAAATGCTCTGTCTGATGAGATGGAGAGCCTCACTTTATCCAATAGAGAACAGCAGAGATTGGGCTGTTACTTCTGCAACGATGTCGTCCAACCAACCGATGTAATTTTGCTGAAAAACTCTGTTAATCTTATTCAACATCAAATCAATATATTTGCAAACCAATATATTTGCCGCCTCTAATCATACTGTTTCTGCAGTCAACATCAAATCGCACTTTGGACCAACAGTGCACCGTTACACGTCCAGGACTCGCTTCCAATGCCTCATCTCTCGCTGTCGAACTCTTCGTGAACATGCTGCACCACCCTGATGGGTAAAATAGGAAATTATGTTGTTTTCAACCTTAAAATTTTCATCTTCCCTTGGCATCTGATCGAACAATTACCGTTTTACAGGACATTTGCTTGTGTCGACAGCGAGCTGGCGCTTGGCATCTTGCCGCATCAGATTAGAGGTTATCTCTTCGATTTCTCGCAGATGAAGCTCGTGGGGCGCTCCTTCGATAGGTGCACCGCTTGTTCCTCGACAGTAAGTTTTCTTTTTCTGACTGCTTCTCCCTTTTGTTCCTTGCTTTACATACCTTGTTTGGACATGAAGTGAAATGTCGGCTGGGGTTGTATTTCTTTCTCTCCTTTTCAGGTTGTGAAGGAGTACAGGGAAAGAGGGTTGGAATTCCTTCTTCAAGCAATCAACCATCCTACCTACTTAGCTGATCTCACGGGACTTACAGAGCTCACCAAGTCTGCCAACTCGTTCGACATAGATTGGGACGACGAAGACGATGGCGATGACGACGGGTTTGCTGACATATGATTAAGTTACAGTACTATCCAGCAATTCGTTACTGTAGTCAGGATCCATTGTTTGTTGTGCATAACAGGTAGGTTAACGTTCATTTGTTTAAATTTTCACCATAACTGGTGGCCGTTGTTCCTCCAGTGTACAATTTACAAGCTGTTTGTTATAACATTGTATGTGATGATCCTCTCGGCTAATGGCTAACAGATTCCTTTTGCACCATCTTTCTCCTTCTCTTTTCAGTCAGTTCAGATTGCTCTCCCATGTAATAAAAATGAAAGTGATAAAGTGCATAGTGGTAGTTAACGTTTACTCTATTCATCGTTTACTCGATTAGGCATGAATGTATAGTAAGTTTTTGTGCTCTCCTTCGATAACAAGTAGCACCAGTGGTCTAGTGGTAGAATAGTACCCTGCCACGGTACAGACCCGGGTTCGATTCCCGGCTGGTGCAGCTTTTTTTCTGCTTCTTCTTTTTTCTCACCTTCGCCATCTTCGTCCAAGGCTTGGCTTGGCTTGGCTTGGCTTTCTCCCAACATCACCAATTTTTCAACGCAGAAAGAGAGAAGACTAGCGAGCTTCATGTCTATAGTTATACTTTTCTGCTGCTTCATTGACAATTTAGTCAAGGGAAGAAGGATAACACAAGAAGAAGTTACAGCTCCCCAAAACCAAACAGATTCGGCAGGCTCCAACTAAGAATGCTGAATCTGGAGTCAACTAAGCTAGCCCGCCATAGCCAGAAAGGTCTCTGAAGTCTGAAATAAAACACTTCTGACCTAACCATGATAATGCAGCCAGCTCCATAGGTTTTCCACCAGCCTACAAGGAGAATATTTTTTTTCTTGGTATATAAATATACTAGCTTTTTTATATTCAATATAAATTGCTTAAATTGTTTTTCTTTATAAGATTTGTTATTATCGATGTACGGATCCATACCTCTTGAATTCCAAAAAAAAACATGTAAAATTTCTAAAGTGAATATAAAAAAGAACAAAATGCTACCGGTTATATTTCATATTTGCTACCACACACGGTGGTGAAAGAACCTGGAAAACAAAAGTCACTGTAGGTCAATTTAATTTTGTTATTAGGCAATTTATCAGTGAAAAGAGAATAAGGCCCGACAATAAAAACTATAGGTTAGCACAATTGTTTGAGCCCAAATTAGATGAATAAAGCAGACAACTCTGAGTTCTCAAAGAGAGCTTTCACAAATATCTAAGGCTAGCAGTTTCAGTAATAGAAAATATATCTGCACATCAAAACTCATCGCAACTTTAAGTTCCAGCCCTAGCCCGCCAAAATATTGATCTTTCCTTCTCCTTCTTTTGCTGCAGCATTTCAATTCACATTCTAAAAATAGAAACATCAGCAGAATCAAGGATATTTATATTAAATGTTACGTTATGGGGTCTGATTCATCGGCAGGGTGGCTGACCACCTTATTACCAAAAAACTTGGCAACTTCCCAACCAATTCACCGCTCTCGGTCAAGCGCTCACATCATCCATCATTTATCTATCTAACTCTTAACATATTTGGTTTCTGATCTGGCCATGGCCGATGAAATGAAGATGTTGAGTTTTGTATCTTGCCCATGGTTGGAACTTGGAAGTGATGGTGGCGGTGGCGGAACATTGGGTGTGATGGGAAGCATTTGTAATTAGGAAATGCACCCAAACCCCAGTTGACTATCTTGGCTGTGAAATTAAAAATAAATTTGTGAACAAAAATAGGTGCATATGTACCCAAAAGAGGGGTAAATTATCAGTTAAAGACTACATCATTACTAAGTCATGATTGAGGAATTAGCAGCCACACGAAGTTGGAATCGTCGAAGATTACAACTGGGTGTCTAAAGTGCAAATATAGTAACAACGGGGGAATAACCAAAATCAGCAAGTGTTTGGCTGAAAAACCACAGTGATTTCCATTAAAATTTCTCAGGTAAATTGGTGACATGATTGTCTGTAACTGAAATTGGTTTGGTATATTTAAAGGTTCTACTATGAAATAATAGCAAGAGATCACTCAAGAGATCTTGTATCAATGATGAAAATGAGGTAACGATTCTTGTCATATGAACATATAAAACATCAACGAAAGGAGGCATACTGGAAGCATAGTGGAAGATAAGTTGAACAGAATGAGAACAAACTGTAAACTTGTCGTTGTTGAAAATTAAGAGGCATATTAGAACAAAGTTACTAATTGGGCATTGATAAAGAACAATTAGTCTAGGCACGTACCAACGTAGTTTTGATAATAATGAAACATCTTTGTTGGTGATATAGCAAAGGAGCTTTGTGTTTCACCAATGTCGAAGCGGTGGGAACTGGGAAGACACTACAAAGCATGTTTGGAGTAGGAAACCATGCATAGTCCTTTTTGTTAATGAGAAATTGCAGGCCATGTCAACAATGACAGAGAAAATAATTAGGAAAAACAAACCAAGTTATTACAAAGAAATAGACACACGCCTTAAGAGTTCTTTTTCAAGTAAATGATAGAACTTTTGACTCCTAAAATAGATAGATTCAGCTAACTTTTTTTTTTAAGTGATAGATTCAGCCAACTTAATTTCGTACAACTTGAAAGCCAGATCGAACTGGATAAATATCTAAACCAAATAAAAAAATCGAAACCATATAGCAAAAATGACTAAAAGCTTTAAGAATAAAATGTCCCAAACTCCAAAGCGTTATATAATGCAAGTAAAATAGCTTATACTGACAATTCAATTGTAAATGAGTTTATAGGATCATATACTGGAAGGCTCAAACTAATCGCTTCGAAGTGTGGGAATAGAGCTAGTAATAAGGAAACACGTGAATGAAAAACATTGAAATTGATCAGATCACACATGATATAATGGTCACCTTCTAGAGCAGAACGACTAAAAGTGAGACAAACGGCTAATAAAGTAGTAGGGAGGAGAGGACATAAATGCACCGACTAACTCACCCGGGGTAAGCATCAACCCCCATAAATTTGTAAGGCTTCATTCGTTGGAGTGATAAACATATATCAGCCAAAAGTGCAGGCCTGAAAGACGACATATGGATCATAGACCCCTACTCTCGAATCATACATACAAACACTGCATATTGAAAGTAGGCTAATGTATCTGAAAATGTAGAATCGATTAGTCTCCCCCACCAAATAAACCTACATTTAGAAAATATGCTAATTGTTTAAACCACTAACAAAAACTCAACCAAAAGAAGCGGTTCATGCATTGAAGCCATATCATGGCAAGAAAAGCAAGTCCTGATCTTGAGAACTAAAACCCACAATCAAGAATTGGAGGACCATGCCAGGGAATAGAAAGAAATAAAGCCAAACCATAAAGAGGAGACTTCATTATCTCGGAAGCCAAGGGTCAACTTTGATAGCAGGGTGGAAGATATAATCGAAACCTGAGCTGAGCAGCATCTGGTGCATTGCCATAAGTCATCCTGCAAATTTGTGCATTTGAGAGCAGCAAGTCAATTATCAAAAAATTGCCAAGAGATTCCACTAAATTAAGTTGAGTAACTCCAAAGAGAGAACAAAGGAATCAAGAAATAATTAAACAAAACATTGAGGTATAACCAACCAAAACAATAGCTTATAAAAAAAGGTCAAAATCCGCAAACCTCCCTCATCATTGCGTATCCGCCATCGAAATAGACCATTAAGACGGGTGTACCATAATCATATATGGGCGGAACCATCCCTGTCTAGGCTAGCATGATCCTCACATGACCTGGAATTAAAATATATACGATGCAACAAATGAAACAACACAAATACATGTGTCAACACAAATACATGTGATCGTCCTGCCAGTTGGTCACATAGGTCGAAACCCTCCTGAAAAACTTGGCCTTGAAAGTGTCCCACACCTGGTACTTGTAGTGGTTGATCACCGCCGTCCCCTCCGCCACGTTCGTCGACTTGTACCCTTCCTTCAGCTTGAAGTGATGCACAATGTTCAGCAGCGTCATGTCGAGAAGGTCCGGTCGGACGAAGGACTTGTGCCTTTCAGGAGCCTGCAGCCTGCAAGTGTAACCTACCGTCACACCTTGCTTCGGCGGTTCTGTCAGCCCCGATGGGCCGAAGCTGTGGCACATTGTCCTCACCTCCGCGATCGTGGGCGAATCGGTGTAGTTCGAGACCATGGCGCGGAGCGAGTTCTGCCCTGGCAAGGGGGTTTGGCCACTGTAGTGAGGGAAGTAGAAGAACTCGTCGACGTTGAAGAAGCCGACCCACTTGCACTCGTACTTTGCTCTCAGAGCACAATGCGAGAACCCTGCCTCCTGCACTTTGATCCACGGCCAGACGTGCCTGGAGACATTGTGATTCCGCTTGTTGAGCTCGTCGGCGACGTCTTGTAGCCCGTCGTCGCTGTTGTTGTCGTAGATGAACCATCGCTCCACTCCCAGCCACGATTGGTACATCACCCATTCCTTCAAAACCGACGCTTGATTTCACAGCATCGTGCAAGCGCAAAGCTCGTACTTCTCTTCCCCTTTCGCTCTCATTCCGTGGGATTTCGGGTTGTACACTTTCGCCACCGATGGCAGAGCTGCAGGGGAGGCCGAGGCAGGGGAGGCGGCGGAGTCTTCGACGCTGCTGACGGTGACGCGGATTCCTTCGGCAAGCGCGGTGTTGTTTTTCCGGATGCAAGCAGCGGACCACTTCCTGAGCCGCAATGGTGGCTTCGGTGGTGAAGACAGACGAAGCTCTCCTCTCTGGTCAAATTGTTGCTCAGCGAGAAATGGCACCTGAATTCGGCCGGATCGACTTCCCTCCGTGGCTTCAGATTCAACCCTTTCGCCAACACCACCACCGTGTTCCAATCCAGAATCGCCTCGTAGACCACTTTCCCCCAATCGAGCACGGAATCGGAATTTTCCTCATCCGCCGTCTGATTCGCCGCCCTCCTCGAAGAAGCCATCCAATTCCCTTCCACAACCTCGTCGCCGGGGCGGCGCAAATCCACGGCGGCGGAGTAGTTCACAGGCGGGAGCTCGCACCTCACAATCGACTTCCTTCTCCCTTTCACCTTTCCCCCTCTCTCTCTGTAATGTGATTGGAATTGCGATTCCCTTTCTGTCTCTCTCTCTCTCTTAATAACAGTAGGAAAAAACAAAGGAACTGATGGAAAGGGAAAAGGAAGGAGTTTTGCCTCTGGGTTTTGTTGTTTTGCACGCTTCTTCAGTGGACCATTTCCTTCCTGGGAAATAAAAAATAAATACAAATTAAATGACAACGTGGCCTGGCAGGAGAAAAGGTGGATAGTGGACAGTTTTTTGATTCTGAAATCAGGCGGGGACTCTTTTTTTTCCCGCTTAACACTCTGCCACATCAGCTTCCTAAAATCACTCTATGGGCAGGAAATTTTGAATGGGGGGTGCAGTTTTACTTTTCAGCTATAAATTATACTGTTGAAACGTACTACATATTTTGAATAACTTAGACATTATCTTTAAGAAAATGGTACAACGTTGTAAATTGTATTATGAATCAATTTGGACTATAAGATTTTTTCAAAAGATTAAAAAGGTACTAGCTAATAGCGTATAAACACAAGGATGTACTTTGGAATTAATTCTCCACGCACCCGCCAATAATTAAGCTTTCCAGTCCAATTTTTGGGTCTTCATTGGTAGCAATTATTATGGTTCCACTATTTTTTACATGTTGTCGCGTTGGAAATGAGACAATCCTTTGATTTGTTGGGATCCAATGATGTTTTTGTATGAACTAATTGTCTGACTCGATGCCATATCTGCAGGAGGCCGGAAAGTAATGAAAATATGTTCTTTAGATGTTCATTGTCCACCGAGTTGTGGTCTTTTATGGGTCTAAATTTATTGACTCGGTTTTAAGAGTTCGTTTTTGGTTGCGACATGTTAGGCTTTTTGAGCACCCCCAAACACATGTTCTTCAATTTGTATGCGTATTGTGGGGAATCTTGAAGTCTCGTAATAAGGTAGTCTTTGAACATTATCAATCACATGGCCGATTTCAAGCTCGTCAGTGTTTTTATCAAGTTCTTGAAGAGTCATCTTCGCTCCCTCCCTCTCCAGCTCCTCTTCCTCACTTCTCGTCGGCGCGCCCTGCATTTTGGGTTCCTCCTCCTGGGGGTTTCCTTGAGATCAACTTTGATGTTGTTGTCGGTGACTCTGGTTGTTCGCCCGACCTAGTTGTTCTTGGGACGGACGTGCATGTCGTGTTGCCAGTTGGGGCCAAGCATTCTGGAGTTGCTGACCCCTACAACCCAGATTTCCTTACAGAAAGAGATGTCATTTCGCTTTTCGTCTCCAAATCTCTGTCGTGGGTCATCATCGAAGGAGATTCTGAAGTGGTTATTCACCATATTCGCTAGGGCGAGTGGCTTTGGATTCCCTCAGAGGGCCCTTGTTTCAAGAATCTCTTCATTTTTTTATCCTTGGTGTATGTCTGTATAGAGTATAGGGTGGTTCCTAGGACTACAAACGAGACTGCCCATAGAGTGGCACGTAAAGTTCTGTTATTGTCTCTTCTAGAGTTAGTTTCCTTTTAACTTTGTAAAGGTGGATTTGCTAAGGTGTAGCTTTGAGAGAGTTTCTGGATAGACTCTATTATAGTTCTATCTATTGTCATTAGTTGGGGGAAAAAATACGGTAGATGTACTTTGTATATACAAGTGAATTGTTATCTTGCCGCAACAAAATTCGTTTACATAATTAATTTCATGATATTCCAACGTGCACATCGAACATCACATCAATATGATATGATATGGATGTCCTAGTGCCTAGGCAAACTATTCCACATGTGAGAAGTCCCGTGAGAAGCAGGATAGTGGTGGAATTCTGATGTGGAATTGCCACCGAAAAATTCAACCCTCAAATCCATCCCACCAACGAAACAACTGCGACTCATAATCAATCCCATAGCGTCAATTTTTGGCGGGTGGTGATAATTAAAATTGAAAAGTGGGAATTAAGTAGGGGTGGGCAAAGGCGGGTTGGGTGGGTTTTGGTCTCAAATTGACTCATCCGCTTACTAGCTGTTTGGAATAATTGTGATCCACAATTAGGGCTGGAAAAATAGACCAGACAGTTAGAAAAACCATGGTCCAAACCGTACCGTACAATTTGGTCTGGATCGTAGACCGTTAAGTATGGTCTGGTCTGGTCCATGGTCTGTATTATTTTATGTTTTGATATCTTGGTTTGGTCTGGTCTAGACTGCGGTTTACCGGACCAAACCATGGATCCAACCGACTTGTCAATATGTGTTAACAGCCCATTTGACCACTTTCCCAACTCCCACAACGACACCCAAGTCTCAACCTTAATTTTGTGAATCTCGTCTCTCCTTCATTCAAACCACATTTAACCAGAGAGTAGAGATAATCATGTCTCAATATGACATTATGTTAATGTTTTATGACGTTATGGTGCAAGTTGGGATGCTTGTACTTTAAATCTTTATTATGTATTAAGAATTAGGGTATCAAAATTATTCATGCATGTTAGGATTAATGTTTTTAAGGCAAATAACAATTATTTTTCTTGGTTATTAGTTCAATTTTTTGTGTGGTAGACTAAACAAATTGTTCATTTTTCGTTGAGTGTGGTCTATCTTGACCAGACCAGACCGAACCAAACCGCACAGGCGTGGTCTGGACCGGACCGTATAGTCTGTGGTCTGGTCTGTGGTCTATAATTCAGGCTCTCGGTCTGGACCATAGACCGTATATATGGTCTGGTCTGGACCAGACCGCACCGTTTCCCAGCCCTATCCACAATCCACCCACATACTCTTGCGGGTTGGGTTGGGTGGGTGGCGGATGGGTGCGGTTGGGTCGCGGGTGAACCCGCAAAAACAATTCTTCATCAAGCCATTAATAAAGTTGACTAACATTTATAATAAGTTCATAGCAAATTAGCAAGACCATATTAATAATTTGTGATTTTGATGCAATTAATAAATTATAATTTGCATCCCATTATTTAATGGTAATTAACAATAATTTGCATACCGATATCCAATATCTAATGGATATTGCACAACAAAATAATCAATAATAGTAGTCAAAACTATTATTTATTCTCCACCTTTTGAAGTATATGGTCAGACTGTAGTGCAGTTCGAAAATATGATGAATATTCGATCCTATAAGAAACAACATTTTTCATGTAAAAATAGGATGCGGGTCACATGGGTGACCCGCAATCCACCCACCACTCACCCACATAAGTGAGGGTGAGAGATTTACCAATCTGCAATCCACCCACATCAATCACCCACTGCAGGTCGGGTTATTTGCGGGTGGATCTATATCAATCCGTGAATTAACCACCCACGTGCCCACCCCTAAAATTAAGGGCTATTAGGGATAGCTAAGCTTCTCTTCCTCTTCTTCCTGTGTAAAAAAATCTTGACCGCCACTGAGAAACGCATGGCCACGATTCATGCTCCTAATTTATTCACCCATAATCATCATCATTCCAGGGAAATTAGCTAGCATGATATTCATACCATTGACTTGATAGTTGCTACGTTGACACTATAAATCAGAAATTGAACTCCTATATTAACAAACTAAAAGAGGAGATAAACAACAACAAGAGAGAGGAGATGAAAGACACTATAAAGCTCGTTTAGAAGTTACGATTGTAAAGGTTGAATAAAAGTGTCAAATTGTAAAACAATGCATGTATTGTTTTGTGACTTTCTTCCTCACGTGTTGCTTAGTTATATGGCTTCGTAAGCAATTTCACTATACGTTCAATTAAAAAGTAATAGGATGTGGTGCTCTAAAAGTACTCAATTAAAAAAACTATGAACAATTGACATTGTACAAGCATAGGTCTTGTTCTTTGAGTCAATCACTTGCACCACTATTTTGGATATAAATAGTGGTGCATGAATGTAGTATGAATGGTCATTGATATATATATATATATGGCAAACGAATTTATCCTCTTTGTGTTATCTTACGATAAAAACTTTATTTCAAAAGTTTGCTCTGACTTCTCTCTTCCTGCGTCACTTTCTCTTCAGCTCCCCAAGGGTTGCCGCCGGCACTTCTTGGTGACCGGCGGTAGCCAGTCACTTTCTCTCATTTTTTTTTACCTTTTACCGTCTTTGGCCATTGGTTTTGAGCGATTTTCTACCGCATTTTTTTTTGTTGTTATTGCTTTTTCTTCTTTGTGAAATCTCTTTTTCTGTTCTTGGGTTTCGGTTGCTGATCTATCCTTCTTCCTCACTTTGGATCTTTCTTCCCTCCTTGTGAGGATGTCTTTTCTCCTCTCCTTGTTGAGATGGATTTTGTCCCCCACCAAGTTGGGTTTCCAAATCTGTGTGGATGTCCTCTAGTAGGTGTTTGAGGGAGCCGATTTTTGGTTCGCTTGCTCCTCTCTGTCCTTCTTTCCACCTCCACATGCTTCATCCAAAACTG